TATGGTCGTCCTTCTCTCGAGCAGCGCTGACGATGCGACACCAACTTGTAGTCTCGATAATACTCACTGCAGGCTTCTCGTTTTTACTAAATTGGGCGCTGTGACACAGACACAAAATTCCAGCAATATTACTCCGCTGGGCTGTCATTTGCCACTTCGTTGCCGTCAGCTGCCTCATCCAGCACCTCGCTGCCACTAGAAACGTCTTCCTCTTCTTCCATTGTTGTCAAAACAACATCAATGTACACGAAAGGAATAAACTTCAATAAAGTGATCACAATATCCCAAGTCGATATTGTCGTCAACGTCGTCATCTTCTAAAAATAAATTATTTTTCCTCACTCTACTTTTGCGCTTGCTCATACGACGCACACCTCACCACTCGCGTAAAAATATTCGTTCTCACGGTGGAATTTGGTCGAGAAAAGAAGCCCTCGCGAAGGTCTCTGGATCGGTTCTGGAACGTCCAACAAGCGAAAACGTATCCTTTGTGATGTCCTTGACCAACACTGTAAGCGGCGATTTGTCCATCCGAGAGTGCAACGGCACTTGTGATTTTGAGTTTTGGCTCACGGACTAATATCGCAAGCTGGCACACATTTCTGAAGCCTTGTTTCCCTGGAACAGGGACGTTTTCAATATTTCGGATTGTACAAGCGTCTCGCGTAATAGTTCCTATTGTAGCGAGAAAGCGAAGAAATTTCATTTCAAAACTCCTCGATCGTTTGCTACGCTCAAACTGGAGCTACACTGAAGTGGACAGCTCCCTGTCTTGCTGTGAAACCCTCTTGTCACAGGTTGCTGCTCCGACTTCGTGAGACTTCTTCCCAGGCAGAGCGCCATTGTCCTCAGCCGTTCTCTTTCCCAGCGACGCTATTTTGTGAATTTCGATCGGACGCATTGTCCGTTCAAGAAAAAAAGCGCCGGATTCGAATCGAAAATGGCCGGAAAATGTCCGATGTCCGACCGTTATCGTGTCCCCTGCTATGTCGCATTACATGACCTTCCGGAGCAGACTGAAAAGGGCTACGCTACGCCCCTGGTGCACTCCCTGTTAGTCACTGGGCCAGTCACATCCACCGCAATGTGTACTGTTACATGATCTTGAGCTCAACATACACACGGGCACTGAGCAGCACTTCAGCCAATACCACAGCGTCTGTGTGCCAATGCATTGCAGTAAAACCGTTTTCCAACCCCACTTTCTACACGGGTCACGATGACTGTACATTGAAGCTAGCCTCGCTTTGACGCTGTTATAAAACAAGCAACAGAAATTAGCCTGGGAGTTAAGCAGTGGTTACAGGCTTTACTGTGGCGAGCATGGTGTGTCTGGGATCATGATGCAAGTACATGACTGTACTAGTATGCGGTATGCATTGTTTGGCACTACTACCTTCACACTACCTTCACTCTACCCCGGCCAGACACCCACCAGCCAACCCGGTGTGTGCACAGCACTCTTAACTTTGTACCCTTCCTTTCGTCGAGTTGCTGTGGCCGCGGCATGGCACAGGGAAATGAAGTAATGCTGTCCCGCCAGTAGTTCAAGTGCACCGAAGAGCCGGCCAGTCAGCAGGTGAAGCCGCAGCGCATCATTATTCCTGCTGCTGCTTAAAACCTCTCAAAACGATGGTAGCTTTTCATCACCTTATCTCATCACCACCAACTCCCTATTAGCTCATGTCAACACCCAGTGTTGATCCACTGGCCGGATGTTGTTTAGAACAAGGAAATGTCTGGGAACGTATTGTAGAACTCATTAGCTCTGTTACTTCCTACCACGTTCTAATTGTCCGCGAGTTGGAGAAGTGAAGTTAGACGGTGTACCGCTCTTAGTCAAAGAAAAATAATTTTCACTTCTTGAGGGAATGGAAATGGGAAAAGCCTGAAGAAAAAATTGGCTGTCACCGGCAGGACTCGAACCAGTGACTGTGGCTTGAGGCCAGCAATGCTCTAACCCCTGAAATAGGGTGTAGCTGCCATCCGAGCAGAGAATATAATAATAATTTTATTAATTTATTCACAGACAGAAGAACGAGCAGTTGCAGTTTCGTAACTCCGAGTTTCACGAACTGAATCGATCATCAGATGAAAATTGGTACTGACCCTGCCCTGAGAGTACTGCTATATACATGTACCATGAATGTGGCAAGCCCAGCATAACAATTACGATACGATATGTAGGGCGATATAGAGTGTGTGAGAAAGCGTTAGTTATCTGTGTATTGCTACATGATATTCTCGTGGAATCAGGTGACAACGCTTGACAAGAGATGTTATTTGGCCTAACGTTAGCTGCAGAGAGAAAGTGTTATTTTTCTGTGTATAATTGTTATTAACTAAGCGATATTCTGCTAGGACCAGGTGACACAATTTGACAAGTAATATTTGAGCCAGGGACTACAGAAACCACCCTATGGCACTTCTTGGCGAAAATTTTTTTTTCTTTCAAAATGTTGGTATGGTATGGTAATGTGCTCAAACAAAATTTCAAGTTGATCTGCGATGGTAAAATGTGCCTAACCACCTATTTAATAATGGCATATCAATTGAGCAATATAGAGCAAATTTATGTACACAGTATGTAATGTTCTTTGTATATCTTCATTCGTGCTACTACGTAGTAGTTAGGCAGTTCAAATGTATAGTGAACTATGCCCTCAGCTTCATCCAGTGATGCCTGCGCGCCGTCCACTAAATCTCGGTAGTACTGCCGCTCCTCTTGTGCTAGGGATGTGTGCGAACACAGGGCCTGGACACTACATTTCGTCTCTTCCTCTGTACGGGCGACACGAATTTTGTACCGCAGATTGTCACACAGTCCGCATACGTCTGTCCTTGGCTTCATCACTTTGATGTGTGCTGCCTGTCTCCTCCAAATGTGGCAAAATGACCTGTAATGAACAGGCGAATACTGTGTGACGGTCTTGGTGTAGATGTATGCAGACTTCTTGTGCTCGGATGCTGGTAAGTATACTGGAGGGTCCTCAGCACGACCTCGCTCCGCTGCAGGTTGAGGTAGACCGTACATGTTAGCATAATTATGACTAAATAAACTGCACTATATCCTGCTCTATGTCTGCTGAAATGGCCAAGTGCTCTGGTGTTCTCCCAGTCAAGCCATGTTGTGCCAGTTGAACGACTCCTTTGTTTGCCTTTTTTGAAGGCGCTTCATTACATGACTTCCAACAGCATGAACTGCCATGAACACGTCTTTGCACAACTCGTAACCACGTACATGATAGCGGAAATAGAAAGGTCGATCACCACCGCCAGTCATCGACTTTCGCATGCTTCCAGTCAGTGCGCCCAGAACAAACTGCTTGAACTGTTGAAGCTCTTTTTCGATTCTCGCAGTTTAGAGACTTCAAATATGTAGTCCTCGAGCTGCTGCTCTGGGATGACTTTCCAATGATTCTTCGACTTGCATCCACGGCCTCTCTCAATCCCATCGCGTATGTCCGAGGAGACCACGCTTCACCTGCTCCGTCGTCGGTGGCTCAGGTGCGGGGGTATCTGGTTCGTCATCCGATTCCGAGTAGTCGGTGTCACTCTCCGCGTTTGAAATTTCCGAGCTGTCGGGGCTTGGCGTTTTCGACACAACACTAGCAGCACTCGAGCTTGCTGTGACTCCATACGTCTTCTTCTTAGGTGGCATATCATCGCCGTCGCTGTCAGCATCGGTGTCGGAATCGCTCGCGGACGACTCGCGGGTGCCAGCGCTGAATCCGTAAAAATTCTCGTCGTCCGATTCAAGCGCCTTCGCATCAGGGACTAGTCGAGTCCACACAGAATCGAGTTGCGTCGTCTACTAGATGTTGTAGCCATAATCAATCACAGTAAGTGGAGCCTCATGAGTTACTCGACAATCGCTCGAGCTCGGAATCCTTCCCCGACCACCTAACAAGACGAGAGACGGAGAAGCTCTTGAGTCTTGTCAAAACAAAAGTGACGAGTTCTGCGCTTCGCGTAACTACTTTGAGTCGCGTGACTTTGAAACGTCATAACTTGATTTTGATATCAAACGTCGTAGGGCGGTTTCTATAGTCCCTGGCATTTGTTCTCATGGTGGCACTTCGACACAAGCTCGGATCGCTTGTTGAGGCATCTGGCTTTGTCTGCACGGGTGATGAAAAGCTTCTCCGTGGGGCAGAGATCACCTCTTGCTAGAGCTGGAGTAAGCCCTTGCAGACCGGGCGGTCGACCATGCAATTGGGTGCGGCTTGCCTGCCGTCTTCAACTTCCACACATGCTTGGACGGCTCCGTGATCTTCTCATACCGCTCATGCCGAAATGTGGTGAGGTGGCCGTTGTATCGTTGCTTGAACGTGTTCTCGGTTAGGCCATTGTTATTATTAATATTATTATGCGCTTGTCCGCGTTGACATCACCAAGCATAGTAGAATTTATTATCAACTGTGTTGCTATTCACATCGGCGCGTTAAACAATGCTGCTATCGAGGCACTGCCCGTGCACGGGGCATTCTGGCTTGCTGCGACAGTTGCATGACTTGACCTCTGCCGGCTGCTGGTCATTGCTATCCTCTTTCGAGATTTGGTGGTTGTGACCCCGAATAGTCGACTGCATATTCGGCATTGTGGAATAGCTGACCTTGACGTGGCTAGAGTGACGGTGCACGTAGAGGGGGGTGTCATTCGGCTTCCGATATGCACTAAATCGGCCAGTTGGTAAGTGAAATGTAACGTCGAGGAAGTCAACGGCTGTCAGGTTGCCTTGGATGGTGACTCGGAGTCGTAGGCCGAGGGACTTGAATACCGCAGTGATGTCCTTGTGCAACCTGTCAGGATTGCGTGCAGAGATACTACGGACGGCGGCAAGTCCATCGTCTCTATACAGCCCGATCATACTCCTGTCGCACAGACCCGCCTATTCATTTATTCAGTATTCAGTATTTGTTGTTGGTGTGGCCAAACTGAGATTGCTTAAGACACCAAATTTTGCTTGGTCACTTTTGCCTCTTTGTTCTTTTCCTTAGCCGGGCGATGTTGTGGGAATAGTCGTGTGCCATGATCTGCTACTAACACTGAAGAACGGACGAGTCGAAGGTAAGACATATCCATACCATTGCTACTGCAATTAATAATATTATGTCTGCCATCGACCTGCCATGCTAACCAGGGTGTACAGTATGACAGATACTTCATATACACAATAGTTTGCGCGCTATGCCACCTGCTTTTTCGCGCTTTACTCACTTTTCGCGCCCTGTTTTAGCTACCTGCCTGGGTATAAATTTGGACGCAGATGATGTACAGGTTATCAGTTGTCTGAGGATTGCCTTAGCTTTGCTATGTGCATGAAACGCAGCGTTACAACAATGACCTGGCCGGTTGTCTCTGTTCTCTTCTGCCTTTGTGATACTTCATATACATGTACATGTATTTCTGACTATTTTGTATGCTGAGGCTGAAAGCATGACATTATGCACACTAAACCATTGTACGGAAGGTAAGGCGGGCAGTCCGTTCGTACCAGGGAGAACTAAAAACAAAGAAGGCTTGTCATAGCCCCCCTGCTCCTCGTCTGCATCTACCAGTCTCAATAAATACCTCGGCTAAAACATACTGTTGCAGGCCACTCTTGCATAATAAGCGTGATTGTTGATGGGTGTTTTCGTCCTGACAGGATGTGTAAATGTACCAGCACTCGAAGGCAAGTTTCTTCACTTCCGACCAACGCTCTACCGTTTCCAAAACCGCCCGTTCCCGAGCACTTGGCTGCTGAGTGAAGAGCTGAAGAGCGCTCTCCAGGAGAAGATGTTCTACCACGCCCGCAGCTTATTCAAGGCAACTGCACCCGGCTCTCTTGAATGGTAACGGATTGCTCAGTGCGACCACGTGGTTGGGAGCCACGCATGTTTCCACAGCGTCGTTCCCTCTACTGATTTAGTCTGCATGTTGTTGTACATTGAGCGAACAACCCCTGCAAGCTCTGGAGAAGAAAGACGTTTTGCACGTCACGGAATTCACGAGACACCATTGCCAGGATGCTATTTCTATTGCATATTCACATCAGGGGCTCAAGTGTTTGCACAGTTTTCGTTTCAAGGAGATGCGATGCCATGCTGGCAAACGAAAAAATTGATCCTGCTATTCTCAAAAAAAAAAAGCAGCATACAACTGGAATGTGGCCCTGCTGGTACTGCTGTCTACTACATGCTTTGTTGTCTGATGATTGGGTTTTTGCCATGAAACTCTGAGTTACAACAAAAAAACAGCCCTATTTACTTCCTTTTGTGTACCTCTTGCGTGCTTTGAACTTCTGATTTCCTACACATACCACTTCAAACTAACAAGTATTGACCGTGATACTGTGCCCGTATCGCAACACGCTATACATTCACGTGCATACTACTGCTTATGAGCAGGTGGACAATCATCAGTTACACCACCACTCCACAATGCGCTTACTGACCCATTCCACTAGCGCAGGTAGGCAACTAATTGCATCAACTTTCCCAATGTGCTTGCAACCAAACTGACTAACCTCCACCCGCTTCCTAATGCAGAGAGTAGATCTGTGCTGTTAGATTTCAAAACAGGCTCTTTTGTTTGTTATCACTGCCAAGACACTGTACACATTCTACTATATTTTTACTGTTTGTAATTCAGAGGCTCATTCTTCAGTTATTGCTATTGTCAAGGCATTGTTAGGGCCTGGTCAGACTGCGGCAAAATCGAAATAATCCTAGGATTATAATCCGAATCTCCATAGTAACTTACTTGCCGCCAGAGCGGCAAAAGCGAGAGTTGACGCTCCAAAAAAAAAGCGAGAACGGACCACGCTTTTCCGCTCCAAACAGGATTTGACGCTGATACGCCATTGACGCTGATAATCCTGATTTTTTCATCTCGATATCGAGTTGCTTAAGGCCTCGGTCACACTACGGCAAAAATGCTGCGACAGCGTCAGAATCATGAGCTTTTCCATGGCAACTGACGCAACGCGGGAAGTTTGAGCGTCAGACGCTGCTGCGTCTGACGTGGGGAAATCGGCTGCGTTGCCGCTGATGGGAGTGACGCTTGGCGGAAAAACAGTGTCTTTCAAGTAAAATTAGTTTCAAGACACTTTGCTTGAGTTGAGCAGTTATTCGACATTCGTCTGTTCAAGGTTTGTTTTGTTCCCTCTTTTTGTTCGAGATGAGTCCGTGGACCTACGAGGCCGAGGCTGCTCTGCTCCGAACCTGGCGGAAGAGCGAGGCGTTTTCTGAGAAGAAAATGATGTCGAGAAAGGACCAGTTGTTTGAGTGGGTCATCGGCCAACTGGAGCCTGTTGACTTGTGAGTGTTGTGTTGTCGTCAAGAGCCCCAAAAAGGACAGCCAGTATGACGAAGTCAGGAGAAACACAGCTGCGATGCGGACTTTTCTTGCCTGATCAATGACACTACAACTGAAAATGGCTTCAAATTCGGAAAGAAACAACAACGATCGTGCACGCGTGGACCTAGTACCTTTCGTCTTATCTTCTTGTAATCAAAAATCAATGAAAAATTCGAAAACTTTGTCCAACAATTTTTTTGTATAATAAGCAAAAGGCCAGTTTCCGTGGGAATCCGTGTCGTCATTGAGTTTTCCTGGTGGTTTTGTGACGTAGACAAATGCGTCAAGCCGCGGCACTCATGAGCTGCAAAAAAACAAAACACTGTGTGACCCCGCGTCTCTGTCAAGTGCTGCGGCTTGACGCTGCGTCCAGCTTCAAACTGCCGTAGTGTGACCGAGGCCTAATTGGCCACGGACAACAACAAAACTCATAAGGATGGTTGCAAGGATTGCACTGAAGGTGTTGGCGATCCCCAAGGTGAAAGAATTTGACGTCGTTCGTGGAGATTACCACTTGACGCTCGAAATGAACGGTTTGAATTTTCATTCTCCCCACATGTGTAGTGTGATCGCGATTCAAATTCTGGACGCTTTTCTGTTTTCGTCAGGCAACCAAAATTTGCCGCAGTCTGACCAGGCCCTAAGGCTAAGTAGTTGCACTGTTCGTAGTTCAAAAGAGGCTGAAGCAGTACATGGCAGCAGACATGCTGAGCATCCAGAAACCAAAATGCTGTATTGTACACTGTACTGTACTGTACTGCACTGCACTGCACTGCACTGCACTGTAGTCTGTACTGCACTGCACTGCACTGCACTGTACTGCACTGCATTGTAGTCTGTACTGCACTGCACTGCACTGCACTGCACTGCACTGCACTGCACTGTAGTCTGTACTGCACTGCACTGCACTGCACTGTACTGCACTGCATTGTAGTCTGTACTGCACTGCACTGCACTGCACTGCACTGCACTGCACTGCACTGCACTGCACTGCACTGCACTGCACTGCACTGTACTGCACTGCACTGTACTGTACTGCACTGTACTGCACTGTACGTATCTAATATTGACTGAGTACGAGGTCAATATAGGAAATAAAAGCCGAGTAAAAGACCGAGGCGAAGCCGAGGTCTTTTACGAGGTTTTTATTTCCTATACTGACCAAGTACGAAGTCAATATTAGATTCATCAAGACAAACAGTCCGTATTTCAAATTCCAGAACGATAACCTCATGAATCCCGGTTTTATGATTGCACAACCGTTGCACCACGGCCTACACATGCAGTGACAATGCTGCACTAGGCACCATTCAACTGCGCAACCCCTAAGCAGTCAAATATAAGCAGTCAATATAGCCCTAAGGAGTGAAATATGCAGGAATATTTGACTGCTTAGGTATGGCAAAAATCTATGTGAGTCAATACTAAGGGAGTGATAATGCACTGTACTGCACTGCACTGTACTGTACTGTACTGTACTGCACTGCACTGCACTGCACTGCACTGTAGTACTGCACTGCACTGTAGTCTGTACTGCACTGCACTGCACTGCACTGTAGTCTGTACTGTACTGCACTGTACTGTACTGTACTGCACTGCACTGCACTGCACTGTACTGCACTGCACTGCACTGCACTGTACTGCACTGTACTGCACTGCACTGCACTGTAGTCTGTACTGTACTGCACTGTACTGTACTGTACTGCACTGCACTGCACTGCACTGTACTGCACTGCACTGCACTGCACTGCACTGCACTGCACTGCACTGTACTGCACTGCACTGCACTGCACTGTACTGCACTGTAGTCTGCACTGCACTGCACTGCACTGCACTGCACTGTAGACTTAGTCTGTACTGCACTGCACTGTACTGTACTGCACTGCACTGCACTGTACTGCACTGTACTGCACTGTACTGCACTGCACTGTACTGCACTGCACTGTACTGTACTGCACTGCACTGCACTGCACTGCACTGCACTGCACTGCACTGCACTGCACTGCACTGTACTGTACTGCACTGTACTGTACTGTACTGAAGTAGATATAGAGTAGAACAGACTGAAGTCTTATGGATGGTTCGCCATGGTACTATCAATAATGCTGGTTATGATGTTTGTGTAATACCCATCAACTGCAGCTAGGATAAAGTCATTGGTGGCCTGGTCCTGCAGACTGCTGCTGCTGCTAGCACCGTCGTTCTCTTGCTCAAGGCCAGCTCCCATCTCCATGATCTGCTCCATGGACAGGTGGCCTCTCTTGATGGACTCCAGGAGATCTTGCCGTGCCCTGTTCAGCTGCACGGCCACAAGCTGGATGCTACAACCGTCTTCATAGCACACACACACGCACGCACGCACACACACAATGGACAAGAAGCCAGTATAAGCAAAGTTGTCGCGTCGGTGAATCCCTCTCCTCGCATTCGGTCTACTTGTAATTTCATAATTCAGCGTCGTGTACGTTGGTGAGCTTCAGTCTTGCGAGGTGTAGTACATATCGCACGCTGCGCTCTCTACTTCCGGTCCGTGCCCTTGATCTCCACCCACCATGGCCAGTTGTACTGGCCAGCATCATGACAAGTAACAAGTAACACTTGTCATTCATCATTGTGACCATGGAATGAAGAAAAAAGACCCAAAGCAGAACACATCTGCTGTAGCAGCTTGCAGTACAGTAGCCACTGCTAGTAGTATCATGTGATAGGACTGTCTTGTAGTGGTGTGTAGTGGTGTGTAGTGGTGTGTGTAGTGGTGTGATGTCACGTCACACTGGCTGGATGCAATCGATCAGCAACTCACAGACAGCACTGCTTTATTCGTGTGCTGATTATTTACTAGTACTAGTAGTAGTACAGTAGTAGTACAGTAGTAGTACAGTAGTAGTACAGTAGTAGTACAGTAGTAGTACAGTAGTAGTACAGTAGTAGTACAGTAGTAGTACAGTAGTAGTACTAGTAGAGTAGTAGTACAGTGCTAGAGTAGTAGACCCGTTTGGCCATGACTGTGAACAGGGTGAAGGCCCACTGGGTGCCCAGTGCTAGCTCTTCTGCTAATGCACTCTGGTGCACTCCTGGGTGTGTGTGGGCCTGGTTTCAGTCCTACTTGAGTGCCACAGGAGTTATTTTTTACTGTGCTGTCACCGGTGAATAGCAACGTATCGCCTGGAATCAGGAGTACTAGCACAATAATACATCAAAAGAGGTTGGGGGAGGAGATTTGAGAGTAAATTAATTATCGTGTCCGTTCCCGAGGGAACTCAGGACGGCCGCTAACACCCGGTTACAACCGCTTACTACATTGTTACTGCGATTTAGTAAGCAGCAAAGTTTGGAACGGGAAAAGCCCCTTCCGAAAATCTGTTGATTTACAGTACTCGAAAGCACGGTCACTGTTAGCAGGCACTGTACAATGTACACAAGCTGAACATGACTGTGATCTGATCTTGTAATAGTAACAGTAATACACGACAAGTCATGCACATCTACCATGCTAAAATAGCAAACATGGCCGTAATGATCTGATAGCAGACCTTCGTGTAAGAAAAATCCAGGAGAGTGAACAATCACTCTCGCAATCTTCGATTGTAAGTCGCACCCCCTTTTTCACCCTTGATTCTTAGTGTAAAAAGGTGCGACCTATAATCAGGGAAATACGGTACACAGTTTACAGTTGCCATGGCAAACATGACTGATCTGATCTTGTAACACACATGCACAGACTGCACCATGGCAAATGTGACTGTGATCTATAGGCTTACCAGGCAGGTTGGTCACTGTGGCTGATATGCGCTTACGCAGGACCTGGTCAATCTGGTGTTGAGTATTGCTCTTGGTGACAGCCTGTGCATTCGCCTACATGTGGATACAGGGTACAGAAGAAAGAATTCTCTCAACAGCACATTGGCACAGCCCACTCGTCCAAAAGGAGAAAATAGTATAGCCTGACATATTGGAACGTGCCAAATACTACCAATAAATTTGCTTGATGATCGTAACTACGTGAAACTCGGAGTTGCAAAACAGCTTAAACTTTCTCTCTCTCTCTCTCTCTCTCTCTCTCTCTCTCTCTCTCTCTCTCTCTCTCTCTCTCTCTCTCTCTCTCTCTCTCTCGCCTCTCCTCCCTCCCTCCCTCCCTCCCTCCCTCCCTCCCTCCCTCCCTCCCTCCCTCCCTCCCTCCCTCCCTCCCTCCCTCCCTCCTCTCTCTCTCTCTCTCTCTCTCTCTCTCTCTCTCTCTCTCTCTCTCTCTCTCTCTCTCTCTCTTTCTCTCCCTCTCTCTCTCTCTCTGTTCTTTGCAGTGTTGGTCAAACACCTACAAGTACTGTCGTGGACATGGAAGCCTGGTCGGAAGACAAACGGCCCCAGGGCGCTGGCCATGCAGCCGTTAGTACACGTGCGCTGCGATCAACATGTGCACTGCATGCAACGTTCTGTACGCACTGAGGGCGCCGGCCCCGGTCATTCGACTGGAATTCCATGTCCACAACAGTAGGTAGACTAGCAATAGGTAGATGAGCACCAATTAACAGTACCAAGATCAAAACAGCTGTACGAATGAATTCAGAGGATCCCAAAGAGATAATATCTTGATGTTGGTGTGGGAGATGAAGTACGATTGGCCCAAAAGCGTGATGATGGTGGTGTGAAAGGTGAAGTTGCAATGGCATTAATTTTATATGAGTGTACCCTCTACAGCATAACACATGACGCACTTAGTTGCAGCACTGACAAACAACTTACCCTTTCCACAAGCTTCACTAGAGGGTCCGACAAAGCCGGTGGAACAGTGAGCTTGCTGAAAAAACCCTCTGCCAACTCTAACCTAGACATGGCAACACAAACACACGCAGTCATGGCCAGAACCCGAGTGTCAACAAGGTAGATAGACACTGCATAACTAAGTTATGCAAGTGAGACAATACCACATAACACTATCACACTAAAACACTACACCATACGTCAAACCTGCACACACTGGAAGGAGATGCTCCGCACCAGGAGTGCCATTCTGAGTAGCTCAGTTGTCTCCAACCATGCCAAACTAACAGCTGAAGAAAGAGCAGCAGTTTGTAAATTGTTTGTTATGAACATTGATCGAATTTCAGCATTCCCCAAGGCAGCCACTACTCGCTGGAATCGCTGATACTAGTTCACAGGGGTGATGGTTGAACTAACATATCCAGAATGAGTACATAAAACAAGCAATCATGTTTGGACAAAGTATACACACTGTTCTCAGACGTGTTTCTTACATATTCGGGATCGGGTGTACAGAGTCAACAGTCGAAAAGCAAGTTTCCCAACTTCGTGCCCCGGGCACCTCCATATTGGCATGCATTTTCTCAATCGTGGCCGGAGTTACCAGTGAGTGTCGCTCCTGATTACGCTTAATGGCCAAAGGTACAGAGCAGCTGAGATGGAGCTGACCAAACGGAAGGGAAACTGCAATCAAAGCAACACCAGGCATACATATACTCGTACGTGCACAATCAAGTACGAGTACCATTGGTCGTGGTGATGGGACACCCTCTTGGTACTTAAATTTTATTGTAAAGAAAACAAGTACTTCAAGTAGTCAAGCACACATACGCACACACACACACACACACACACACACACACACACACACACACACACACACACACACACACACACACACGTCGCAAGTCACAAGACAGAAGGGGGGGGGGGGAGAGAGAGAGAGAGAGAGAGAGAGAGAGAGAGAGAGAGAGAGAGAGAGAGAGAGAGAGAGAGAGAGAGAGAGAGAGAGAGAGAGAGAGAGAGAGAGAGAGAGAGAGAGAGAGAGAGAGAGAGAGAGAGAGAGAGAGAGAGAGAGAGAGAGAGGAGAGACAGACACAGACAGACAGACAGACACAGACAGACAGACACAGACTGACAGACACAGAGAGAAAGACAGAGAGACAGAGAGACAGACAGAGAGACATACAGACAGACACAGAGACAGACAGATAGACAGAGAGAGAGAGAGAGAGAGAGAGAGAGACAGACAGAAAGAACTTCAATCCAATCCAGTTCCCTCTCTTCTGTCTATTCCAACTCCAACCAACTCTCCTCTCTACTCCAACTCCAATCCAGTGAGTTCTCTTATAGAATAGTCTAAGAATACTGTGCATTACATGCCCACACACAGGTACCAACTGCTGCACGTATCTCACTAATTGATGCTGTTCACCGTCGTTATGTCACTGTATAATGGTAGAGTACTCGGAGTAACTTCTTTGCTCTTGACATTCATTTCTATTAGCTGCGACAGAACATGTACCGTTAAGTCGCGGATAAAAGCCGGGCTTATAAGCACATAAGCCGCTTTCTGCATCAGGCTTGTATGCAAACCATGCTTATATGCACCACACTTGCATACAAGCCAGGCTTCTACGCGCGACACGCGTAGATCTACCACTGACTACCGGTATGGTGGCAGTTTTACTATGCACTGTACATAGCACATGCACTCTTGACCTACCCGATCCGCGCTTGCATAGAAGCCAGGCTTCTACGCGCGACAGGCTTATATGCATTTGACCCGTTTGATTTTCAGGCTTCTATCCGCGATGTGCTTGTATGCAAACCCGGCTTTTATTCGCGACTTTACGGTACGAGTGTTTTGTATTTGTATTTTTTTCATGTATGTATTTGCAGTGAACACAATGAGAAGCCCTAGACGGCACTGAGTGCACATACTGTACGCCACAGTACTGTGAGTACATGTACTCACATTCTCTTGCTAAGCTGTAGTAAGGGTAGCGCATGCTGCCGTAGTACATGTTGTCATCAACGATCACAATGTGAGCACAACTACATGCACAAACACACCACACAGTCACAAGAACAGGTCATTCCATGTTCTCCAAGCTGGACAGAGAGAAGCAAGGTGTGCATATTTGAACCCCGTATAATATTACCAGGCACTCGGGTGGGAAATTTGAGTCAAAGTGAAAGAAAATTCAAATTGGAATACATGCCACCTTTTGGAGAATATTCTGGTTAGGTAATATGATGGCAATACGCTGCACCTGGATTGCAAACACAGTAAGCATGGAAGTGCAAAAACAAACCAGCAGTCGACAATGGTCATAGCTCAGTCCTGAGGAAAACTGCAGTCATGATTCACCCCCACCAAGTCAGCACTCTAAGTGTACGGCCAGATCAGCATAATTCACCCCCACCAAGTCAGCCCTCTAAGTGTACGGCCAGATCAGCACAATTCACCCCCACCAAGTCAGCACTCTAAGTGTATGGCCAGATCAGCACAACAACAACAACAACAACAACAACTGCTTGCTGCCAAACTACATCTCAGCACGCGGTTGCTCTAGAGTACTGAGCACCAGCCGTGCAGGTGAATCAGACGAGCAGCTCGCTAACACCCATTCTGGATATGCAAGTGGTACCATACAATTGATGAGGAGTGCCTAGCCTCTCAGGATGACGGCAGAGGCAGTGAACATGCCCTTGCCGAACTGTCGACTTTCAACCCATGCAACACCTCGCTACATATCGGAGACCATGAGGTGCAATCTACTACGTAGGTTGGGGAGAGCGTGCACATCGTCCCAAACCACTTTCCAGAGGCACACGTGCACAGCCTTTCGCACCTGCAGCAGACAGCCAGTGCGATGCGTTGGTTGCTTGCGGCCAACGCCTGGCTTTTAGGTACAATCATGTATGTCCGTCCGGCGTCCCTTGATGCGCTTGTAGCTTGCTACCTACTTGAAGTACTATGGCTAGGCCCACTGGACATACACCCAGGCGTGTGACCAAATCCTTGCATGATGGCAGACTAGAAAATGGAGACGTTCTCGGTCACAATGACCTTTTCCACATTATTGGAACAAGACGCCTAAATATCCCATCGGCAAGTGGTAATTTCTCGCTCAGAGCACAGGGCACTGTCAAGTGGTGCGGAACACGCAGAGCATACTAAAGGCCAAGAAAGAGAGAACAGTTCTACACACCAAACACTTAGCACTGGGTTACCATAGTCAACAGACTGGCAAACTTACCCAGTCAAGCATACGTCATACGACGATGGCCTCAAACAAGTGCAGCGAGAACGCTTGAGCACATTCTCCATGAACTGACCTACTCCTGGCACAGCCGGCTCAGTTGAGCGGGTAGCTCCGTTCAGAGCGCGCAGGAGCCATTTCACGCTAAGGTATAGATGTTGGCGTTTGTGTCGCCATGTGATGGCCTCGGGACCACCCACATGCAGCAGAGCCTCCCTTTCAACCTGCCATCAAGCAGAACAAGGTAACAGGGCACAAAACACTCTGAGCGCAGGTATACATACATAGTACACTTTTTTTTATTAACATCTCAATCTGAGCACGGGCTGAGCAGTTCAGCCAACCAATGCCACGAGAGCCAGCCAAAGCCTTGTGTGCAGTGCTTACGCGCTTGATCATCGCACAGTCACCATATAAAAGCAGTGCTTACGGTCAAAACAGCATACGTTAGACCATGCATGCTTCTAGTCACACTGCAAAGCAATAAGCAAAAACTTAAAAAGGCATGGGTGCATGTTCACACCCTCTTTAACCAATTTGGCAATAATATTTGAAATAATAGGGAGGTTTCGCTCTACGGAATTACGCATGAAAATAACGTAGGAACTGCACGGAATTTTCATACGTAAAAATCAGAGCTGTTGGGTTTCGCTCTAAGTGATTTCTCCACGACTGCTAACCATGCATTGTTGCTTTGGAGACGCGTTGGCTGCATGCGCCCACTGCATGCGCCCACTGCATGCACCATGAACCGAGACCGCATTTTTTTCATTATTTTGCACGTGGTGTACGGTGTGTGTACCTTGTGTTTCGCGCGGCTTGAACGTTGCCATGGACAAATGCGGAAAATGCGAAAAATATTTCGAAAAATCCTACGGAGGACCCAACGTAGGAAAGAGCTTTCCTACGGAAATCCGTAGAGAGATTTACGTATGAAAGTTGCCCTCGCTCCCTGGAGCGTACGACGTACGGATTTTCATACGTAATTACGTAGAGCGAAACCTCCCTAATATTTGAAGTTGGCTGCCCCTGAAGTTGGAGCAGTTGAGGCACGATGGTAGTCGTTTTCAGTGAACAGAATGGTTAATCTCCGCAAGTGGATTGGGGAATAAAATTTATGATTCTCTGGGTAGTACACTTTCGCGTCCGGAGTTGCCATGGGCAGCAACGTGGTTCGAAAATTCTGTATGGCGGAACCGGAACACCGATCCAAATGCAGTGTATGTACGACTTTCCGTAGATCGACTACAGTTTTTTACTAACAGAATTACGTAGTGAATTGTGTGTTGCTCCCCGTCAAGTGATAATTCAAGTCGGCAGGAAAAGCGCGAGGTCCCGCGTAGGGAGCAACACACAATTCCCCAAGTATCGCCAAAGTCGCACCAACCTCTTCTTCACAATTATGTAGTGCATGCACTTCGACTCTACATAAACAAACAACAAACAAACAATGTAATAGAGCATTGGAAAAGTAGCGGAATAGTGCGATAGTGCGGAATCTCTCTATCGCTGGCACATTTAGCGCTCATATTTATCACCTAATCAAGTAGCAGACAACCAGCTCCAGTGCGTGTCACTTGAAGTAGTATCTTTCACCACTGCTGTCATTCACACCTTTCAAATTCATGCCGTGGTACAGTCTTTCACACTTGCTGGCTTTTACACTTTTGCCTTGTGGGTATATAAACCAGTATTCAGAATCACTCATTACTGTTTTCTGATGATCGCTTAGTGCGTGAAACTCCGAGTAAAAACACTTTTTTCATCCTCTTTATTATTATTATTATTATTCAAAGTATCAGTCGGGGAAGTGAACTGCCTGAAAAGAGAAAAAAACGCCAGACCCACCAGGACTCGAACCTGGGACCCTGCTTGTCATGAGCAATGCTCTAACCACTGAGCTATGGGACCAGGCTGAACCTAGAAGGCGCTGACAAGTTTTTCACTCCAAAGCTTCTCTTTTCAGGCAGTTCACTTCCCCGACTGATACTTTGAATTTGAAGTTCTCCCAATCCTTTCCAAATTATTATTATTATTATTTCACCGTCCAATGGCAGAAGCCAATGCAAAGGAGGGGGCGTTAGCCAGCCATGGCAAGAGAAAAAAAAAGAAAGAATGAAGGAAAGAAGATGATAATCGGAAGAAAATTATGCATCAGCGGGGCTCTTATTATTGTTTGCTCTCCTATTACATGTAAAACTATCAACATTTATAATGCATACTACACACTGCTTGTCGTCAGTGGAGCCGGGCTATTTTTCCAATGTTCTATTTATAATACATGCACATGAAAAGCGACAGTGCATTGCACGGATCACACACCGTCACAGCACTGCGCACAGTGCTTCAAGTACATAACAGGACTGCAGGACTGCCATGCTAGAGACTAACTGCCAATAGTAATACAATCATGTATGTGTACAAGCATGTGCACTGCGCACAGTGCTTCAAGTACATAACAGGACTGCAGGACTGCCATGCTAGAGACTAACTGCCAATAGTAATACAATCATGTATGTGTACAAGCATTTGAAAAGGCTTATTGTACCTTCAAGTCACTTTCACCGATGAAGTCATCGAAGTTTACAACAACAACGTGACAAGAAGGAAAGCTGGTACCCTGTGCTAGAGCCTGGCATAACGTGGACTTGCCACTTCCCGGTAATCCAGACAGAAGGACGAGCTTCAACTCTGCCATTCAAATTCTAAAGTAACGTGGTCAGAAACATCTGCAAGCCCGATGTGAGGCACAACTTTCTGAGCACGACTTTCTAGAAACCAGCCAGGGGAACACACATGATTCAATCTGGACGCATGTAGCTTCAAGCGTCAGCACAATGGATTACAGAGGACTCATAGTCATAGAACATTACACAAACAAGCTTGTTGCTTTCATGATCGATTCACTCAGCTGCATCGATAATGTTTTCACAAGACATTTTTTGAAGTAAAGTTCGAATTTGAATCGAAGGCGAACATGAAAAGTTGCTGGGATTGCCATGGCAACCAGCGACGCAGGGACAAAATTGTTTTCATTTTCGACTTTCAGATAATTATTGCCTTGTGTTTTTGTATCTTGCCGAGGCCTTTCACTCCATGATTTGTGTGAATCAATCATAATGTCCCTTTACGATGGGCTTGTCGACTCCTCTGCCCAGGAGAAAGTGTCCCAGGTGGATAGTGAACGAGATGGCTCCTCAGAAAGACCAGAATTGGCGAAAGTCTGTAAGATTTCATTTTCAAGAGCAATTGATGCACGATTACGACCCACTCAGTACCTCGTATGCAAGTGTGTTGTGCTGATACTGAACATGTCCGTGCTTTACTGCAAATTTCTGAGCTTCTTTTGTATTGAGCACTGCGTGAGCAGTGCCTATTGCAAGCACTGAATCTGTTTGTGATGGTTACTGATAGCCTGTTCGTATCAGTATCACATACTACAAACGTATACACGTACTGGCACTACCACTGCTGTGGTGGACACACTCACACAGTGCGCATGGCTGGATATTGATCATGGGTGTGGACACATTTTGTAACATTTTGGTGACACCAAAGGCTGCATGCGATAATCACACATCTGGATGTTGCTGTGTAATAACATTCAATTTGGTAGGGATAATTTGCTCATAAACTACTCCTGCATTGTATTCGGGGAAAATGCACCATATACCAAAGCCTAGTGGATGTCTATATAGTACAATGTGGATGGGTGTTGTAAATGCGTGCGCGCGCGCGCGCGCGTGTGTGTTGTGTTTGTGTGTTCCTGTGTGTTTCTGTGTGCCGATGCATATCTGTACTTATCGATGGTGAACAGCTGGATGGTCAAGCAGTTACAAATTCCTGTCGAGTCAGTTACAACGAAAGAAGGCATCGACTACTAAACTTACACAAGTCGTGGTGAGTTCTTTTACAACTGTCCTTGATACAGTATTTGTAACTACTGGGGTAAATAGTGAAACATTGGAGAGCATCAGTTAGGGCCATGTTTCAGAACTAACTTCAGCCCTCACCAACGCTGTACAAAGCGTCACTGACCCGTTTCTCAACGGTCGCGCTCATTGACCAATCAGCGTACACCTAACGTACCAAAATTCTCAAACTTACCGTAATTCCTTGGTTCATACGGTGTAGTTTCCAAAGATTTTTTATTGGCCAACGTCTTCATTCGATAGATACCAACAGATTGTCCGCTTCGAATTTTTCGATTTGATGGCTGTTTGGCCGAAAATTACCTCCCAAATCGGCCTCCACTCGTGCCACTTCAAGGCTTTCCAAGTGGCCAGCATCGCAATTCGGAAGCGGAGAAAGGATAGCCAGTGAAAAAAGAAAAACAACGACGTGTTGGTTGTCAAAATCGACCAAGAAATGAATTCAATAGACCAGTTTCCGTGCTGCGCCCTCGCTGCCTGCGCGAGTGCGAAAAGGACCAAAGGGATTCTTTCTCGGCAAAAACAAACAAACAACAGCTACATGCATCTACGCGCCGTGCAGGTGCTTTTTGCAGTGCAGTAGATCGACCTACACTGTCACCACTGCACTGACTGTACATACCAGTAGTAGGCAGTACTCGGCGGTAGTCATGTAGAACCAGACTGGATGCCAACACTGACCGGCCTTGATGGTCAGTGTTCAGAGCTACGAAATCTATGATTGTAGAGAAGCTCTCGAACGAGAAAGCTTCAAAAATAATTATTGTTGAGAACAGCTAGCTACAGGTCAAGGCAGACGAGGAGGCTTCGAATTATTAAGAAAGAAGAAAGCTGGTGAGATTATCAGTACTTACAGCATTAGGACTGGATTTCCTCGACTTCAGCCTCGGCTGTTGCAGCGGGTGGAGCCTCGATAGCATCAGTGGATGTGCTGGCGGAGACGATGGATTTTGTCTGCGCGGAAGCAGCATCACCCTTCCTGGTGGGAATAAATATAACGCTGTGTTTTCGGCCACTCTCCTGGAGGGTCGCAACATCCTCTGCATGTGCAGGTCGGCTTGGATGACGCTGCAGAGCCTGTCGATGGACTTCCTCAGTCGTCAGTGTCCTTCCTGCAGTGGAAGAGGAGGCTTTTCTGGAGGCAAGGTTACCCTGCGCTTGCTTTATTTTCTCACGAGTCACTGTGGACGTGTACCTAGCCAACCTCTCCCGCATCTGCTCCTTGTGATGGGAGGTCACCCTGTCCTCACCATCTCTATCACTGTGTAGGACGTTCTCCACAAACAGGTGAGACGCTTGCTTGGACTCTTCCGACTCATTATGGGAGAGGTAGATGGAGCCGATATTGAACTGGCGCTCAGCGATGGCGTTGCTGACGGGCAGGCAGAAGATGTGCTTGGCACACCAACTCCACAGATGCTGCTGTGAACTCGCACTTGGACACGATGGGCCTGACATCATTGCCACCTCCACGATGTCCACCAGTAGCTCTGGGCGATCCATTTCCCAACGTTTCCGCCAGGTGTTGATGTCTTGCAGCTGATCCACAAGGAGCGACAGTACGACGTACTCATCCAGCCAAGAAGCACTGGGATCACACGTTAAGACATGAACCACCTCCACCAGCTCCAGTTCAATGGCCGTGTCCACGACAGCGTCCATGTCACCGCAGTTCGCTGCCTCGACGAGGAGGTCTGAGTTCTCCACTGCGATCGCCAGCGGGGCACTATTGATCAGTGCCTCGCGTCCGGTGGCCCGCAACCATGCGCGCCAAAACATAGTGCGGTGTGTGGTGCTTGCTCCCATACACAGCAGTAGCGGGACACATAGCCACCGAGTTGCATGCTTCTGCAAGGCTGCAGCTATCGCAGAAGTGAATGCAGGCAGGATCTCGTTGTGGAAGACCTGCTGGGATGATGCGTCAAGCCTGGCCGCTGACTGGATGGTCTGGGTCAGGGCGAAGTGAGGATGGGTGGTCATGAACGACGCTTGGCGAATATCCTGCAGAACCCGGGTTGGCCACATCCGAGCGAGGTAGCTACTGGTGAAATTCAGCTCATCATCCTGGCTGTGGCAAGAATACAAGGCGGGCATCAGCAAGTCGTGCAACACTTCCCATAGGAGGCAACGCTCCGTGGCAAGGACAGGACTTGCGGCCATTTCTATGATCTCCCGCCATATGCCGTAGTGAGAATTCGACTTAGGCATAGACTTGAGGACTGCCTTGCCCATCTGGATGCAGCTGTCCCCATGCTGCCACCACCACCTCAGGTGCTCAAACATATAGGACCACCTGCTCTCCACAAACTCCTGGGGCAAACTGGGTGCCTTCTTACAGATGCCCTCGGATGTGTACAGGGCTCTGTAAAATGATGGGTGCTGGTGGTGGACATAAGCAACTTAAAAATGTAGCTGGTACAAGTTAAAATCACTCATTCCACCTCTGCCGCCAAAGCCATCGCCGATTGCCGTCTTCAGCGCGATATTCACAATATGTGGGTAGCAGCCGATGAAAGTAACTTTTCCTCCAAAAAGCTTGCCTAGCTCAACGGCGTGACCTTTCTTTGCACCGGACTGCGTTGTTGCGTTGTCGCCCATGACGGTTGCCACTGACTTTACACCGAACATTGAGGTTAGGATGTGGTGGTCGGCTGACGCTTGGTCGCTACCTCTGCTGCTGGCAATGACGGTATTGGCCAGAATGTAGCCAACTGGCCTGTTTTGCTGCGCTGACCAGACGTGAACACCCATGATATGACGTTCGTCATGGCCTTTATTGGAGTCGTCAGCAAAAAGACATACATCACTGTCGACAGTGGCCAAGACGTGCGATAAATTCAGCCGGTCGACCTCACCAAGCACCACGTTCCATCTGCTCAGCGTTGTCGGCGAGACTTCCCACCCCATGTCCCCGCTGTTTGTTTTGATGAGCAGATTGCCAAACAAGTCGAGAGCAAGCGAAGCCTTCTGGTTGCTCAGAATACAAGCATGTTTGATGAACCTCACACCAGCCATAAAACCAGTCGTGTGCTTGCGCACTCCATCTTCTACCACTACAGCAGACCGAACAGCTGTGCCATGCGTTGTTGTTGATGCCTTCATGTCTTTGAATGTTTTTTTTTAATTTTGTTGCTTGGCTGTGTGCTCCACGCAGCTGATCCGTCTGCCGCTTGCATTCCGCCTGTAGTTCTTCGACAGCTGTTTCGAGTGACTTTGCTTTAGCTTCTAGCTTGGCGTTTGCTTCTAGCAGATGTTGACGACTTTGTATCAGTGCTGTGTATGTGTCCGCTGAGATCGTGACTTGCTGTGGCTGCTGTTTCGGTGTCTTCTCTGTGTCTGCGCATAACAAGACACGCATGAGCGTACGTTCACAAGCAGCACATCCAAACGTTAGCTGTTTGTGGATGTACCACCATGTAACTGGTTGATACTCTGACGGTGCCACGTACCATGATTATGTAGATCGTAATAATATGCATGTATGAACTGATATACCGGTAATTGCAAGCGGGTTATGGTGCATGTGCCGTGAGAATTACTCGCGCATTTGATGGTTGTTCCTCTATACTTATTGAGCCAATCGCCAGCAGTTTACATTTTCAATACAATAATAATTATTACCGTTAATACTCATAAAAAGGACACACTTCAGGCTCATTACAAACATCTTGAAAGTTTTTGTCTTCACAAGTATACTTTCAAGCCTTCTCATCAGGTGAAATACAGGCAAGGGAAAAGGAACAGGAACAGTGGATTAAATACAGTAAGAAGGTGGTAAAACAGCGCAAAAAGAAAGAAAGAAAGAAAGAAAGAAAGAAGATAGCTAAAGTAAACAGCGAATTATTGCAATTTTCGCTGTTTACTTTAGCTATCTTCTTTCTTTCTTTCTTTCTTTTTGCGCTGTTTTACCACCTTCTTACTGTATTTAATCCACTGTTCCTGTTCCTTTTCCCTTGCCTGTATTTCACCTGATGAGAAGGCTTGAAAGTATACTTGTGAAGACAAAAACTTTCAAGATGTTTGTAATGAGCCTGAAGTGTGTCCTTTTTATGACTAATTATTACCGTAGTTATAATTACCTGCGGCAGCGGCTAACTGGTGGTCATGGTGCGGACTGTCCTCTGAAACTGGCGGAGCGGCTTCTGTAATACTTTCATCATGTTCATGGGGATGGATATGTTCGGCGTGGGCGTTTTCCAATGACGGGTTGATATTTGGCTGTGCAGACAAAATTATGTGGAATTGAATATTATCGTATTATGAATTAATTAATTAGACTGGAAACATTAACATGTACTATTATACCTGGCATGTACCGGCTCTACTCGTGCATAACCTGGCCACTTTCCCACTTGCTACAAAGAATCAACACCACTTACGCTCTCTTCGATGGGATCTTCTTCCTGGTACTGCTCTTCACTGTTAGAGTCTAGGTCGTCATCTGGCTTTTGTTTCTTCGCAGGGTTGGTCGCATTGGAAAACCAGCTTGCGTTCTTTCTCTTGCGAGAGAAATATCCCGTTCTTTTCCACGGCATGATTGTCGCTAATGGGAGAACTCAGCCACCTGAAGCTTTCAAAAAGGAAGCATCAGATGAATGAGTTCGCCAGAAAAATAATAAGAACGACAAGAAAATAGGTGCAGCTGCATTCGATATTCGCGCGCTCGTGAGACGACGGCGAGATAGGACTGAGGACACAGCTAAACTACGATAGACAGTCTGCCGATGCTAAAAAAAGAGCTCCTCTAGGAGAAGCTCGGCGCGCCGTAAAGTCTGCACTATTCTGCTGCAAGAAGACAAGAGAACCAAACTCAGACTACAGCTTGGAGTTGGAGACGAAGCAAAAGCTGAGCTGGTTTAAAAAAAAATGGGGAAAGACAAGAAAATGAGTAGCGTCGAGTACGCGACATGATCTTTAGCTCGAAGACACGCGGGGGGCACGTGCGCCCACGGGTAGCGCGGCTAGCCGCCATGTTTTCAAAATGGAGGTCGACGCTTTTGAAATCTGTGTAGACGATGGTGAGGGCTGAACTTCAAGGAAATGATTAGGTGCATATCAAGTAAATCAATCTTGTCTAGGTATGTGTAGGAGCAGCCAAAGATAGTGGGCTGACAGTTGACACTACCGGGCAGCTTTAATATCTCTTGACAGAATATACATGACTTAGTGTGCTCACTGGCCACCAAGATCCATTACAGGTCTACCCCCATCAGTACGACATCGGTTGCAAGACAAGCCTCATTAGTAGACAACGATCAAAAATCCCCTGATGCCTGAAACCAAGAGTACATAACCCCCCAAGAGTGTGCAACTCCACTATGGGTGATGTCCCGACAGAATTTCAAGTTGACGTCATTTTTATGATGCAATGCGCACTGCACACGGATTATCAGACGAATCCGGAACCTGTGGTGGACCAAAGCTCATCTGATCCTGTACAAAGAAAAACGTGTGATGCGTTGACACCCGTACACGTGTTGTAAATCACTGGTGCAAGGAGCATTGCATCATAAATAATGACGTCAACTTGAAATTCTGTCGGGACAGCAGGGTATGTGGGAGTTACACACTCTTGGGGGGGGGGGGGGGTGATATACTCTTGCTGAAACGCATACGTTCACGTCTGGATAGTAGATAGTACTCATTCTAAGAGAAACAATTTGAAACCGCCGCCGGGGTTATCTACTCACGACGGTAGACCTGTACTTGCTGCTCAGGGCTTCCTGTAACCAGTAGTGCTGTCATCGCGCACTGGTGAAATAATCCGCACGCCTAGTACACATTACAGTCAGTAGAGGAACACAGCACTTTGGGCTTTTTGTGATGTTCTTTATTCTGGGTTACGGTTGTCAGCGTTGCATGTCCGCAATACGTGTCATTTTTCTTCTTCTCTATGCTCTGATCAGAAATCTAACCGTGCGCCGGCTCTGCCGCCTGTAGCAAGTCTAGGGATGCGGCCAGGAGGTGATTCATTCGGATCCATGCCACCGCCGTCATTAGTAAGTTGCCGCATTGTTCTTTCTGTGAAATTGTTTCTTTCACGACTGTGTCTCTCATGTTTCTTTTAGACAACAGTCCACCTAACACTCACAGTGGTAGCTTCTTGTATCCACCTCCTGGTGAGGATCGCCTTTTTTACTGTGGTAGCTTAGGAGGTGGATGCAGGAGCTAGCACTGCGTGTGTATTTGTGGTAGTGCTGAAACGATTACGTTTTTTCCTTAGTGGCTTAGCTGATACCATAACGATCGGCTTATCGGCTAAACGATTATTATTGTAACTACATCAGTACAGTCATGTGCATTCTGTGACTTTCAAAAAATTTACGAGTCCAACATCGCCAACGACGGAAAGCGGCCGCATAGATCCGATGATCCCGCAACAAGCCCGTCAGCTGTTCGGACTGACCAGACGATTACGGACGAGACAGAGGCGACGCACTGGTTGCAACCCAAGAGCTGATGGTGCCCTTCGCCTGTGACTTCGCTGAGTCCGACGATGAAGTCAGAGAAGCCGGCCAGGGGTGCAGATCGGCGGATTTCGGCGGATGAGCTGACTAGAGGCGCGCCAACAAGTAACTAGTTGCTTTTCCTGTCTATGCTCTAAATATTAATTGGACCAGACGCCAGGCCTAGCTCGTCGTCGACCAAACTGGTTCGGGAACCGTCGATAGAACGGAAAACATGAAACTGAAAACCACTTTACTGTCTTTGGCTCAAGACAACTCGCACGCGGGGAGAACTCCAGCACCTGCAGCTAGTGTAGACACATACTGAGCCGGCCAGTCCTGCATGCTGTATGTAAGAAAAGTAGTCAGCTAAAAATATGGCAACAGTGATCGCGTCGATGTTTCTCAGATCTCGCTTGTACTTACACGTACGTCGACGTTGCAAGTGTACAGTCATGTACCATCGTGTCGTACTCACAACACTTTCGGTGCATGCACGCTTTGTGCAACCCCCAAGAGGGAGGAAATCCCATACCGAGCGTAAGTACCATTCTACTCGTTTAACCGATAAAATCGAAATAACCGTTCGATCTATTTCTTATCGAGTAAGTAACGAGTAATCGATATAATCGTTTCAGCACTAATTTGTGGTGGTGGTGGTGGCACTGTAAACGTACCTTCCAAGCTGATGTGGATGCAACATATGTGTGCTGTGTCTGACCCAAACCTCTTCTCTCTCTCTCTCTCTCTCTCTCTCTCTCTCTCTCTCTCTCTCTCTCTCTCTCTCTCTCTCTCTCTCTCTCTCTCTCTCTCTCTCTCTCTCTCTCTCTCTCTCTCTCTCTCTCTCTCTCTCTCTCTCTCTCTCTCTCTCTCTCTCTCTCTCTCTCTCGCTCGCTCACCCCCCCCCTCCCTATCTCTCTCAATCTACTAGTATCTATCTATCTCCCCCCCCCCCATCCTCTCTCTCTCTCTCTCTCTCTCTCTCTCTCTCTCTCTCTCTCTCTCTCTCTTGCCCTGTAATAGGGAGCTGGAGTGTGATAATCTCATAGACCCTGCTTTTAAACAGGCAGCTGCTTCTTTGTGTACTTTAAACTGGAGCTGCAGAACTGATTGCTTATGATCTGTGCATCTGTGGTGTCATGCTCTGCACAGGAGGATATGCAGTTACCTAATACAAAGTTTGATCAGGTGAGTTGAGTGCCGCTACTTTCTGACATAAGTGCATGTAGATACAAGTAGTAAGTACCCCCTGTCGATTTCTACCTGCTTTTTCATTTCCTGCCGTTGTGACCGTCTGTGTGTCCATTGCCCACAAGTCTCCCAGACTCCACCAATTAGGAAAAAACAGTTCAAGGTATGCCTTGGCATCTCTCAGCGTGCCATTCCGACCTCCTCCTTGTCCTCATCCTCAGCATGGCATCTCTCCAAATGTCGTATACTACTGTCTACATGTAGGATCAGGAAATATTCTCCTGGCAGTAGTTTAGTTTGAGTATGATCTGTGCTGGCCGCATGCTGTGTTCATTCATCCTCTACTGTACTGGCAATGGTTTGGTATTGGATTTATTCTGGCTGCCGGTGTGGCTTTGTGTGTTGTGTTGTCCTGTGTTGTGTGTAGGAAATAATGCCGCCACCCCCCGCTGATCTCAATCTACCACCGCCTGCGCCTAAGCAAGCACCACCAGCAGCAGCAGCACCGCAAGTAGCTGTCGCTACCGCCACATCGTCGCATGACACTCCGTACCCCACCATCGCCAACGAGTACAACCCACTCAAGCCAAACGATTACGAGAAGCTGCGACGAGAGCGGGACCGAAAGCGGCGAATTAAGGAGGCCGAAGAGGAGCGAGAACGAAAGTACGTCCCGTTAGTTCGGAGGCTTGCGGTTTTCCACTTGGTGTCTTGTCTGCGCTGCAAAGCTGCGAATTACTGGTGACTATACCCTCATATCTCTCTTATCCGGGCGGTCCGGGACCGGGCACTGCCCCCAACTTTGAAATGTCCATATAAACTCTGAATCACATGTGTTTTAATGGGGAAGGGCCAAATATCTGGCATATGACGTCACTATCTCCACAGAAGATTGACAAAAGAGTAGTCATATTTCTGCAAGACTCACCCACAGGGTATCCGGTGGACCGAGATACCCGTAACTTTGAAGTCCAAATATGAGAGGTATGAGTGTATAGGTATTTTAAACTGGTCAAGAAGACGCATATAGGAAACGAACTCCTGTGTCACAGGCGGACCAGGAGCTCAGTTTCAGTTTCCTGTGTGCTGGAGCTCCTGGTCACATGGATCGTCTTAGAAACTGGCTCTCATCGCCCATTGCTTGTGGCATATGTTGAACTTGATTTGTCTTCTTGTGATCTACTCTGTGATAGGCTTGCGACGGTCAGTAACAGTCAGCGTTGCAATATTTGTTGTAGAGATATCAATCTCGTCGTAAAAGTGATATTATGCACATCACCTATGCTGTTACTGTGCGCTGTGCAGTTTCGCTTGATTTGTTAACCTTGGCTTTTCTTTCTATGTGTGTGTGCGTGTGTGTGTGTGTGTGTTTGTCTGTGTGTGTGTGTGTTTGTGTCTATGTGTGCGTGTGTGTGTCTGTGTGAACCTTGGCTTCTGTAACACCGCTTTGGATTTTGGCAGAGCTAAAGAAGGTAAGAGGGCAGCGGTGAATTTCTGCTCTTTGTGCGTTGTGTGCAATGTTCTTGTGAATCCACTGGTACATGGTGTGTGTGTGTGTGTGTGTGTGTGTGTGTGTGTGTGTATGTGTAAAATAGTGGCGGTCAATTCATCAGCCTTGCAAGCTGTTGAATGGTGTAATCCCAGCACAAGGTGCTATATCTAACATAGCTGTTCGCTATCATCGCTTCCGCGATGAGCTTGTCTGAGGTCTGAGGTGTGTGTGTGTGTGTGTGTGTGTGTGTGTGTGTGTGTGTGTGTGTGTGTGTGTGTGTGTGTGTGTGTGTGTGTGTGTGTGTGTGTGTGTGTGTGTGTGTCTGAGGTCTTGCAAACTGTTGAATGGTGCAATCCCAGCACAAGCTGCTATGGCTTCTGCTGTAGCATCGCTGTCATCGCCTCTGGTGATGGGCGTCAAATGGTGTGTGTGTGTGTGTGTCGTTGGCCGCTAGCCTGCGGGGCGTGCTGCGTACCATATTCAACCGACCTACCCCATGTCTGTCGGCCCCTCACATGAGGGGACATGTGACCGTCTTACGGCAATGTTCGGGACAGGTGTGTGTGTGTGTGTGTATGCGTGTTTGTGTATGTGTGTGTGCGTATGTGTGTATGCGTGTGTGTGCGTGTGTGTGTGTGTGGTGGATGATCCTGCTTTGCATACCTCCTTGTTCTGAGGATGTTCCAGTTGTATATCCTTAAGAATAGCTTGATTTGTTGTATCTTTCCTGCAGAGCTCGAAGGCGATCCATTGGATCTGGGCATTGAACGTACGTCATCTGCCTGGGGATCTGTCTGTGTCTAGTGATGCCTGTTTGCCATAGCTGTGGTGTATATTGCGCGGTACACGCACAGACAAGGCCCAATACTAGATTGGGTACTTGTCGGCCTTCAGTAGCAGTATGCAGTGCCGTGTCTTTTACTCATGTAGCCCCATTCTTTGTGAGCACTGTGTTGCGACCACTCTGCTGTGGCTATGCTGTTGCTGTACTAGAGCTGAATTGCTCATATCGTACTTGGAGCTAACTGGGCGGATGATTATGTCTATGTTTACGATTTACGATAGGGTTCACCGGGTGCTAGCGGCCGTTGTGAGTTCCCTTTGGGAACGGACACGATAATTTAGTTTTTACATTTATTTACTTACGATTTTTGTGTGTTTGCAGCTCCATCAAAACTACAGTCAGAGCTCGGTCGTAATCTTCTCGGCAAGGCAGCAAAAGGGTGGGTGAAGAATAGTATATTCCTGAAGCTATGCAAAGACGTTACGCAGTAGCGTCCGGCGTAGCCAGGGTCCTCATCTCTTTATTTCATATCTGTGTGTGTCCGTGTGTGTGTGTGTGTGCGCGTGTGTGTGTGTTCCGTACGACCGGCACAAACAATGTGGCAGGAAGGCTATGGGCCGGTGGCGCACCAGGCGCGTGCATTCACCCCTGACACGTGTCTGAGCACCAGCTCAGCTAACTCGGCCAAATGATCAGGATGATTGAACTCATACCGAGGGTCCTCAGCTGGGCTCCCTCCATGTATGGTTCTGCCAGAAACCTGCAGCACTCAATAATTTCCATGTAGCATTTCTGTCTCCGTATGTGGGTGCCGTGTGGCATTGATGTCCTCTGGAAAAGGCACTGTACCTCGATTTGCTCAATGTGGCATGGACCTATCACTAGCAATTGAGTCTGGCCACTATGACTTTGTATGCGCATTGTGTGGAATTTTCTGACTTAGGGCCAAACTTTGTGCGGAATTTCTGACTTTGGGCCAAACCTTGTGTGGAATTTTCTGACTTTGGGCCAAACCTTGTGTGCTGGCATTGTTGTTATTGTTTTTTGTTTAGGAATTCGGTGGCATCAGCAATCATGGCAAAGTACGGGTACAAGGAAGGGCAAGGTAAGAACAGCCACTGCTTATTCTTGCACTCTTTTGTGGGGCACGTAGGACACCTGTGTTTGCAGTGTATTTGCTTAGTTGGTGAGTTGCAGTGAACTGCTGAGCAGACGCGGGTGCAACTTTGTAACTATCGCCAAGAGTACATAACCCCCCAGAGTGTGCAACGCCTGATCCAGCTCTGCATAGGGTCTTGGTCAAGCGGAATCGGATCTTTGCGTCATAATACCGTACACATCTGAGGGGAACCCGGGGAGTCGCGGGTACTCTCGGATCAAAAACAATGGTGCCCTGCCTCGAGACCGGCCTTGGAGTGTACGCATGACATCAGAAGATCCGATTCCGCTCGACCAAGACCCTATGCAGAGCTGGATCGGCGTTGCACACTCTGGGGGGTTATGTACTCTTGTGGGGTGTTGCACACTCTGGGGGGTTATGTACTCTTGGGGGGTTATGTACTCTTGGGGGGTTATGTACTCTTGCTATCGCTCTACAGCATGTGCATGGGGTTATTCACATCGATGATTCGTTTGTCTTTCACTCGTGTGTTCACTTCTTGTACTGTGTAGTATATCAGCTGTTCCTGAGCACCTATGTATAATTATACGATGTACGACTTGCACGTGTGCGTGTGTGTGTGTGTGTGTATGTGTGTGTGTGTGTGTGTGTGTGTGTGTGTGTGTGTGTGTGTGTGTGTTGTTCTTTTCTGTCCGTCTCGCCTTTCTCTGCCTCTGTCTGTGTGTGTGTGTGTGTGTGTGTGTGTGTGTCTCTCTCTCTCTCTCTCTCTCTCTCTCTCTCTCTCTCTCTCTCTCTCTCTCTCTCTCTCTCTCTCTCTCTCTCTCTCTCTCTCTCTGTCTATCTCTCTCTCTCTCTCTCTCTCTCTCCCTCTCTCTCTCTCTCTCTTTCTCAGGTCTTGGAAAGTCTGAGCAAGGAATCAGTACAGCCCTGGCAGTGGAGAAGACAAGCAAACGTGGTGGCAAAATCATTGCACCTGGTTAGTTTCTCGCTGTATCTACACGTCTCTCTCTCTCTCTCTCTCTCTCTCTCTCTCTCTCTCTCTCTCTCTCTCTCTCTCTCCCCCCCCCTCTCTCTCTCTCTCGTTCGCGCACACCCTTGTACTTGCTCACTGCCAGAACTTGGTCACACAAATTGGCTATTGAACCATCCAACCGCAGACAGCCTCCAAATCCCCAGCCCACGGTTGGACTTGACAATATAGCCCCTCTCGTGGGCTTACCACACCGCAGTAAGCGGGTGAGGACACGGTGCCGGAAAGGACTGACGGCATCAGGGTGTGCATCCCTGGATCCAACGCACACACACACACACACGCACACACACACACACACACACACACACTACTACTACTACTACTACTACTACTACTACTACTACTACTACTACTACCACTACTACTACTATTGACAGCTGCCAGAAATTGGCCACGCCGCTCCCAAATGGGAGGTACTGTCAGAGAGGTTAGGGGGGAGGAAGGCAATGGTCCAAGTGGCGATCCAGATCTTGCCGCCTCCGGAACCGTCGGTTGTGGCAAACTTGGCAGTGAAACTTGAAATGCTGGCGTTCAGCCATAGTGGGGCGCTTTGGACAGGTTCCACAACGGTGACGCTTGAGACCCGCAGCCGATTTAAACGAACGCTGGCAGGTTGTGCAAGCACACACACGCACACACACGCCACTCTGATGTGGGTGTTTTGTTTCTTCCAGTAAAGATTGTGTAGACTTCTCTATCCCATTGCTGTGTGCTTGCCTTTAGCTATGCATGTGATGGGACACTGTATAATTTGTGACTTTGCCAACATTGGTCTGCGGTGTACACTCATTTGTTGTTTTAGGTGCTGCCAATGCAGCTCCGAATGCTGCAGTGCCACCACCAGCCAATGTGAATGTTGAACCAGCACGACCGCAGCCTAGTCTGATCGATGAACTGAAGAATCAGAGCACAGTCGTTCTACTTCGGGTATGTGTAGCTGCTGCTGCTGCTGCTGCTGCTGTGTGTCTTTGTTGTGTAGATGTGTCTTGCAGGACATACTACTACTACTACTACTACTACTACTACTTCTCAAAATCTTTATTTGAAAAACCCGAAGTTATAAATATGGAAAAGGAACAAAAACGAAAAAGAGATTCAAAGCAAAACAATGATGAAGGCAACTACTAAAAATCAAATCAATTCAGGAAAATTCAATTCAAAGCCGTGACACATCCGGTAAAAAACAGCAAGAAATAATATCTCGGTGCAAAAGAAGAAAAAGGAAATAAAAAGCCGCTTCATTTTAGAGGACCAAATGAAAAAAGCAAAGAAATACCCACATCAGCGCTAAATTTCACCTTAAATTATAAACAAAAACATGACGCGTCCATTAGCATTGAGGACACTGCCATTAGCGAGGTTATACACACCACTGTTACATCCGTCCCTCAGCCATGGCTAGTGGGCGCAATGCATTTACCGGTCGATGGTATGCAGAGCGAGCCCCTCTGATGCACATAACTGCAGCTCGGAGGAGTGCAAACGACAGACGGCATCTGACATAGGCCATAACCTCGCCGTAGGGCCTGCCATCATGCTGTGCCAACATAGCGCATAATCGCTTCAAAAACCGCAAGCATTCTGGGGATGCACTGCCAGCCGTGGTGAAGACAAGCGGGGTAAAGTTACCACGGTCAACAGTGACAATCCTTTCGCTGTACTGCAGCTTCTTCTGCCTCTCATGCTGGAGAAGGAGGTCAGCGATGGGCTTCTTTGCGTACGAGGCGGCGTCAGGATGAAAGACTCGAATGTCAAGGAAAGTGTTCTGTGCCCTTGTCCAAAACCCACGTATGCGGACGTCAGATCGAGCATCATGTGCCGTGTTGGTGCTGGCAGCTCTGAAGACTTCGCCCTCCAGCGGCGCGAGCAATGGCTCCACAGACACGTCAGGGCACACCTCCGTGACTAAGTCCGCTATCATGTCTCGTACCTCGTTATATCTAATGGTAGGGAAGCCCCCGGTTGGGCAGCCCATCGCATGAGCCGCGGTGAAATCCTGGCCACACACGCATTTCTCCGGAACATCCTTCAGAGGCCATCCGTACCTCAGCGCAATGGCATCGCGGAAGTCGCACTTGGACAGACTGAAGCCGTGCTCACGCAGCGGAAGGGTGTGGAGCCAGCTCGATACACCCTTGGCCGAAAGGTGTTCCAACTGGCGGGCGGCAAGCGGAGTACGTGTTTCCTTGGCGCTCATATACCGCTGTTCGTCATGTTTTAGCCGTTCCGCCAGAGCTGCTGACTTGGCTCGCTGGGCTGAATGAATTGCATGCTCTATCAATATCGAGGGCCTGGACCGGTCATTCTGGTCGAGTATCTCCAGCGTTTGATCTGATGTGATTTTCCTCGACGTCTCCAGAGCCCCATTAGCCATTTGAGACAGGGATGGCACGGCAAAGCCACCCAGGCGTGTGGGAAGCTGAAGAACAGCCCATTCGTTGTCCGAGAATGCCTCCCTGCCAGTTACCGCAGGTATCAATACCGTGCGCATCATGTCATCCATCTGAGAGAGGCAATCGGCTGGAAAAGGTACTGTTCTGAGGAGGTAGGTCCACCGGCCGCGAAGACCATGTGTCAGGGCAGCATAGGCTGCATGCGGCTCCGTGCGCGCAACATCCGATAGTGCCTTTAGTTCCGCAATCCACTCGCCTACTCGCCGCCGCACATGCTCGACAACAGCATCAGACTCGCCAATGTAGGAGCCTAGGTATTTCGTGGCGCCGGTCACGATACGTATGCCAGTACCAGCAAACCTATTGTAGGCTTCCTCCTCCTGCTCGGGCTTCACGAGAAGAAGCGTTTTCTCCGGGTTGGTGTTATATCCGTACAGCTTGCCTTGTTCCTCAACGCTGTCCCACCATCCACGGAGACGAGTCAACTGCCCACCCGCACCAGAATCATCTGCATACCATGTTTGCCGTACGGTAGGATGCACAACCTGCAGTGCCCGGACTAGAGGGAGCGTCGCTAAAGCGTAGAAGACCATGGACAACGGGTCACCTTGCGTAGTGCCCTCGTCGGACGAAATCTCACCACCACCTGCAACAAAGAGTCGAGCCGGGGTGTTATACGAATTTTTCAGTATTGTCGCAATAGGTGGACACAGGTATTGTACATTGTGCAAAGCTGCTTGTCTGTTCAAGCAGTTGAAGGCATTACGTGCGTCTACCAAAAGAACAGCCTCGCAAGACTCATCGTCATAAAGGCGTTGCATGGCATGAACAGCAGCTTCAATGCCCGCAGGAAGACCCGAGCATTTCTGTATGAAACCGCACGCTTCTTGAACATCTTGATTAACAACTTTCAATATCGCTCTGGTAATGATGCGGCGCAGGACTTCCCCAACACCGATTGGGCGCACACCAGGCTTCTTGTCCAGAGCCACAAGTCGGCACGCGAGAAAGGGTACCAGGCCAGAGGGTGCAACGTTGGAACTCGCAAGGAGGTGCGCGAGTCCAGACAATGCATTGCACATATTTGTCGATGCGCCTTTAAATGAAGAGCACATCCTTCGCCAACAAGCCGAATCAAGACCAGACGGTCCAGCCGAGCCCTCGCAATGCAGCGCCGTGTCTCGCAATAGTGAGGACGTGAGCGAGTCGAATCGGATTGGGTGGACGTTCTCCCGGGCACCCTGCAAGAGTACCTCCGGGGAGGCAGCCTGCGCTGCAGGGTGCTTCTCTTGCAACAGCTGGCGCACGGTTGCCTGAGAGCCATCAGAAGACGTCACCACGTCCTCAAGCTTCAATACGTCGGCTGTGGATTCGGGCTGCAGACTTTTCAACGCCTCATTCACCCTGCCAGCAGTCATACAGTCGGCGAAACGTCGAGCCGCATCGTCCTGTCCGCGCTTCCCGTCGCCAGAGGCCCGACCCCCTGTGCTGCGCTGAAGAGAGCGACCTTCCTCCAGTAAAGACTGAATGTCTTTACTTTTCCAAAGCCGCATCCGCCTCTGTAGATGACCGCTGTTTTCCTTGTCTGTGCATCTAGCTCCCGTCCGCTGCAGCGTGAGAACCGGCAGGATGGAAAAGTAGAATAGCGCATCGGTGTCGTCTCCGCCAGACTGAACATACTTGTTGATGTAGGAAGAGAGCTCATTAACAAGCTCCTTCCCAACAGAACCACATGGTATCTTGAAGAATGACTTCCTCCAGTGAACCACCTCGTCGTATATCTCCTGGGCCAGCGGAGTACTGGGTTCCATCAGGCCGGCTGTTGGGATGGCAGGCGCCTGTGCCGAAGACACTGGGCGTCCCCCACCAAGAGACCCGTCCCGTTGAGAAGCGCCCGAGCCCTCGACCCCCAGCAACGCGATGGGAGGTGCCGTGGCCAACAATGGTGGAATGTCTTGGCTTGATGATGCTGGTCCGTCGCCACTCACCGTCTCCATATCAATGTCAACGATGTCGTACTCCCGCTCGTCCCCGACAGACCAGGGCCCGCAACTACTCCGACCACCAGAACGATTGCTGCCAGGTCCCGACTCCGACCGCCCCACCCGGTGAACATGGCTAGATTGATTATCCAGTTGACCCACCGAAATCCGACCACGAGCAACGGGCTCGGCGGCAACCGAGGCGACAGACGCCGAGGGAGGGTCAGCATAGGAGGGATCGGCCGCAGCCGAGGCAATATGGGTTGGTTGCTGAACCGTGGTACTATCATTTCCAGAACTACGGACCGGAGGGAGGTCAACACGCAACCCCCGTGACTCCCCAGCACAATCAGCAGAAGCACCTGCGGACAGTGGGTCAGTAGCGTCAATTGAAGCCGCCTCCGAGCACGCGAGAGCAGGCAGATCCACCCGCAGGGGCTGCATGGATGAAGTAGCAGCAACAGATTGAGAGGATTGCATAGAACTCGCGGCTCCAGGGTGCAATGCTGCACGGGAACAGTCCGTGGCCGACGACTGGGGTCTGGAAAGCGAAGTATTCCGCCCTCTGCGAGGCACCCACCCCGGTACTGATTCGGGTGATGCGTCAGGCAGTGAACGCTCCCCAGCAGCACCGCCAGTGACAACCGCAACGCTAAGATTAGTATTTCCGAAATTTGTGCATCTCTGGTCCCTGCCGGGGTAGCAGTCTACACAGCATCTTCCCGCTGCGTTACAGGAGCAAGAGCGGCACGTGCCCGACGCCCTACTGCAGGAACAGCACAAGCGCTTGCTGTTACCTCCCCTGCGCGACTGAGACGACATAACAGGGGAATGGCGGCTGCAGACAAGCAGCAAACACGTGGGCCAGACGCGCGACCAGACGTGCGACCCTGAAGGACGTCCGGCTGGGCTGGGCTCATAGATAGACAGCTGCAGACTTCAGCTACAGTGCATACACGAGCACGGCCAGAAGAACGCGCGAAGAGACGTGAGGTGTGAGGACGCACCCCGCACGTCAGTCGTCACAGACCACGCGGGAAAGCACCCAGCCGCGAAGCACAGCACAGCAAGCCAGGTCATCCAAAGCCCAAGGCGAAGGCACGGAAAGCGAGCCGAAACTACAACGCAATGGCCGGTTCGCCAGGTAACAAGAAACCAGCTGGAGGGAGGAATAGCGGACTGGGCAACTCCACAGCGGTGAAAACTATTGGAGCCGACTCCTGAAGCCCAGAAGAAAGTAATGAAGTAGGTTAATAATCGGTTGACTGGGATAGTGGATAAAGCAATTAGAAAAACTGCGGAGGAGCAAAATCTCCATCCGCACTCCAGTGTAAAGCTACTACTACTACTACTACTACTACTACTACTACTACTACTACTACTACTACTACTACTACTACTACTACTACTACTACTACTACTACTACTACTACTACTACTACTACTACTACTACTACTACTACTACTACTACTACTACTACTACTACTACTACTACTACTACTACTACTACTACTACTACTACTACTACTACTACTACTACTACTACTACTTGGAAGCGTGTTTTTATTGACCACATAAAATGATGATGCAAAGAAAGAAAAGAACACCGGAAACTACTACTACTACTACTACTACTACTACTACTACTACTACTACTACTACTACTACTACTACTACTACTACTACTACTACTACTACTACTACTACTACTACTACCACCACCACCACCACCACCACCACCACCACCACCACCACCACCACCACCACCACCACCACCACCACCACTACTACTACTACTACTGCTACTACTACTACTACTACTACTACTACTACTACTACTACTACTACTACTACTACTACTACTACTACTACTACTACTACTACTACTACTACTACTACTACTACTACTACAGGTGTCCTCAGTGTCATTTTCGTTCTTCCCCTCTGCTTTGGTATTAGGACATTATCCTAGCCTTCGCTCAGACCACTCAAACAGCATGCTTGTAGGCTTCCCGTGCATTTCTTTTGTTTTGTATCATACACAGCAGTGTGGATAGTGAGAGATGTCCATGTCACCTGATACTCTAATTTCAGAAATTTTAGGTGTTCGAAATATTCGGTGTGAGAACAAAAGATCAAGTTTATATAGGTGAACAGAAATTTTAGGTACAGAGAAGCAGTTCCCTATTGGATTGTGTGTGTTAGTGTTCTTTTCGGTTTATTGAAATTTTGGGTATGAAACAGATGCACCGAAAGTACCAAGAATAAAAATACAGGTACAGCCGTCCCTCTCTAATCCGGCCCTTGTTAATCCAGAACCCTTGCAAACCGGCACACTTTCTGACTGAACGTTTTTTTTTGTCAGTTTTTTTCTACGCTTTAATCCAGCAGCGATTTTCTGGAACGAATCGTTCGAACTGCACGTAATTCGATTTTATAATCCAGCAGTTGTACATCGCGTACTGTACCGGTGCACAGATATGCCAGTCTGGTCCATGCAGGACGTGCATGAACTTACTCATCGATATCAGGAAGCAGTCTACCCATATATTAAACAGACAATGTATTAAGTACCGTATGTCTAGACACAAAGTACTTGAATTTACACCGAAAATCCCTGCGTTTCGACGTATTACACAAACGTGTATGTCAAGTGATGGTGTAATTAGGCTGGAGGGCATGATTTGATAATCCAACACGCTTGTTTATCCAGCAGAAAACACTGTTGCGAACGGTGCCGGATTAGAGAGGAACGACTGTACACCGAACATTTGTGAAATTACAGTACTCTCATGCTCTTTGCTATGGAGCTCATTCTGCTCGTACTTCTAAGTGGAATGCTGTTGTGGGTACCGGGAAGAATGTATTAGTGTTGGTGTGGTGTGTGTCAAGGTGCACCTACGCCTGGTGTGCTTGTGGATAGTAATGGCAGGTGCGGTGCCCCTTCTCTGCTGCTATGATGTGATGTGCTGCATGCAGAATATGGTGGGTCCCGGCGAGGTGGATGATGACCTGCAACCCGAAGTTTCAGAAGAATGTAGCAAGTATGGCCAAGTGCACAAGTGTCTCATCTATGAAGTAAGCCCTTTACTGTAGCCTTAGATGGACTAACTTCTTGTTCAGCTGTTGTTGTGTGTGTTCTCTCTCTCTCTCTCTCTCTCTCTCTCTCTCTTCTCTCTCTCTCTCTCTCTCTCTCTCTCTCTCTCTCTCTCTCCACTGAACTTGGAATACAGTGGGAAGAGAGGCTTGGGCCAGTGTGTTGTGTGTCTCGCAATGGATTTTCCTTCACTTCTTCTCTGTTGATGTGTGAAAGATTCCCAATGCGCCAAACCCAGAGGAAGCTGTGCGGATATTTATCAAGTTTACTCGGGTCGACTCGGCTATCAAAGGTATGCACTGCCCTGCTCTATGTTCCTTTTTCACTCTCTTTTCTGTTTCTTGAACTCGGATGGTGAGCCAATTTAATTATTTTCTCTTCCTTCTCCTATTTCTTGTCCCTTTGGTTTTTAGCTTTATATTTTTTTCACTTTCTTTTTGCTGTTCCACCCATGGAAATGTCTTCCCGGTGGGACTGGCTCATCACCTTGGAAAGAAGTGAATAAAGAAGACATAATAATAATGATGTGGTGGCGGTGCTTGCATGTCTATGTGAAAAGAGAGCATGCTTGATAGAGAGAACCAGAGCCACACTATCCTGAAAAGATAACCGTTGTTCATGTCGACTCTTGACTAAACAACCGATGGCAGCTGTCATGGCACAGGCTATACTCACACATACGTACACATGCATACCATGTATGCATGTGTACACACGTGTAGATACATGCACAACCACGCACATGCACACACACATGCGCGTGCACACACGCGCACACACACACACACACACACACACACACACACACACATGTACATACGATTGTAGTGAACTGCGAAGTTCACCATTGCCACAGATATGTCTCACAGTGCATGATTAAGTTACAGGTCACCAATGTACTTCTTTTCTCTGTTTGTGCCTGTGCTGCTGTGCAGCTGTCATGGATCTGAACGGCAGGTTTTTCGGCGGTAGGACCGTAAATGCGGGTTTCTTCAGTGAGGACCGTTTCGACGATCTAGACCTTGCGCCGCCCTAGGAGTAGGATCTGTAGATACTGTGGTGTACATGTATGTGATTTGTGTACACCGTTGCTCTCCTGCTGCTGCTGCTGCTGCTACCCCTCTGCTGTAGATATTTGGCCATTTGTCTATATGATACACTACGAATCTAGTTGATTGCTAATGCTGTGCGCTCTGTACAAATGCTACTTCATCCGCGTGTAGGCTTGCTTGCTGTTCGCGTTCCTTTTGCAACATCGCTTGTCAATTTCTAGGGTTTTCTTATCAATTTCTATTCAGGGTCTGTACATACTGAATACCGTGGTGCTATGTACTTCAGAAGTAACACTATGCCGCGTCTACACTTGCAGGTGTAGTTGCGTTTGTTCATGTACATGTATTATTTTTTAAAGTCATCTTTAAAAAGTGGCCGATCATAGGTTTGCAAGTATTAGTTGGTTGTGTGGTCGTTTCTACAGTCCGGTAGCCCTTGAGAAGAGACAGACGGACGGACGGACGGACAGACAGACAGACAGACAGAGACAGACATACAAAGACAGACAGAGACGAACAGACAGACAGACAGAGACACAGAGAGTGAGAGACAGACAGATAGATAGACAGACAGAGACGCAGAGAGAGAGACAGGAGTGGGGGTGCGTGCATGCGTGTTTGTGAGGCGGGGGGCGTATGTCCATCATGTGTGTGTGCGTGGGGGGGGGGGGTATGCGTGTGTGCATGTGTGTAGTGACCGCGGGTGCCCAATTAGTTTAAATCTAAATGTCTACGGCTCAATCTGCGGACAGAACTGTCTCGTCCTTTGAGGACTCATCAGCGTAGCACAGAGAACATGAGGCCGAACCTGATATGCTATGAAACCTATAGTTTCCAAAGCCGGATTTAGACCAGGCCGAAACTGAATAAACTTAAACTTCTACTATCAGTTCACATGGACTGCGGCGTTGTCCTAGCCAGCTGCCATACTGTATTCGCACAGGGCCGTTCCATCCTGGCACGGCAGTGTCAGCAGCAAGCACTAATAGTAATACACTGCTACACTGTCTTCAGTTTTCCGAACACAGAAGTTGTGGGACTGTGGGCACGGGCACCCTTTCGGCGAGTTAAAACTAGTCTCCAATAATGACCCGGGGGTGAGGGTTGTTTGACATAATAAGAGCACAGCCTCTAATAGTAGCTCGGGCCACAATTGGAGTATGCAACAAGTATATCGACTGCCTATAAAATAGCAGAACAGCATGCCAAGCACATGTTTGTAAGGACTCCTGGAGGTACATGATTGTACTAGTACATGTATAATTATCCTTCCTACTCTTGTGTCACGTTTCGTTGAAATAATGATGTAATGTGCCATATCTCTGATCTTTCCCTATCACAACGAATGTGATTCGGAGTTACAGGCAGTGCTAGTGTGCTCGGTCCCTGACCACCCGAATAAACGAGGAGTGAGTGTACATGTACTCCCAAGCATAGGCACGACTCCCCCGATGGCAACCCAGCAGCTCTCATACCAAAGGAGGTCGGATAACCAAGGTGAAGGTGCACTGTACCCTGTCAACGCCAGGCCGTGCTACCTGATGAATGCACTCCACACAATGAACTCACTGCTAGTGCTTGTAATTATAAAAGTCATCATCTTGATTACTAAGTAGATTTTTAAAAGCAGTACGATAGTGTAGATTTTTAAAATAATTATTTTGATGAAATAAGGGGCTCGTGCTGATTATTCAGTGCACTGAGCATCAGGAACTTGTAATCCACAAAACCTGTCCTAAGTTGGTAATTCAAAACCGGGCTGTGTGCTGGTCAAGCTTGCACATCAAAGACTAAGGACTGACAGCAGAAAGCAGCGTATGCACATGAGCAGCTAGCAAAAAGCATGCCAGCTGTTGGAAAAACATAATACATTTGTCCGTCAGACTTGGAGACGGTTAAATAATTATATAATTTGTTCGTCAGACTGAGCACACAGCTAGCTGCATGAATTTCATGATGAATATGCCGGTATGGGCAATAGTCAAGAAGATCCTGGCAATGGGCAGTCAGATCAATTAGATGTCACCAATAAGGCGTCGGATAAAAAAAAAAGAAAAAAAGAAAAAAAACTCAGCATGGAGACAGAGTTCAGTTGGGTGTGTGATGATAATGCCAGTATGGGCTGTTGTCAAAGAAGATCCTTGCAATAGGTTGTCAGATCAGCAAGATCGCCGCAATAGGCAGTCAGATTAACGCGATCGCAGCAATAGGCAGTACGATCAACAAGATAGCAGCAATAGGCTGTCAGGTAACAAGATCCTTGCAATAGGCTGTCGGATCAACAAGATCGCAGCAATAGGCTGTCGGATCAACAAGATCGCAGCAATAGGCTGTCAAATCAAGAAAATGGCAGCAATAGGCTGTCAGACCAACAAAATCGCAGCAATAGGCTGTAGAACAAGATTGCAGCAATGGGCTGCCAAATTAACAAGATCGCAGCAATTGGCTGTCAGACCAACAAGATCACAGCAATAGGCTGCCAAATCAACAAGATTGCAGCAATAGCCTGTCGGATCAACAAAATCTCAGCAATAGCCTGTCAGATCAACAAAAGAGAGGAGAGCTCGGAGTTAGAGAGCCTGTAAAGTGTATTATGAAAATAGCCAATATGGGCAATTGTCAACAAGATGGCAGCAATAGGCTGTCAGATGAAGAGTGAGAGAACACGGACTAAACAACCTGATCCAACTAGAGGAACAAAGTAAGAAGTGGGGAAGAACAATTCATCCGAGTATCTGGGTGAACAGCAAAGAAAGCGGACGAAAGAAAAACAGGTGCTAAAATGGGCCGAAATAAAGGCACACACACACACACACACACAGACCACAACGCTAAGATGGGTCTACAACAAGGCTGACGAAAGAAAGCCAGAAAGAAAAACTCCGCATATGGAGAAAAACACGACGAAGAAGACGAACGCGACAACAACACCATGCGTGCTATTACCACACAGGGCAGCGAGACGTCGAAAAATAGTCCCCAGCTGTAAGCAGACTACGGACAAGAGCGCTAGTGTGTTGGCCGTAGTGCCTAGTGAGGGGTCTGCAGCAGCAGTAGTAGCAGCAGCGGCAGATGGTCGAGGTACATTATAAACGTGAACAAACACGAGTTTGGACGTATCAGGTGGATTAGATATTCTCCGAGTAACAACGCAGCGGCAGCTGCTCGTCGGCTTGCTCATGGCAGGAGATCGGAATCAGAGTAGGAGACGAGCACCTGCGCACTATTATCCAGGGCATCTACACTCTGTACAATAACAGACTGGCTGTGAGCCACGCCAGTCGCCGCGCTTGCCACGTCACCAGAAGCAAGCTCGTGACCATCGGCAGCTGACATCATGCCGGTCGCATGCCACGAGGGGTCACTGGAGTCGTTCAGGACATCTATTTCGTCTTGCTCCTCGTCCCGACCGCTGGTACTGCCGATCGGTTGGCCTTTGTCGTCAATCTTGCCGTTCTCGTGCCGCTTACGATGCAGCCAGAGTGTGGACGAGTGACTGTAAGACGAGCCACAGATCTCACAGACAAACGGCTTCTCACCGGTATGAATGTTGCGGTGCTCATCACGCTGCGAGACGCGTGGGAAGCGCTTGCCACAGATATCACACTCATGCCGACGGAACTCATTCACATCGCCGTGGATGCGAACATGTCGACGCAGGTGCCGCCGATAGCGGTACTTCTTGCCGCAGTCGGGATAGTCGCAAACAAACTGCCTCTCGCCATCCCCTGTATGATACGCATGAACGTGCTCGTGGTAGCGATAGCGACGTAGAAACGACGCGCCACACTTCTCACAAGTGAACAAGTTCTCTGCTCGACACACATGTACACACACACACACACACACACACACACACACACACACACACACACACACACACATGCATGTACACATGCACACACATCCACATACACACACACGTACACACCAAGCACACACACACACACACACACACACCAAGCACACACACCAAGCACACACCAAGCACACACACACACACACACACACACACACACACACACACACACACACGCACACATGCACGCACGCACATACACACACACACACACACACACACACACACACACACACACACACACACACACACACACACACACACACAAACCAGGCACAGCAATCAAGTTCACATACCACCAGGAGGCAAGCATCCTAAAACTCACCTGTATCGGAAGGCAAGACAGAGTGACTGGCACCAAATCTACCCATGGTCCAGATCTGTGCTGAAGAATTGCCCCCCCCCCCCCCCCCCCTGCTCCTTACACTGTCCTGGCACTAGCAAAGAGGCTCCAACAAAGGGTACATGCCCCTTCACTTAGCCAGTGACCATAAGAGACGATCACCAAACTGCTATAAAGTCCGGTAAAAAAAATCGTGTGCGAAACATGAGTGGTATTGTGCATGCATGACACGTGTATTACGAAAGACAGCAGAAGCGACGAGAGTCGAAAAGTCGGAAAACAAGCTCTTACTCAGTTTCTCATTGTGCGCCGTCTCCATGTGCGTGTACAGAGCTGCCGCGGTAGCGTGGCCTTCATTGCACACGTAGCATGTGTGAGGGCGAGGAGATGGTCGAGAAGAGTTGCTGCCAGGACTGCCGTCGGCTTGATGAGCATAGCCCATGACGGAGCCAAGACTGGGCGAGGACAGCACACTAATGCAGCCAGACGAAGTCGAGGAGCCGACCACATTGGATGCAGAGTGGGAGGCGATCGTAGATGATGATCTTGAGTTGGGTATGTAAAGTGGCTGTGCAGTGCACCGCAGCACAGGTGTCTACAAGATTGAGATCACACAACCACACAATCACACACAACACATTGAGATCACACACGCACACACAACATTGAGATCACACAACCACACCATCACACCACAACGTACACGCACACACAACATAACTCAAAACATTCAGCAACGACGATAAATTAAAAGGAACTTGCAAATACCCTAGCGAAAATAGGGATGCTACAGCAAGTAAACAAGAGTTCTGTTTCACACTAGGCTCCACTCTCACTCGACAACGATGCTTCCAGGAGGCTCTATTCCCAGTGCTAAGTAGCAATTATTACTTGCTCTGCAGTAGTCAAGTACAGGGGCGGCAAATGAAATCTGACCCCTGGGTTTTTACATAGAATTGCTGCAGAGCTAAATTAATCCTAGCACTATTCACTCTCTGTTCTTGCGTATGCGCGTGTGCTACTGCACAATATGCACATGTACCGCGTTTTCCGCAGTACAAATCGCACCCCCCCACCCCACCCATTTCTTGCCACACTGTACAGACATCTACCCCATTTATCATCGTTAATGGGAGTATAAGCCGCAACCCCGTTCTTTTGGGTGAATTTGGAGTGTTCGAAGTACGGCTCTATACTCGGAAAATACGGTACATTTGTACCTGGCCATGTTCAGGGTACAATGTACTACCGCAAGACACAGCACTGCACTCGCATGCATACAGTACAGGAATTGGAGACACACGAGAAAACGCAACACGCATACGCTGTACGCATGCATGCGCCGTCCACGGCTGGAAGTTGGCGTGGTCGTGCGCAGCCACGGCTGGCGCAGAACAAGCACACTGCTCCGGTGTGTCGGATTCGAGTTGCCACCACTGCAACGCTACACGTACCGCTCTTGCACTAACACGTGACAGCAGCAACTGCATCAAAGTTGAAGCAGTAGACATACCTCAACACCTATCATTCCTCCATCTTGCTGATTTCCCTGCGCAGAGAAACACATGCACACTGAGAGCTTATCGTGCGTGTAGAGCAAAAGACTATGATCAGCACAAGCGAGTGTGTGGACTGAGCATGTGTCTTCGACACTTGCTTGGCTGACGTGGCCACGGGAATGCAAATAATAATAATAAAGCAAAAAGAGCACACACTGAAACTGCGGAAATCCGACCAGCTCCCGGACCAAGTTAGGCGGTACCAATTCTATGGTGGTCTGATGTATTGCATAAACCTGTACACGCATACGGGTAGCGCTCCGTGTGGCCAGGAAAGTGATCATTTTTCTGCGGTGGTCGGCGAAACTGAAATGGCCGGAGACAAAGGTTCCAATGTGCACATGGCAGACTTTGGGGTTTCTTGCATCTACAAACTGCACTTGAAGTTTTTAATGAAATTGGTACCCGAGTACAGAAAACCACGAAGGAAAAAAACCATACAAAAGCCACACACAGGGACAACAATTCGGACAACATTTCTGTAGAAGACCAGGCATTGTGCACCGGCCCATCTGCACAAGGGCAGCGTCTTTGATGCCCCCGTCCCACATGGAGCAGACAGGATTTACACGTAGTGCTACAAAAACGTGAATGCGTTTGCAACGAGAGGGACAACATTTGGGGTGGAACGATTTCTTAGAGAACCATGTGTCAAGTTCCATAAGAACGGTGCTGGAGGAAATTGCATGTACTTCGGGGCTGAAACTTGCGTAGCGTTAATCATGATTTTCACTCTGTCAGCCCACGTAAAAAGTCAGCTACTGCCTCTTTGGCCACAGTCATTGAGCAACTCGCCCTGGCTGGAAATTTAAGTGAAATTGTACAGACTTGCGGGGAAGAGACCACTTGCATTCGTGATGGTGCAGGGTTCATCAATGTCGCCTCGACACGTTTACAAAATCGCCACCGGGAATACAAAAGAAGTACAAGCGGGCAGGACCTTACCACAGGATTCATTCCGAACATGACTGGCATCGCCGAGTGGTGGTAGTGTTGATGTGGCAAAACCATGGCAGTAGCCATCGAAGTGCTGCCGTGAGGAAGGGGTTCCGTCAAGACGCTAACAGCAGATGCCGGCTGTACGTTGCTTGTGTGATTGGGTAGCGCATGGAAGCCGGGAAGGTCAAACGTGCCGAAGGCGGTGTTCTGCGGCAGGATCCTGACCATGTTCTCGCCAATAGGTATAGGCGAGCTGCTGCGAGTGTCACAGGGATCACCAGCGTCAAACTCTGGCGCATAGTCATCACCTATCCCGTCACCTACAACATCGATCTGCGACGGTGACGAGGAATTGGACAAGGATGTGCGAGCACGAATGCCAGGTGACAGTGATACGGGCAGGAAAATGTCATTACCTTGACGATACTTGGCTGGTACCGTGAGTGAAATAATACTAGTTCCGTCAGCATCCACCGGCGATACGTTGGCAGTCAACTTGATGTCTCTCAGCCTAACTGTATAGTCAGAAAGCGAGGGGTGCATCGATAGTGGGCAGCCACCATTGGGGTGGCCACTAGTTGCTACCATTGCCGATGTGGCGCAGCTGGAAGCCAGTGCACCTGCCGGTGAAGTTATAGGCATGCCTGCAACAACACAGAACACAGAACAATGCCGCACAACACACACACACACACACACACACACACACAAATCTATGACAAATCGAACAATGCAGCGACCACCAGAACTCCTGCACCACTGATAGCTATGTCTGCAGACTCAGCTTTTTTTTAAGCAGTCAGACAGAGAAAACTAGGAAGGTTAGAGTCCACCCCAGAAAGATCAGAAGCGAAATCATGCATTTTGGGCACATTGCACACGGTGTATTCGACTATTTTGAAGTATTTTCTTCACACATGTACATGATCAGGACTGGGGAACAATTCAGTCGGGGTGGGTAAGGACACGACCGGGCTTGTCGGCTCTGCTCGGGACTGGGATACGACTGTGACTGCTCAGAGCAAGTTTAGTTTACAATGCACAGCAGCTTAGATACATTTCATCATACGAAGAGACGAAGCCAGCTGTTACCATTTTTATAATGGTACGGAAGGCCTCACAAGTTTTACAACCGGCTTCGTCACGTCGTGTGATAATAAGTCTCCCTCTGAAGTCCTTACTTAGATACATGTGTAAAAATATCCCACTGCATTGTAGGTTCCGGGCCAAGTCAGCGTATCACCATGGTGATAACGGGAAATGTGCATGCATCTTTCACCTTCTGTACAAGAAGTCTCAATGGGCAGGAGAAATATGGTAAAGTAGCCAGTCAATCAGGTGTGAGATGCTGTAAAGGTGAGCCACTAACTTACCTGTATGGCCTCTCTAAACAAAAAATACTTCACCGTGGGCTCTTCCCACCCCCCCCCCTGACCCCGGGGAGGAGCATGCTTTGGTTTATGTACTATTGGTGAGACTGGTCAGTTTCAACGGTATGCATAGAAGGCCGCTGTTTTTCAAGAAAAAAAGTTCAAATACAACATTGCCTGTGCTTACCTGCAAGAGTCCAGGGCGTCCTGGCAGACAAGAAAAACAAAACCGGAAAAAAACAAGAAAACAATACATGCACATCAGCAAAGTGACTGGATAGCAGGCACAATACTATTGCCAGTAAACGTGCAGTTGACTCCGCTTATAACGAACTGTCATACAGCGAATTTCATGATCGTGAACCAGTGTCCATGTCCCTGTTTGAGCCCATACAAAATTGACCCTTTCTAACGAACAGTTTCCGCCCAGGGCCTTATGACGGGCTTTTACGGCAGTGCAAAGTGGCCGCCAGAGACGTGTACCCAAAGCAAGATAGTGTACAACTCGGTAACTACCATGCGCATGGTTGTACGGGGTTTGTCATGTGATGTAAAGACTCAAGTTCTTACCATCGCTGACCCTATACCAGTATGCTCGTTTTCTATTAACCAGAGCTTGTTTTCATAGTCTCTCATAGTAAAATAGCTCTCATCGGAAGTTCGACAATCGCAAACTCACACGCTAAGCTGGACTATACAATCATGTATGTGCAGTATAGCGAGCGCAACCATCAGGGCACTGGCAACCTGTTCAACGACTGCACAGTACAGAATGGTACATGTACATGTAGTTGCAAAAGTGCAGAACACGGACAGCACGTTACAGGAAGCGTGCAAAGCATGATTCACGATACCAATTTCTGCGACGTCTAAACGCAGTGCACAGTACACTCGTTTATCTGGGCGGTCCAGGACCGGGCACTGACCGTACCTTCGAAATGTCCGTAACTCCGAATCACATACATTTTGATGAGGAAAGGCCATAGATATGGCATGTGACGTCGCTCGTTCCAAAAAAGTGACAGAAGAGCAGTAATACTTGCACTGAAACTCGCCCAGAGGGTGCCCGGTAGAACTAAGTGCCCATAACGTCAGGGTCCGAAAAGCCGAGGTATGAGTGTAAATGCATAACTATTATTATGCACTGTTGCACATGCACTGCACGCGCACCCAGTGTAGAAAACTGTACTCCACCGACGTGCTTCACGGGATGGAACTGCGGTCAAGTTATGTGACAGTGGCCTTGCGGCGACTGCATGTAATCGTACGCGACAGGCATTTCTGTTGTCGCCAGAGTCGCAGGTCCCACATCCCATTGCAAAAAGTGGTATTGCAAACCGTGCTTTGCCTTGACATACAGCACGCTACACAAAGTGTGTACTAGAAAATCACAATCAACAATACCACCTGTGAGGTGACCGCGGCGTACGGTTCACAATCTCTTTGGTTTCTGTGACATCTAAATGCAGTGCATAGTAGATGCACGTGCACCGCAAGTGACTCCAGCCTACACTGGCTACAGTAGGCTGTACTCCATCGACGTACGCCGCAAAAGTTGAACTTTTGGTCAACTTTTGCGACAGTGGCCTAGCGACTATTTGCAACAGTACGCGACAGGCATTTCCGTGTCGCAAGTGTTGCATTGCAAAACAAGTGATTTAGTGAATCGTGCGTTATGCGTATAGCGCGTTTATAATGTGAACCTGTTACAGAAGTGTGCGACGCATGCGGCACGATACAGAAAGTGTGTAACGTGTACAGCACGCGACACGCAGCACAAAGAATACTAGTACAAACTCAAATCACACCATACACACTACAGAGTACAGACAGTGCATTACAACACGACTCCGAGTATGTAGTCAAAACTAGAGCAGAGGATGCTGTAAGTCACAAGTGCTTATATCCATAATACTATGCAGGTCGAGGTATTAACCCAAATTTGTAACATCATAGTATTCGCGATAGAGAACAATGTGACACGACCCGCAATACTAATTTAGTAATTAGCTAAAGCGCTTAGCTGAGATATTTTCACACATGGGGGCGTACAATTTTTTTCACTGGGACCTAATCATGCTAATATTGGCGAGGATCATTTTTTTACTCAAAGAGCTGCGAACTCTCCGCAGCGCAGAGACAAGTCAACTAACGACATGCTGCTAGGATAAAAGTAAAAAAGAACTCGTACCTTATCAATCAGATTGACGCGGACGCTCTAGTCACTTGCAATGCACTGCTCCCGCAAGCTGCAGTCGCAAGTGCAAACGTCCGAAAGTCGAGCGGTCCCCCTAGTGGAAATTCGGGATGATACGAAGGCTACCGACTCGTACAGTCAGTACACTGCACCGCTCACCTTCTCTACAAATGTACTACATAACAGTAGTTAGCACCTGCAAACTCAGACGTAGACTACTTATACTTCATTACGGCAGGTAGATGACATTTCACTCCGGGCCATTGTCCAAGCTTGCCATCACTTTGGAACTGGCAGATTGAGACGACACTGACTGTGGAATTCCCTGAGGAAAAACACCAAAAAGACCCAGCAAAAACGCTGGATGAGCATCTTCCCCACGTATGCGTGCACGACGCCGTATCGGGCGTAGTTGTACCCACAAACCAAAAACTTGTACCCATAGGCCTATATATATAGGATATGCAAAGGATACGTACCTAGACGCGCAGAAGATGCGCGCGTGAGCCGTATCAGGCGTAGATCTATGCTGCAACGTGTTGCAACCAGTACAGTACAGGAGGGAGTCGTACTCAAAAAAGGGCTGGGTGCGCCCATATGACACCCTACCAAAAATGAAGCCGCGCAAGCACATCCACTTTGCTTTTTTTGGTAGATAAGCACTCGTGATCATGCCAAAAAAAATCAAAAAGTCCCAATACTTTGTACTAAAAAACCACACTCTGTACTTTTGCAGTCTGTTTGGAATCTAGACCCTGCTTACACGAGAAACTATAATGGCCTGGGGCTTATTTAGGCACCCGTCTACCATGTTTACTCGATGGAGGTACTAGGCCAGGCCAGGGCAAACATGCTGGCTTCAAATCAGGTGGAGTGCCTGCCTAAACGATGACATTTGGATCAAGAAGTGCTTGCTCACGTTCCTGCTGCGCCCGGCCGTTTGGTCGTCATTAAAATAATTATTATTTTCTTCTGCGAAAAGGTGAAAGAAAAATCAGAAAAAAACAGAAAGTGAAAATTAATGATTCAAATGAAAGGTGTCGATGATGAAATCCCCGCACGTGCACAGACTCGCAAGAGATAAAATACAAATTTGCAAACTACAATTGTAGTGTTACTTTCACAAAGACCACCCTGACACTGTCACATCCAGGGCATGCAGAGAAAAATGACTATGTAGATCTACCAGTACCGGTAGGCAGTACCAAGAGAACTCTTTCAGTCTTGCAGTCTAGTCTTGATAATAATCATTCTTGTAGCTGCGCTGTAGCTGTAGCTGCGCTGTAGCTGTAGCTACATAATTTTAATTAATTATTTATAGCTCGGCATGCCGGCATGCATTCAGAATTAAATTTTTAAAATTATTATTTCAGTTCAGTGAGATCTTGTCACCATGGTCACCCAGCAGACACGCACGGATCGCGGAGTCACATGCGAAATGCCAAGAGAGGCCCAAGACACAACCAAGCAAGTCCAAGAGTACGAGGTAGTTTGGCATTTTTTAACAAAATAATGTGTAATGCTTTTCTTCTGGCTGTTTCTCTGCTCCGGATGGCTGTATATTGTATCGAAACACGGGTGGTGGCAAATGAGAGCCAGTTTATCGTAGATCAACATTGACCAGAACATTTGGTGCATATAATTTAATTCTCCCTGCCACGTCGGTATAACTAGTGGTGGGTGCTTTGCCATTAGGTGTAACATGTGTAAAATAAGCCCCTGGATGGACGAGAAGGGCAGTGAATTGCTTCCGCAGGGCCTTTGGACGACGTCAGGCCGTCTTGCCATCACTAAAGACAATAATGAAGAACAGTAGGTAGAGGAATACACTCTGAGAGAACGAAAACATGGCTGCAGTGCGATGCTACCTATCCAATTCTACCGTATGACACAGCCACTAGTTACAAATACAAAAACACGGCTTTCGCAGCATACGGTGCAGTTGACAGATTAATTTTTCATCCACTAGCAATCCTTGAAGTGATATCTATAAACTTCAGAACATTGATGATCGAATATCCTAGTTTGTGATGCCATTGTTACAAATTTGTTAAAAAATGACACACCAATTATTTGAATCCTGAGAATACTGTGAAAGTAGGACATGATTCAAGACACTTTCCAAAGTGGGATCATTCCTATTTTTTGAGACAACGGGCATGACGAATAGCACTTCCACTTGCAACAATTTATTTGGCCGTAGCTTGCCTAGAAGTGGCTGAAAAAACGTCATTTTACAACCATGTTAAAAAAAAGCCAAATCACCTCGTGCAATCATCGCTGCACAACTTTTACTTTCCACTACTTTCACTTAAACTTCTGCTCATACATGTACACCCAAAGCGGTGAACCCCTTGAAAATAATACTGTCCCTCCAGGAAATCGCGATTCCACGGATGCAACAAATTTCGCGATTTTGGCCAAAACCCGCAAATTTCTGAAAAGTCCCCGATTTCCCGCGTTTTTTGTTGTTTTCTGCACTTTTCACGCAGTATACAGTGCTTTCTATGATCCTGTACGTGGGTTATTTGTACAGTACGCAAATAGCGACTCTAATGATGCAACAAATTTCGTGATTTGGCCCAAATCCGCAATTTCCTGCCAATAATTCCGCGAGTTCCTGGCAAGTTCCGCATCTTTCCGCATTTTTCGCCGCGTTTTTGTTGTTTTCTGCCGCAATTTCTTGCGCAAGTTTTCGATGACTTTTTCCGCAAATTCCCGCAGGGACCGTAAAGTACCGCCAGAGCGCCCCGTCTCGCGAGAGCGCCCCACCTTGATTTTACAGCCAGGGAAAGGAAAATCGTATGGCAGAGTGCAACGAAGTTTGTACGATGTGAGAATCTTAGTGTACTAAGATCACGCTTGGCAGGGTTTTGTGTGGAGCTTGTGTCCGCTCGAAGGTACGGATTGACTGCAAAACGTGCAATATGTGTACAAGGTTCATGTCGTATGACCTACAGACAGCAGACCACCTCCACGACACAACTCACGTCATCACGATCACACTGACGTGACATGGCCAGCAAAGGCAGCATACCGATGATACGACTACAAAAGTACACTGTACTGCAATCTACAGTCCATTTCAAAACTATACTAGACGCGTAGGGTTTTTGAAATATTTCAAATTTGGCTGGACCTTTTTGAGAATACTAGTTTTCGGAATATTGCTCAGGTCCGCTCCACAATTACTCTCCTTTCTTAGGGCGCGTTTGGTTGGTACGAACTAGAACAGGATTCACCAGAACAGCGCGTTTGGTTGGGACTGCACCTGTTCTGGGTCGGCCAGAACATGTTCTGCTTGCTCCGGCCTCGAGGCCGGAGCAGACCGAGCAGTTTCACTTTTTCACAGTGAAACCTGGCGGGAACATCGATTTTGGTCCCAAATGATCACGTGCATACGCTTTTGGGTTGGACTCGTTGTACCGTACAAAGTGACCATGGTGACCGGTCGACCATACACAGTTTTGAAGGACGCACCCGGTTTGGCACATTTTTCCACAAAAATGTGCTCTGTTTCTGGAGTACCGTTTGGTTGGCATGAGGCTGCTCCATGTGCACCAGCTGTTCGATCCTGTTCTAGATCGTACCAACCAAACGCACCCTTAAACGATTGGATACCAATTATTATTTGGGAAAAATTTATGCACAAAGTGATCACAGATTTTATGTGGTATAGATCAGGGAGTAGTAAAATACATAATATTTTACTACTCCCTGGTACAGATGCTGGCATAACGGTTTTTGCGGTTATAGGTACTCGTACGCGTCTGTAGTTTTGAAATGGACTGCACTCGCGCGATCGCCACTCGGTGCTATCCTGCCCAGGCGACTGGTACAAGAAAACCAAGAGGATTTTGTTACTTTTGTTTGGATTTTGAAATGTATGGAATACTTTTTGTCCACTGAAACAATTGCCCTTTGCGTATATTGAGCAGACTCTCCAGCAACTGGTCACTTGTTCGACAGTATCTGCTTTTATAGTCGCCTGGAGGAATTTACTTTCTTCGCTGCGCATGGGACTTTTGTCCAGTTCTCTGCTGCTGACTGCCTCGACCTCACAATGAACAGGTCAGGTGTAAAGTATTCAAAATTGAGAACGAGTGAAGAGCAGTACGAGCCAGGACAAGTAAGCCGTTGTGTTTGTGTTACTAGGTAAAGAGCGTTTTCAGGAAACGAGAGATTTCTGTTGAGTTGACACCGCCATGACGAAAGGGAAAACCCCCCACACAATAGGCTATTTGGAAAATTTGAAATACTAGTAGTACAGTAGTGTGCAACGAGACTAAGCCTTATGCACATTGACGTCATGTACGAAATGCCATAGGATCCTGTAGAATCTCGTAGGCCTGGTTGGGTGTTGATTTTACAGGACCCTATTGTGTTATCTGTATTCTCCACTACGAAACGTGCTCTGCAGTCATTTCATGCAAAAACCTTTTCCGGACAAAGGTCTAGCTGGTCATTAGCTCGAACCAAAGTGATGAAGCTGGAAGAGCGACAGTCTGCTATTGGGCTAAACTGGTCGGATGCGCATGCATAGCACCGAATGAACACCGTACCCAGCCGGGCATGTACACACCTACGGGAATTCGTACATCTGTACAATGTGCATAAGGCTGTGTTTACACGAGGCGTTTCAACCCGGGTCAGATTTCAACCCGCCATGTACACAAAATTAATGGCGCGTTTACATGACGCATTGCGCTTGACCCGGGTTGAAACTTCGCCCCGGGTTGATTTCAACCCACCCCGAGAAAATAGTACTAACGTACTTCTATGCGTATCTCGCGCCATATTTGAATAGCAGTGCACAGGTAAATTTCGCGCGAAAGTATTCACGTGACCATTCAAGACTCTAGAAGTGGACTTTGGCGGCATATCAGTATTTGACCCGGGTCAACTGCCTGCATGTAAACGCGCACCTATTTTGTCTATCGTACAGACTTTCAACCCGGGCTGAACTCGACCCGGGTTGAAAATTCTCATGTAAACACAGCCTGAGTCATCTTGGCACGGCAGTTGTATACAAATTCGACTACAATGTGTACATGGTAGTTGATGCAGGTCCCAGGTACACATTCAACTCTGAACGCTGGGCACAACTACACCCTGTAATCCCTAATTTCTACTCCTTCCACTCTCTGGTCATGTTTTGATAAGTAAGTAAAGTTCTCACATCCGGCTAAACAATTGTGCTGAGAAGAAAGCGCAGCCAGCTTAGGCAGTTTCGCTCGTGCAAGGCCACCACCGTGCCTGATTACCTTATATACCAAGGTGGCGGATGCAGCGCCTAGCCCCCTTACTCCGAGTAGTGAGTGCTCCAGTAGAGTGTGGGTATCGGAAGTGTACAGAATTGTGTGTTATCAAACACGCCTGTTGGAGATACAGCAGAGGTCAGCATGCACGTAGTCTGGATCTGTGAGTTACGTATTTGCTATTTTTCCATTGTACTTTTAAGGTATTGTTCGCGAAAATGCCCGGGTAATGTCCAAAGAGAACACCAGACCGCGTGATGTGAGTTTTGCGGTCTGTAAACCGCATAGCAAACCCATGCAGATGTGCGCACTCCTGGGGGTTATATGCTCTTGATGACATGATATGGCTTTTGTATTGGTTGTGGTCGGTTGCCTTCACAGTAGATATATTGTACGCTGTGTGTTTGTGTGTGTGTGTGTGTGTGTGTGTGTGTGTGTGTGTGTGTGTGTGTGTGTGTGTGTGTGTGTGTGTGTGTGTGTGTGTGTGTGTGTGCATACATCTGTGTCTGTAGTGGAAGAAGCCGCCCGTCAAAGTTCCCTGGGAGTCGATAGCCCTGGCGGTGGTGCTGTTCCTTTTGGGCACAACATTCTTGTCCTTAGCAATAATTCTTCGTGTCGGTGTCATTCACAGTGAGGTAAGGCAGCCATTGCTCTGTGTGCTTGTCTATCCTTTACACCTGCGTCTGAGTTAGGTCATTGTGAAATGGTTTCGTAATGCAAGCCTGCAGTGTTTTCCACTTGACCCACGGGTTTCAACAGGAGTACATGAAACCAAGCATGCGCAGCTTCTGACTTCTTCTGTGTGGGTGTCTTGTCATGGCGAAATTCCTGGATTGTGTTGTAGTTGGTGGAGAAAAGGCTGCAGGGAGTGGCATACAATTTTGTAGTACATACAACTGAGCTGAAGTTGTGCACCAGCTGACCAGCTAGAATCCTGCTTGTACGGACTACATCGCCAAAAATGATGTTATCCAGGAATTTCCTCGGTAAAGCAACCCATTCAAGCAGCACACTCTTGTTTCACCATGTACTCTTGGTATCAGTGGGTCTGTTGCTGGTTTGCCTAGCCATGTAATTGTGGTGCAGAGCTAGCTGCCGATCTCTGGGTACGCTTAGAAACACTGCTACGACGATTCGATTGGAAAGTGGTGAGGCTGACAGCTGTTTTATTGTCGAAAAGTTGACGGGGACAATTCAAACTCACCCTAAAACAACAGTACTGTAGTGTCTTGTATAAAAGCCTGTCTTGTATAGAAGCCTGTTTTGAATACAAGCCTGATTTTTAAGATACACAGTCAGCACATAAGCCTGGTTTAGTGTTGACATACATAGAGATACGTGGTGTGAATAGACGCCTGGCTTGAATAGAAGCCTACAGTCCATTCAGAAAAAGATGGACTTCTAGCTTTTGGCCATAAATGGGTCAAACTTTGAGTTTTTTTAGAATTTTTTTCTGCAATCCCCTATGGAATCCTCTTCCAATTATGTTTCTGAAGTCTATTTGTCCAAAAAGCAAGCCATAACAAGAATAGGATATCGGCCAGGTTTTGCCCCAGAAGCATTGAATTGGAAAAAACCATCAAAATCCAGGCCGTTTGACCCTGCCTGCAACAGTGCATTGTGGGGTTCGAACCCCAGTTCAGGTACCCTTTTTGGACTCTTTTTCAAAGTTCAAATTTCGCAGCACTGCACTGTGTACAATGAAATCACGAAAAAATCGCCAAATACGGGAGCTCGCCAGAGCCAGGGCCCATCTTTTTCTGAATGGACTGTAGCACTGATATCGGCTTATACGGCCATAAGCACCTGCTTTTATACGCGACCAAGAGTCCATAACCCCAGGGTTATGGACTCTTGACGCGACATTACGGTAAGTACTTGTTCAACCCTCAACACATGGTCACCATTCCATATAAGGTTATTTGGGTAGTAACCCCTCTACATGGTCGCATCATTCGCCAAAAGCCGCTCATTAGGCCAAGCGTGCATCTTTCTCTTCCTACCGCCATATACAGTTATCAGCAGCACTCGACACAAGTTCACGAAAAATGCATCATTCGCCTTGTGCCACCTCTAATCCAAATATGACACGATGCGTTCTCTATCGTGTGTCAGAAAGCATGGTGTGATGTGTCAGAAAGCATCAGCAGGCATACAGAGACAAGTAGACCAGAAAGGAGCACTGACCGAGTCATAAAGAAACAAGAGAACCAACAAGAGCTCCGGAATGTGGAGGCAATGAAGTAACACTGTGGGTAGCCCAGAACGTGAAGCATGTCAGTACGCACAGCACACTGTGTACAGAAGTCAACTAGAAAAAGGATAGTGTGGAGTTCACAGCATGCACGGCATGGAATCTGATTGGGAAAGCGAAAAGGAAGTGCGTAAATTCAAGACATAACAATATAATGTGCCGGACAAAGCCAAGAACCTCACACTAACTCCCACGAGTCGATAAAGTACGACTCCTCAGTGACCCTGTATAGAAATTAGAGAGCATTGACCTTGAACCCCTAACTCCTAAGTGGAGATGGTGAGCTGTGACCCTGAGTGTAACATACAGACTCAGGTCAGAAAATTGGCCAGGTTTTCGCAAAGGCAGGACAGGTATACCATAGCAAAATGTAAAATGTATGGAGACGCAGGTCCGAATTCCAGGAATTAAAAAAATTAAGTGGGGTCTGAGCCTGAATTCAGCCAAAATTGGGCTTTCAAACGCCAGCGGGTCTATTCTATGTGAATGGACTCTGAGTATGTGTATCTCTCCCGTTTCCCGATGGGATATAATACTTTTCTCATTTTTTCACTCTATTTTTTCTGTCTTGCGACTTGTTCTTCCCTGTCTGCGTGTGGTTTAGTTCTGGGAGCATTGCTATCCGCTGTTCTTCCTGGGCTGCCTGCTGTTCATCCCCGGTGCCTACCATGTGCGGATAGCATACTATGCTTACAAAGGATACCAAGGATTCTCCTATGCCGATATCCCATCCTATGATGATTAGCGATGAGTAGTGTGTTCAGATAACATCTTTTTTTCACTGATTTTATTTCCCCGACATCTGTGTCTGAAGCCATCGTCATCTATCTGTAATAATCCTGCACGGCTGGTGTCCGTCTAACTTCATTCGGACATTTCCTTTTTTTTGTTTCTCGTACCACTGCCGTGCTCCCAGGCCTGTGGTGTGTGCATTTGAGAGAACTAGCTTGGAAGCGATCATTGTGTATGTTGCTGTCAAGGAGATGTCTTTTATTGGACACTCAATATTAGTAGGTGATGTAAGCAGGCCTGTAACGCTGTGCTGTTGTTTTTAATCAGATTCTTGATTGACTCTTTTTTCCACTGTACCTGAACATACTGCCAGTATAGTTTTCATAGTTTATTTCCACAGCACACTACACAGCGCCTTGACTTGTTTGCCGCTGATTTTTATTAGAATCTATCTTAGATGCATTGACATGCTTTGTAGATGTGTCACCATGTAGCGTTTGGCCTGTAGAAACCAGAGAGTGCAGTGCACTGTCCTGATTCGTTTACATACTGCTATCATAGTGTTCTGATTACATGTGTAGTTTGTTCTGTTGTTCTTCTTTTAAAAATTACTTGGAGTCATAGATTATAATGCAACTTTTTTTTAAACTCATTTCATCCACGTAATGGCCACGTTCTGGCTTCATTGCGTCATTTGTATCCTTTTTTCGTAGTTGTGAGCGCTGTGCATTTGCCATGCTGTGCTGCTCTGGCTGCTGCCACCGTGTTGAACTGTATAGAGGTGGCCGAGCATCTACCCTTCTCTCCGGATAATTGTACTTCACAATAATGCTTGATGGTGACGTACCGGCGTAATCATCAAGTCCCGTGTTATGCAGTCGACTTGTTTCCCTGTGTTCGGATGATGATATCAGATGCAATTCAGCAGAACAAAAGAAAGATGACTCTATGGCGCTTGAGTGAGAGTACCGGTACAAAGTAAAATGTTCTGTACATGTAGTAGATCTACAACTCGTACCCGATCGTGGAATCAGCTGTACGGGTAATAGTACTGCATGCAGAGTTTGAAAAAATACGGTACTACTACTTGCAATATTTGCAGTGCAAATCAGGGACAGTCCCCGGTGCAAATCATAAAGGCCCATATATGTACGTCATGCATGACGTCACCATGTGTATGCATGCATGATCGATGTGCACAAGGCCAGGCTGGCATGTTGTTTATGTATTTCGCGGGAAATTTTGAGTTCGAGATCAATCATCAAGATCAGGGAGTCGTCAAATACCTTATTTGACGACTCCCTGATCAAGATCAAACACCGCAACTAGTTTTCAGACATGTGCCATGTGGTCCATTGTGGACTGCAGAGTGCAGAGACCATGTACCAGGGAGTCGTAAAATAGTATTTTACGACTCCCTGGCAGAGACTACAATCTACATGGACAGAATATTATTGTTTGTCATCATCATCTTCTTCACGTAGTCGAGTCAAAAATGCATCCCTTCAACTTACTAATGACAGCGGATAGAAGATGCGAACATGTTCCTCGGCGTAGTGTATTCCTGTTAGTAATTCCTGTACGTGCTGTGGCGAAGTTTGGACAACGTGCAGAGTGAAATTCTCTATCTCTAAATCCGAGGTACGAAGTACAGCCTGTCTGCACACTGGCACTCAGACTCTGTATCAAAACTAGTTACTTATGCTGTCCATGATCATGTGCGTACTAGAAATGATATCCTACTACACGAACTTCAACTAGTAGGCTGTTGTAGGGGGTACCTTATGGCACTTGATGATAGTTTGGTCAGTTTCTTGCCAACAGGCCTGGTCCTGGGTTGTCCCTGCAGCTATATACTGTCCCCACAGAGAAACGGGGACAATTTCCTTAAAATCCGGGCGAAATAGGTCATTATGCGGCATTATGCGATATCATGCGGTCATCATGAAAGGGGTATCTGCCGTTGGTACAATTTTAGTGTACATTCTTATGCACATATACAACGTTGACAACATTGTATATGTGCATGGAGAGAGAGAGAGGTTACGAAATTGTTAAAAATAAAATAAAAAGACCATTGAAACATGAGATGATTGGTGAATTTACTGCAGCCTCAGCTATTTGGCCGGCAAATTCACAATTGTTACAGTGGACAAGCTATTACATGAACAAGGGAGCTACTGTGCCACTACATAGAGCAAGAAAGAAGTATATTCGCAAGCTAAAAAGGCCTGTCTCGGGGAGGGGAGCAGACGCGGTGTGTGCACCATGGCTGAAATGGGGTTGGGAGGTTGTTGTTGTTTTCTTTATTTGAATTCACTACAACCAAACGGACAGAACTGTCCAGTGACAAGGTCTACTAGAAGCTCTCAGTCGCCCAGCTCCAGTGTTGCAGCTGGAGATGACGGTGGACACAACACTTGAAGGCGTGCCGCACGCCAGCCCCTCCAGGTGTGTGGGTCTCTGCAACATGCTTTGGGACAGAGCATTCCATGTCTACGTCTGCACAGCGCTGGCAGGAAATGTGCGAAGACAGCTGTTTCGAGTGCGTGCTGGGAGGTTGATTGATAGCTGGTGTGGGTGCGTAGGCTGAGCAGACACGCGGGCGGGCTGCATGTGTTGGGCACCAGGGGGGAGAATCTTCTTGAGCAGGCTCTCCGCATCCAGGCAGAATAGCTTGTACAAGTATGTGAGCGAAGCCACTATCCGCTGCAGAGATAGACTGCAGAGCCAGGAGCCCGATCCGATGATGTGGATGGCTCGTCACTGGATCTAGTCTAGCTTGGCCAGGTGCGAGAGTGGCGCACCAAGCCAGACCAGGGGACAGTACTCCAGCACAGGGCAAACAAACCCATTATAGGCTCGGAGCCGGCCAGGGGGCTCTAGGACAGCAGAGGCCTTCCGCAGGAAACCTAGGTGTTGCTGAGCTCTTGAGCGGATCGTACGGATATGCTGCGCATATGTCAGCTGGGAGTCAAAGGTGACCCCCAGGAGCTGCAGGTGGCCTGCTTTACTGACTGGCGTAGCGTCAGAAGTGGTTCCCGGGAGTTGCCAAGGCTGGCGATGATGCGCGATGGTCATGGCTTGGGTGTTGGAGAGCTCAAACTTGATTTTCCACTCTGCACCCCAGCGAGACAGTGCATCCACACCCGGTTGCATGATTGCTGAGCTGCCAGATATGGACACTCTCGAGGCGATACAGTTGAAAAGCGTAGTGTCGTCGGCATACCGTAAAGTTCCGTAAATAAGCCCCGGGCGTATACAGAACAAGGGTCTGAAAACCGGGCGTTATTTCAGGACTGGGCCTATACAACTACAAGGTGCATATTGCATCGCTTGTGTTTTCATAAGCATGCAGAACATTTTGCACACATACATATACTCAGGTACAGCATCACCCTGGGCGGTTTTCGGGCATGGGCGAACTCACGACGGGCTTTGAGTGTGGATGTCGATTCGATGGGCGTTTTTTTCGGGCATGGGCGTTATTTAGAGTGGGCGTATACACGGAACTTTACGGTATGCTGCAATGTCCGTTCCTGGAGGGAGATGGTTCTCGGCGTTGTGTGTCGGTTTCAACACCGTATTTTGACATATATATGTACGCTGAAGTCGCCTCACGGGTAGAAATTCACAAGGGGGGAGGGGGGGGGGGACTAGGGAGGAGGCAGATCAACGATACAAAGAGTACATACCCCCGCCCCGAGTGTGTACCTCCAGCCATGGGGTCTGCGACGGCAAAACTTCACATCACGTGACAAACCTGCATGCATTAGAGAGAACCGGACGCATTTGCCAATATGTTATCCGTGTGCTATGCGCATTTTATCCTCTTACCATGGTCTCCAGTGTCGGTTGCTGACGTCGGTGTTACACGTAAATACACCGGGATGGCGAGTACTCAGGTACACATGAAGGCCTACCGGTTCCTGTCAAATAGCATTGACTATCTTCACACCGATGGCGACAAGGTAAGTTGCTTGTGCGTGCTTACCAGCAGGGAGTAGTAAAATACCGGCATTTTACTACTCCCTGCTTACTACTGTAGTGCATGCATAGTCATGATGACATCATGTTGTACTTCATACACCTGGCCAGCAGTCGATCACATTTGTCAAGAGCATCATCATTTATGATATATTAAAGCAGTGACTATTAGCACCCGTGAGATGGGGGCCGCCCATAGCGAAAACTCACATCACGTGGTGTAGTGCTCACGTTGTACGTTTCCTGCCTGTTTTTTAGTAAGCTAGCAGGAGAGTAGTAAAACATACTAAAAATAGCAGGTTTTGAAAGAAACCCGCTCAGCTTGTGCACGTACGAGGCATCAACATGTCATGGCAGATATCCGGATTGCGCGCGCTGCCCTTCGTTGTACGTAGTACAATGCATGTGTGGAGCACATGATGTACATGGAAGTCTTGCGTTCGGAGACCCTGTATGCAGAGTTGAACAGCCTTCGGAGACCCTGTATGTGGAGTTGCGCACTCTTGAGCGCTTATGCCCGTTGTATCTTGATAACGTTCCTGATCTGAGCCATGCACGATGTACAGTAGTACATGTGCATTGTAGAGATTTGTAGTACACTTGGAGTGAGTTGTAGTGGCTCGAGAGAGTGCTTACTACACCTGGGTGTTGAGCCTTATATGCACACATGCATGCAGATAATCCGTCCCGTGCTCTCTAGACCCATCTGATGATTTTTTTGTACATGCGACTTCGCCGAGTCACCAGGTCACAGCGAGTGTTTTAGAGCTGGTATCGACCTGGTACATGACACTGCTACTCGCACTGCTCACGCACACTAGTGGCACGACCGCACTCGTACACCTATCGGCATGCAATACTGTCATTGCACATCAGAGGCTCCGCTGTAGTGGCCCTACATTTTTACTGCATAAATAACCAGTTTTCAAAGTTTTTTCTTTTTTTCTTTTTCGTTCCTACACCATAACACGCATGCTCAGCCAGTCCTTCCTCGGCCTTGTTTTTACTGCATTTTCTGTGTAGTTTGCATTGCATGCCTCTTCGAGTTTTTCCGAAATATCTCCACGATGGACGCTGTTTTGGATTTGCTGCATACCCTGGCACAGCCAGAGGTACAATCTGCCATCGCGGCATCCGCCCACTCCCGCGGAACAAATCGGAGACACCGTTTCGGGGAACGGTATACAAATTTCCTCAAATTCCGCACCCACGAGCGGAATAGAAGCTGGTCGTGGCACCACCACAGCCTCTGGTGGTCAAGAAATGGAGGAGGCTCGGAACTCTTCCACCAGGGAAGGGGACCATGATGACTCTCGGGTAGATGGCGGGGAGCCTTTTCGTTTTGTCTCCTTGGCTGAACGTCGTTCTGCCAGCCTCGGTTTTTCCACGGACCGCAACTCCAGCAATGGCGGCCGCGGCCATATTAGGGGTAACGCCACTGACGTATCTGTGTCACGTGATTTACGTGCTCGGTCTAGATCTAGATCATGCTCACGGGACAGATCTCCATCTCCACCCCACTCACGATCTCCCCCTCGTTCTGCTTCACATGAACGACGTACACGTACCCGCCTTAGATCGGCTGTTGCTACTTGTACACGTAGATCAAGATCTAGATCTCAATCTGCGGATAGATCTTGGTCGGTGTCACGCTCGCGTGCTACGCATGGGACCCGCTTGAGTGCCCGGGGGCCACATTGGTCACCCAGACGGCGCGAGTCGCACCGTTTCTCCAGGCACCGGGATTCAACTAGTACTGGCACTAGTACTAGCTCTGGTACGTCAGATAGTGACTCCGACAGTGCTAGTGGCACATGTCCGTCATCGGATGACTCGGCTGCCCACGGGCATCGCCGTGGTAGCGGTAGTACAGCTCACGCTGGCGGCGCGGGCTTCGCCCCTAAGGGGTTGGGGAACGACTCTGTATGGTCTCCCCCCTCGCACATGACCTCGTGTCTACGGGAACACTGTCGTTGTTCCCTCTCCTTTGCTGAGCGTCGACGGGCGCGGAAACTGTGTCCCCGACCGAACTTGGAAGAAACGTGATGTCCACACGTGGACCCGTTCCTGTCGGATGTCCAGGGTCTCGCCAATGCCAAGAGAGCGGATCAAATGCTGGCCAACATCCAACAAAGGTTACGGATGTTTTCCGTCCCCTGGCCGCGCTCTGGGCTGCGATTGAGCAGGGCCGGCCGGTCCACGAACTGACCGAGCTGGTCCAGATGGCGATCGTCATGACGGGCGACGCCTCGAATGTGTTGTCGGAGGCACGCCGTCAGCGCCTCATTGCAGTGCTGCCAAAGAGATGCCCGAAGAGCCTGCTTCAGGGCTTGCATCCTTCCGGTGATCTCCTCTTCGGTGATGGCTTTTCCCGGGAGTACAAACGGAAGTGCCAGGAAATGGATGTATTCCAGCCACGGCCTTCTGGGCGGCGCCCGGGGACCGCGCAGGACCGGTCGCAGCCTGCCCGTCCTGACCGTTTTTCTGGTCGCACCATGTACCGGTCAGATCCAGTGCGGTTCCGCCCTTACGACAGGGCAGGACGGGGCCATGTCACCCGCCGGCCTGAGGAGCATTTCCACCAGCCAGCAAAAAACGGCCGAGGCTAGCCCTTTTGCGGGCGCCCACGTCGTTGACGACCTCCCCGTGCCTGGCTGCCTCACGGAAACCCCTGCCCCCAAGGTAGCGGGCCGATTGGAGTTCCTTGCCAGCGGCCCGCTCCGACAGAGATGCGGTTTCCTCCCGAAAATGCGCCATCGTCCACCAGGAAATAGAGGATCTCTTATCCAAAGGTGCAATTCGACCGGTGAGCCCATCTCCCGGCCAGTTCGTGAGCCGGTTATTCACCATACCCAAGAAGGGTACCACCGCCGAACGTCCCGTCATCGACCTCCGCCACCTGAACGAGCACATGCGGTACGAGCACTTCCAGATGGAGGGTCTCCACCTTGTTCCCCTATCCGTCCAAGAGGACAATTGGCTCACAAAGCTAGACCTCAAGGACGCGCACTTCACCGTGCCGATCCATCCCCAGCACCGCCGGCTCCTGCGCTTCAGTTGGGAGGGCCAACTCTACGAGTTTCAGTGCCTGCCGTTCGGCCTGTCCAGCGCGCCCCGGGTATTCACGAAGTTGATGAAGGTCCCGATCAGTGTTCTTCGTCGTCAGGGCATTCGTCTCATCATGTATCTCGACGACCTTCTCCTGATTGCCGAGTCACGGCCGACCGCCGTGCTGCAGACGCAGCAGGCCATCCAACTCCTAGAATCTCTGGGTTTCGTAATCAATCGGAAGAAGTCCATTCCCGAGCCTATGCAACAGATCGAGTTCCTAGGATTTCAGTTGAACTCTGTGGCCATGACGATGTCTGTGCCGATCGACAAAGCGCGGAAACTCCAGCAGGAGTGCCACCGAGCCATGTCCCATCCCTACCTGTCCATCCGCGCATTGGCCTCACTCCTGGGCAGGATGGTTGCGTGCTCCCAAGGCATGTTTCTGGCTCCACTGCAATTCCGCCACCTTCATCAGTTGAAGATTGCAGCCCTTCGTCGCCATCAGAGCTACCTTGCCATGGTATGCCTGACACCGGAAGCCAGGACGGAGTTGGCGTGGCGGCCAGCAGATCTAGAGACTTGGAACGGTCGCTCGATTCTCAAACCTCCTGCTCAGCTCACCATATTCTCCAATGCGTCCCTGCTCGGCTGGGGAGCGGTGTGCGGCACAACGACTACAGTGGTCAATGGTCCCCAACCGAGGCCAATCTCCACATCACATCAATGCGGTGTATGCCTTCCCACCATTCTGCCTACTGGACAGGGTGCCTCATCGTGTGGCCTCGCTCCATACTTGCCGGATGATTCTGGTCGCACAAGTATGGGATACGCAGCCATGGTACGCGACTTTGCTGCAACTGTTGGTCGATTTCCCCATGCTTCTGCCCACATTCGACTGCCTGCTGCTCTCACCCTCGGGCCGTCCACACCCACTGGTACTGTCCCGCCACCTGCGCCTCGCCGCATGGCCTATCTCCAGCAGCGCTTCAATGCAGCAGAACTTTCTCCACAGGTCGTGCGACTCCTCTCCTCCTCTTGGCGGCCATCAACCAATGCCGCTTACGCATCGGCATGGGAGCAGTGGCTGGGCTGGTGCAGTTAACGGTCAGTGGATCCCGTTCTCCCACCTTTAGCTATGGTGCTCCAGTTCCTGGCCGATTCCTTTGAGGCGGCCGCAGCTACAGTACCCTGAATGTCTATCGGTCAGCGATGTCTGCTACCCTGCCTGAGCTGGATGGTGCACCCATTGGCCAGCACCCATTGGTGGTGCGTTTGCTCCATGGTATCTGCCTAGAGCGTCCGCCGCAGCCGCGGTGCTCACATACTTGGGATGTGGGTATTGTCATTTCTTGGCTTTCTAAACTGCCTACCAACACGGACCTGTCTCTCCCTGTCTTGTCTGGCAAGTTGGCCATTCTGATGGCCTTGACTGCTGCTCGACGCTCTTCGGACCTCGACCGGCTGAGCCTCGACTCTCATCGTTTCTCTGCCGAGGGCGTGGTGTTTGACTATCTCATACCCCCCTAAGCAGCATCGCCCTGGGTCGGAACCAGCCCGACCTGTCACCTTTGCTGCCTTTCCTGTGACTCCTGCACTCTGTGTTGTGGAGTGCTTCAGGGAGTACTTGCGTCGGACCGCCAACCTGCAGCCGGCATCTTCTGCGCATCTGTTCCTCAGCGCGAAGCGCCCGCACCACCCTGTCGCCTCTGCAACGGTTGCTCGTTGGATCAAGCAGGTTATGTCCAAGGCTGGTGTGGATACATCATTGTTTGGCGCCCATTCCACTCGTGCCGCTTCTACGTCTGCTGCGAAGCGTAAAGGTATGTCGACAGTGGACATCATGAAATGTGCTGACTGGAGTTGCGCATCGGTGTTCCAGCGCTTCTACTTCAAGCCGTGGGAGGGTGAGACCAGTGGCTCTTCCCCATCGGCACATCAGCAGTTCTGCAGCTCCATGCTTGCGCCGTAGCGCTGCCAGTGTTGGTCGGGCCAGGTTCTGAGTCTGTGACCTTGTGTCTACCTCAGTAATCCGATTGCTGTCTGTGCCTGGCTTTCTCAATGCCGTTCTATCTGTGCATGTGCACTATACGGCTTTCCTCATTTATTCTTCCTTTTGCCATTACGCCTGTGTCCTTATTCTGGACAGGCCTTTTGTCATTTCTGCGGCAAGTTTCCGTGTCACCGGTTTACCCTGTTCCTTACTGATGCTGGTGGTGTGCATGGTGCCGTGCTGCATGCCCGGTTGGGGGTTTTCATGGCCTGCGTTGGATCCTCTCTTGGTGGTGTGCATGGTGTGCTGCATGCCCGGTTGGGGGTTTCATGGCCTGCGTTGGTCCCTCTCTTCCGGTCTTGTGGTGATGTTCGCTTCACCTCTGATTTGAGCGTTGAAATCTACTGTGTTACATGGAGCGGAGCCTCTGATGTGCAAGTGACGATTGTACAAGGAACTCTGTTCCGATTTATAATCATAATTGCATGAAGAGGTGAAGCGAAATGTAACACTGTAGTCCCTCCCGCCCATCCCATTTACTTATGCACCGGGAAATGCCCATGGGCTTTATCTTGGCCATTGACGCGTTCAAACAAGGCCGAGGAAGGACTGGCCGAGCATGCGTGTTATGGTGTAGGAACGGAAAAAAACAAACTTTGAAAGCTGGTTATTTATGCAGTAAAAATGTAGGACCACTGGCCCACTACAGTGTTACATTTCGCTTCACCTCTTCATGCAATTATGATTATACATCAGAACAGAGTTTCTTGTATAATCATCAATTATTCCTTATTTGACTTGTGTTTTCATCCTTACCTTTTCCAGCTGAGGGCCCCAGGCCCAGACCCTTTGAGTTTCCTTTCTTACCCAGACCCAGCTAGTGTACTATATTTCTGATGTTGATTCGTCCTCAGAAGACCCCCTCCTGCCAGGTGTGACTAGGGTTATGTGATCATTTGTACAGTGTAGTTTCCCTGGTCAGTCTGGGTGTGACCGAGGGAGAAGTTATGTGTTATGTGCAGAGATACTAGTAGTTGTTTTCTCCAGTTCAACTCTAGGTGTGCACTGGAGTAAGTTCAAATGTAGGTTATTCACTTTTCTCATTCGTGTTGTGCCTCCGATTCCATCTCGCTGCTCCATTACAGTACTGTCGGGCGCCGAAGAACAGCCAGGCTAGAATTTCACCAAGCACAGTGTACCAATGTATACACGCTGACTCAACTATGCATAGACTGTCATACATGAAAATAAGAACGGTCTAGGCTAGGAGGCTGACACCCCCCCCCCCCCAGTTCTTCGGCGACCGACAGTAGTGTAGACTGTAGTGCTACATGTATATGATCATTACTTGGCTACCTACCATGGAGTAGCAAATACCGGTATTTTACTGCTCCCTGCTACCTACAAATACCTACTACAGTCAACTTGGCTAATAACGACTGCGGATATAACGACAATTCGCGAATAACGACAGAATTTCCATGCCCAGAGCAAAGTCCCATCCCACTGTAATACATATAATGAGACTTCGGGTACTTGCAAGTATACCGATACTTCGCGAATAAGGACACCTTTTTGATGCCCCGCCGAGTGTCGTTATAAGCGAAGTTGACTGTACACATTACGTATTGGATCAGCATTGCTCATTGCAACATGGCATGCAGAACGTGGGCACTTTCATACTGCCCTTGTGTCAGTTTAAAACGATGCTTGAGACCAGCACAATTCTGTTTGCTTGTGTTTCTAGATCAGTTCAGCAGATGTAACTGGACGGAGCCGTAAGTCCTGTTGATTACAATTAGGCTCTCGTAGTGTTCTGTAATTGTCCGGGGAGAATGTTCATTGCTTGTGTACAGCAAGTCAAAGATTGGGTACATCCCGCCAATACTCAGGTTGTAGATTCTGATATCATTTTGACATGGGGCGGGCTCCTCAATGTGCCCTGCATGCGTACAAGCCTGGGCAAAGCATCAGAAAAATTGCTCCGAATGTTTTGCAGGGTATTTCACGATGTGCTGTGACTGGCTCGTTCACTCATTATCCGTGTGTCAGCAGTGCAGTCCAGTATGATAGTAAAGTTGGACATGATGGATCACTTCTGAGCGGTTGCAATGCCACTGCTATGCTCACATGTGCTCTGCAGCACACGTCTTCGCCTGCATTCTTGCCAAGGAATTTGGCACAGTCTTGGCCGAGGCGGAGTACAAGAGCAGTACGCACGATGCAGTGGTCTCGCCCATGGCTTGCATTTTACCCTCGCTGGCTGTTCAGGTGAGTGTGAGCAATGGTAATTGTTTTATAATTTATATTGGATAAATCTTGATGCTACGCGTGCGGCCACTGAAATTCGACCTCACGAATATTGGTATAACTTCTCTGTGGATGCACCAAACACTGTGCTTTGCAGTGACATTGACGCTCCTCTACTTTATTCATGAGGTCGGAATGTAGTTGCCAACTTTTGTACAGGGATGTAACCCTTCTAGCTCATAGCATGCCTAAGAACCAGGTCTCCATGTCGACTTTTGGCCACAAACAGCAGTAGTTTTTTCCTAGTGTAAGATGCCTGCGGCATGCATAATCTAGATAGCTCCGGGAACCACTCTGAGCAGACCCCATGTTACACCACTGTTGTACAGGTACACGCATAGTTATGAGGCACAGTGATTCACTCAGTCCTGTGTCTGGTCGCCAGGAAGTCGGCAAACTAGCCAATGGTTGCAGTTTTCATAGCATTTATGAACAACTGCTGTGTATGAGCTGAGCAAGAGCCGCTGACTTCACCACACAGCCCACTAGTATAAGGGTACTGGCAGTGGTCTGGTGGAAAGTCATTGCTCTCCACAATGATCTTTTCAATGCTGTATGGCTCATTCGAAAATTTGAAATACAATTGGACATTGCCATTGTCTTGCATGTTTGTGCAATGCATATTAACATACGGCGTACTTGGGAACTGTGCTGTGTCCACAGGACAAGATGGATGTGTTCTTTGGACACGCTCGGCAACTGGCCATGAACGGCAGTGTCCATACGCAGATGCTTGTCGAAAAGATCTGTCTTCAGGTGAGTTTTGACATGTTCATTTGAAGGGATGTACAATTGTGGATAAATCATTTGCATGATGTTTTTCTTCTTGCACAATGTACAGCATAAGCTAACGCTGACCGAAAGAGAAGTTCAGAACAGTAGAAGGTCTTTGCTGCCGTGCAATGTACATGTAGTTTTTAAAACTCTTCTAGAAGCGTCACTGTGTTGGCGTCAGAGGCTTGCCTAGATTTCGCATGGCTGACATTTACCTTCACCACGATGCATTACAATTTACAAAGCATGTCCTGCTTGCATGGGCAGAATCTCCGGACAGCTAGCTGGTTTAACCTTGTTGGGTCTCATCAGCGGAGGAGCTCAGAGTCAATCACTGGTCAAACCGATCAAGAGTTAGCACACATCCGTTCTGCATTCGATGATGCGCAGACTGAGAACGGTGATTTCCTAGCAAGTACGGTAATGTACAGGACTGTGTATAACACAGCTAGTGGAGATTCTGCCCGCGCAAGTAGAACATGCTTTGTATGTAATGCATCGTGAAACTAACATGACAACCATGCGAAGGCTAGACAACAGGTGAGAACGACGTACCGTATTTTCGGCAATACTGGCCAAGGCGCTTTAGTAGTTTGCGAGCCCTAAAATTCACCCAATTTGAAAAAAAAGATCCACACAAAAGCTCTGAAATGATGTGGCGCTCATTTCAGACTGGCGGTTATAGTCCTTATGCACATTGTACAGATGTACGAAGTTCTGTACTAGGGCCGTAGGTGTGTACATACCCGGTTGGGTGTTCATTGTGTGCTATACATGCGTGTTTGACCCATTTAGCCTCATAATTCGCGGCGAACAATCACTTTTCCAGCTTCTTCACTTTGGGATTGAACTAACGACTTGCTAGATCACTGTCGAAAAAGTGTTCGTATGAAATGCCTTCAGGGCCCATTTCGCGGTGGAAATAGCAATAAACACAATAGGGTCCTGCACATTCAACACCCAACCGGGTCTACGGGATTCTACGGGATTTCGTGCATCTGTACAACGTGCATAAGGCCTATTAAAGAACGGCCCTAATTCGGAATTCCAGACAATACGGTATACATGTTTGTATGGTACACGCGTCTCGGGTTCCGCTGCTAGTCGTATCTGTATGCAGACGCGGCGTGTTGTGTGACGTGTGTCCATGTTCCTCACAGCTTCACGGCCAGTACAGCCTGTACACGGTGTGGTTCATCTGTCACTATGGCCTTGCACAACTGCAGACCTTGCTCGGGTAGGTGACATGTAGCCATACCGGATGTGGTCAGAGTCCGTATTGACTGTACTGTACTGAGCTCTCTGTGTTACATGCGCACACTGCACACTGTCCCCGCAGAATAACGCAGAAAAGGTTCCTCAAATTATGCGGGCAAGTGGATGAAGGCCAATTTACTGAAACTTGTGCATCCATGGAATCATGTTATCCTGTGGGAACACGCACACTGTACTAGCAGCATGTCCGTACTGCATTATTATGTTATTATGAACAGTTTCGCGTACTTGAGGACCAGCCTCTTTCCGCCTCTGTGTTCCTGAGCAATAGAAGGAGAGAGACAAAACTATACTATTATGATGATGACAAGGGAAGACATGGACTGCAAGGTACGGTTTACAAATCGACAATAAGCAAATAGCACTGAGAAGGATGGGCAACTTCTGTTTCGTCAGTGTTCACTGTGCGTTTTTTACGAAGGCCTTCCACACTTGCCTGTCGGATGCCTTCTGCCGGAGGCTCTGCAGATGCGGGCTCCTCTTGAGTGTCTTGCTGGATCTGGGTGACTAAAGTAGTCAGAGGTCTTCCTGGCTTGGCTGTGTTCGGTGGATTGAAGTAGAGTGCCATGGCTTGTTGCGGTGGTGTGTCTTCGGGTAGGCGTAGGACATGTCCCAGCATGGACATTCTTCGTCTGTGGACTTCCTCGGAGATGGGCTGGCTCTGACATCTCCGGTATAACTCGATGTTTGTGATACGATTGGGGTAATGTATGCCCAGTAGCGAGCGAAGCTGTTGCCTGTGGAACACGTCCAGCTTGTCACTGACTGCCTTTGTTGATCCCCACGTACAGCAATTGTACAATAGGGTCGGCAGAACATATGCGTTGTAGAGGCGAACTCTGCGAGCTTCTGAGACATGCTCCCTCCGCAGCCACAGAGTGTACATGTTCTTGAAGGCAATCGTTGCCCGCTGCTTTCGCCTTTGGATGTCTTCGTTAGTTGCCATGAGTGATCCCAGCTGCTTTACTGTTTTCCAATTTTCTGTTGTTGACGATACTGTGACCCATTCCGTCTTCTGGGTGTTTACGTACAGCGACCAGGATTCAAGGACCTTCGCAATGATCGGCAGTGCAGCTCGTAACCAGTCTAGACTTGTGCTGTAGTAGTTGACATCGTCAGCATACCTGCTCTCATGGGGTAGTAGTCTATCGCTTTCTGGACGGGGTGGCAGATGGGACAGGACATCCCTCAGGGCCGCCTCGAGATAACAGGTGAACAGGACTGGGCTTAGGCCATCGCCCTGTGGTGTTCCAACTGTGTTACTGAACGACTCTGAGGTCGCCTGTCCAACGCGGACCACGAGGGTTGTTCTCTCCAGGAGCAGTCGCAAGAGTTTGCGTTCGTCTGGGCCAACTACTCCATCCATCACTTCCAATAGCCGCTGCCTGTTGATAGTGTCAAAAGCACGACTCATGTCGATTCCCAGCATGTGGTAGGTGAATGGATGCCTCTGTGTCTTAGCACTCATCCAACGCTGTGTCCATACGACGTCTGCCGTGCTCCTGCCTCTTCTGAAACCTGATTGTATCGCGCCAAGGTGTCCATCGACGGCTGGGGCTATTCTTTTGAGTACAACCAGAGATAGAGCCTTTCTGATGGTATTGAGGAGAACAACTGGTCTTAGGCTTGTTACTGGACCTCTGGGTTTTCCTGGCTTTGCTAGTGGTACTAATATGCCAGCTCCAATGACTTGCGATATGTCTTGGTTATTGGTAACAGCTGTGTTTATGAGTCCGACGATCAAGGGTGACAAGTATCCTTTTCCATACTTCAGCAGCTCCGCTGGCACTCCGTCAGGTCCTGCAGCTTTCTGGTTGTTCATTCTTGCCAGTGCAGCTTCCATTTCATGTACTGCTACTGGGTTTGACAGTGGCGTCGCCAAGCCCTCCGGTGTCGTCACATGGTTTGTTGGTGTGGGATTGCACAACAGTGTGCTGAAGTGGTCACGGACACGGTCAGCTCTGTCGACGTCTCGATCAAGGACTAATCCGTCCACAGACTCCACAATGATTTTCTTTTGCTTTTCTCTGCGGAAGACTGATGTTGCTTGGTACATTTTGATGCTGTCGGGAGCGCGCTCAATAGCTTCTGCTGCTCTATCCAGCTGAGTGTTGGCGTTGTCCAAGCACCTGCGTCGTATTTGGTGGGAAATCCTGTTCCTCTCTTCTCTAGCTCTGCGTTTGCCTTCATCGTCCAAACTGCCGTCCTCCAACCGTAGACGCAGTAATCTCTGCTGCATCGACAACCGTTGGATCTGTGGGTCTGGATTGACGAGTCCCCGACGCGTTTTCACCATTGTTCCAAGAACGGATTTTGCCTTTTCCTTCACTATTTCTGTGACTGTTTGCCACGCCACCGAGAGGTCTGCTGTGTTCGCTGCGACTTGCTCCATGCAGTCACTCGCACTCAGTGCGTCCACATACTGCCGCCTCACGGTGCTGTCATGCAGTCTCCCTATGGCAACGGGTGGTTCCTGCTTCTTCGACGCTCTGAACACTTTGAAGAATGAATCGAGTCGGAGATCGCTGATCACAAGTTTGTGATCTAACTACTGCATAGCCATGAACATATTGCCACAGGGTTTCCAGGGTTTCGCCGGCCACTGTTCTGTCCCCCCATCCCTGGCCCCGTGCAAACTAAAGCGCCTATCACCATTATGTCTATGATGACTGATACTAGCTGTCTGTGTTTGCTTTAACTGCTGCTGTGCAGTGGTGATGCATTGGAGCTACCTGTGCTGACTGATCAACTGCTATGGCTAAACCAGCACCTCCAGGCCTGTCGCTTCACTTGTGCCACGTCGAAAGCAATCATGCAAGGTCAGGTCGCTTTTCTCTGACTTTGGCTTGGTGGACTGATGTGACTGGTGTGACTGTTTGGCTGAAGCCTGTGTACATGTGCATGTACATGGTGTGTTTGACTTTATGCTAATAAATATACGGTACCTTGAAGACACTAGACACCCTTAGCAAAAAACGTTATGTTGTAACGGTATTATCGTAAGGGGGAAAATACCGTGATTTGGGTTCGACCTTTAGCAAGATGCACGCTATTTTTAGTATTTCGCGCGGTACAACCATTTTTGTCACCATATACGCGATACAAGGTGAAATGCGTACGGACTATGCAATATTTGGCCAAAACACGTACCGTTGGTGACAACGATAAATCAGCCCCCATAACGTTTATACGCTGCAGCTTCAACGCTATTTGGGTGATCAAGGTACGAGTACCGTAAAAAAATAGCGTTACCGTTGTTTGCTAAGGGTGTCTACTGTCCTGTTCATGCTCCTTATGTTGACATATGTCGGTATACAGTGCAGGGGCGTAGTTGGTCCCCATTTGGGGGGGGGGGGGGGGGGCACGACCGCATACATGTAGGATGGCTGGAGCATGTCATTCATGGTCATAACGTGCATGCTGAACCTAGGTCGATTTTTTTAGGGGGTGCACGTGCCCCCGTGCCCCCATGCGAGCTACGCGCCTGATTGTGTCATATGTTGGCTTCCTCATTCCGTTTGTTCTTTTAACATTTACTTTTGTTCCCTCTTGTTCCCTTCTTGTTTCAATGCATTTGTCCTGTTTAGACATGCTGGTTTGGTTACTGGATGTAGCAGCTGTGCCTGGTACTGCCGGTGCTGAGGTAGGTGATACTGGCAACGTTCTTCTTGCTTTCTTGCTGTCATCCCTGAAGAAGAACTTACTGTCAATGTTCCATGTTGTTCTTGTTGTTGTCATCGTCGTCGTCGTCGTCGTCGCTGCTGTTGCTGTTGCTGTTGGTACCGCTGCTGCTGCTGCTGCTGCTGCTGTCGTTGTCGTCATTGTTGCGGTGACGGTGGTGGTGGTTATCATCGTCTTTGTCTCTGTTATCGTTTTTGTTGTCATGTACTTTAGCATTGTGTGGAGCTCTTGAACAGTTAAACTTTTTGTCATCATTTTGATGTGAGCTAGAGTATTCATGCACCCTGGTCCTGCATCCTGCATTGCCTCTGTCTCTATGTGAACCTGTGATAAGCAGCTAGGGTTCCATCCCAGATCTCTGCAACATTGACTGGGTCAGAGTGCCCCCTTTACCGCAGGCAGACAGACACAGACAGACAGACACAGCCAGCCAGACAGACAGACAGACAGACAGACAGACAGACAGACAGACAGACAGACAGACATGTGTCCAATCACCGTCAATGCACAGTGGCTGTTAGCGTGAGCCCGGGTGGTTGAGCAGACCAATGTACAGATACAGTAGCCAGCAGTGCAGTCTAAAACTGCACACAACTGCTGGAGCCTTTCTGGTATCTTCTGCCCGACATCCACTAGGGTTTAGAGTGGTTTGCCATGTGCATTTCCATGGTCCGTGTTAAAGCTATCCTTCACGCATTATCGCCCTTCAGTCGCGATTGTTTGTTCTTTCTCTTCTTGGCAGCATTACTCTTGTATGGCAGTTTCAGCTGAGTACATGTTTGTTGTGTGCTGTTGTACCACCATGCGTGTAGGTTGCAACATCTCTGCTGGATCTCCTTACTGATGGTAGGCTTGCCATCCTATTTCTAGGTTGTTAGCCTCTTGGATACAATTTTACCTTTCACCTTCTTCGAAAGACAGTCAGTTGGTGGCTTGGCAGTGCACTTGCTCATCTCTGTTGACATGTGTTAGTGTGCGTGTGCGTATGTGTGTGTGCGTGTCTGTGTGTGTGTGTGTGTCTCTCTCTCCCTCTCTCTTTCCTCTCTCTCTCTCTCTCTCTCTCTCTCTCTCTCTCTCTCTCTCTCTCCCTCTGTCTCTCTCTCTCTCTCTCTCTCCCTCTCTCTCCTCTCTCTCTCTCTCTCTCTCTCTCTCTCTCTCTCTCTCTCTCTCTCTCTCTCTCTCTCTCTCTCTCTCTCTCTCTCTCTCTCTCTCTCTCTCTCTCTCTCTCTCTCTCTCTCTCTCTCTCTCTCTCTCTCTCTCTCTCTCTCTCTCTCTCTCTCTCTCTGCGTGTGTGTGGGCAATGTGTACTTGACTTATTTGTCCACTCCAATGCAGAATGCTGGTGCCATCTTTCACGGGATCCATGTCCCGGCTCAGTTCAGAGGTAAGGATCCCGGTCAAGCTGTGCTTTTCATTCATTTGCTAACGTTCTGCTTTCCAAGGCAGGGAATAGCATGTCTATCTTCCTGTTGGTGGTGTAATTATCAAAATTTACTACTGTGCATACTACAAAGAGTGTTCAGTTCACCGTGTGTGCTGGGTTAGTTACTGTTTACATCTATTGTATGTACCGTTCTAAAAGGACAAACGTTGCCTTCACAGTGCAACGGTTCGTGAAAGTCACAAAAGCAAGGAGGCTAATGTTCCATCTTCCTCACAAGTGCTACGATCACGGCTAGCTCCCTACATAGTTACGTAGAATATCACTGTGCTCGCACTATGACATATGAACTCTTGCTCCTTGAGAACCACACGTCAGGAACGTGCTTCATGCAGAGATCAAGTGTTGCATGTTCCCTGCCTGTATTCACTGTACTGTTGCTATGTTGATGCGTGTTTGTGTAGGCTAGATACTATAGTGTGCCTTGCAAGACCACCGGGACCTACACAAGGAATGGTTGGTCGAAAGTACGAGCCGTTGCTTCGTAGCCTAAGCTCAGGCATAGGCCATAGCATGTGTGTGTGTGTGTGTGTGTGTGTGTGTGTGTGTGTGTGTGTGTGTGTGTGTGTGTGTGTGTGTGTGTGTGTGTGTGTACCCACCAACCGAACTAGCTGGCATGTTGCCAACAGACTCGGCTGCTTGAAGGTGTATTGTTGTATCTGCCACCTTTGTTGGTTTCAGGGTTCATATACTTTCTATTTAAAGTATACATACTATGATACCGGTTAACCATGAACTGCTTCTGGCTAGATTAACTCTTGTGTGATCAATGGTGCTAGTGACGCTTAGATCAGATCCGCTCTGATTTAGCCACCCACACTAGTAGCAAGTATTACCTTCACTGGGGGCAGGGGTAACTGCAGTTGGATCCCAGGACGGATACCCTGATGCCGTCAATCCTTTTTCTGCACCTTGTCCTCACCCACTTACTGAGGTGTGGTGAGCCCATAAGTGGGATCATTTTCAAGTCCACCCAGAGGTTTGGGGATTTCAGGGGGTGTCGGCCGTTGGGTGGTTCAATAGCCAGTTGAGTCATCTTTCCAAGATTCCTTTTGAGTCTCTCTCCCCTCTCCCGGGGAGACCCACGTGACCAGTTTTGGCAGTGAGCAACAAGTACGAGTACAAGTGTGTGTGTGTGTGTGTGTGTGCACGTGTGTGTGTGTGTGTGTGCACGTGTGTGTGTTTGTGTTATGGACATCTGTCTGCGTGTCTATCTTGCTGTATTCGGAGCAGACATTGTTCTGCAGGTACTGTATCAATGCTCACTCAATTGAGCGACAAGGATGTCGATTGCGATGTGCGGAAGAAGCTGTGTGTACGATGCCTGAAGCGATTCATAGCCACAACTCCGCTGCAAGACGGTTAGTCCTCTCTTCTGGTTTACACAAGTTACTTTCATTCTTCTCTGTTGGGGTTTTGAACTTCAACTCTTCTTTGTATCGCAAGTTTCAGCCTCGAACACTCAATTTTCTTTCTTGTCAGGTATTAGGTTTGATTATGTGATATTTGAAGTGAGTCTGTATTTTTCCGTGTTGTTACCTTTCTACAACAGGTGTCTGCATGTTTGCTTTTCACCATGATGCCTCGTTGGCAAAGACTCCAGAAAAGGTTTCAACTTTCATTCGAGAGGTATGTTCATCTTGTGAGCATCTGCTCGTATGTGCAATTCCAAGCTGTAGATTTCAGTTTTTCAGCACCCCATTGCAAATCAAAGCAACCAAGGAGAGAGAGAGAGAGCGCACTCCAACACTGGATTACTTCAAGTACAGTAAAACCTGTGACTAACGACCACCCCTTGGGGCCAGGGAAAGCGGTCTTTAGTGGCAGGTGGTCCTTAGTTAGAGGTTTGCACCGCACAACCATATTATATGAATGTGAGACCGTCCGTGCCTGGGTAAGTGGTCTGTAGTACCAGGCTGGTCGCTACGCACGGTGGTCTTTAGTTACAGGTTTTACTGTATAAAGAAAGATCCTTTCAAGCAATGTATGGGGTATAGCACATCGTAGGCGTAGACATTCGGGATGATTGTGTAATTTTACATGTAGAAGAAAACTAAAATGAAGACAAAAAGTGATGGCCATCAGAAGATGTTCTAGAACTTTGGTAGAATCACAGCATTGATTACTTTTCAGTTGTATTTGATTGTGTGCACTCGTAAGAAATGGACAACCGGATGAAATAATTTTATAACACTTCATCTCCACATTGCCACCGCCTCAAAGACGCAAACGAAAAGGCTGCTGGTGATCCAGGCCACCTCACTTGTGTCTGCTATCTCTGAAAATCACTATGAAAACGAGTACTGTATACCCAAGCTATGTTACTTGATTATAGGAGGGCAAGCAGCTGCATTTGCCTTTCGACCTGTTCTATATCTACAGCAGCTTGGGGTCGTGTTGCTGGTGTGATTGAGGTCAGCCAGAGAGCGCATGCTTTGCAGTTTGAACTAAATCTATTCCCAAACTAGAAGGGAAGAAACAGAAAGATTGCCACTGCAGAAAAGCTCATGTTTTATTGATTTTCATGTTGTTTGTGCTGCACTAGCTATTGGTTCCACTTACCTCTGAGGAGATCCTTGCCTTCCTTCTGGCACAATGTGATTCTATTGATGCGATGGTAAGTGACTTCCCTCCGAGTTGTCTTCCCCCTCCTCCTCCTCCTCCTCCTTCTCCTCTTCCTCTTCCTCCTCCTCCTCCTCCTCCTCCTCCTCCTCCTCCTCCTCCTCCTCCTCCTCCTCTCAAGTGTTTGGTTTTCCTGTGCTGGACAGCAAGCTGGTGATACGGTTGATTCCAAACATCAGTTTTGTTTCTTACAAGTACTATGTACGAGGACTCTTAGTATTCACTGTACTTTGAAATACAAATGTAATGATTTCAATTTCGAAAGAAAAGGTGTCAGCACCGACGCAATCCACACAGTCAAGTAAGCCAATTTAGTAACCGAACATTTTCGTGCCCTTCTCATCATGGGTAAATACAGGGAATAATGGAAAAATGTCAAATATAGCAACTTATAGAGCTACAGCAAAAGCATAGATTGAGAACCGAACGCTATACGTGTGGAAAAAATAAAATTCAGCAATGATCTCAGGAAAAAATAGTTCAACGATTCGGTCGTGAAGAGGCTTACATCTGTACCTTGCCAGCGCTAAGTCCGGTGTTACAAAATGGAGTATGAGGGATGTTTGGTGTTAGTATAGCAGCTGGGAAGAAATAGCCATCACGTTTTGAGTAGTCTCATGTATCAGCAGTACATGGCAGTGCAGTGGTATCAATATCTGCGAGAACAATGGTTGGCAGCCAATATCTTATCGGTACCACTTTACAACCCACCATGCATTGTTGTTTATCCTGGGGCCCATTGCACGATTTCTTTATCCTGCTCCGACGCCCTTCTTTACTAGTTCAATGGTGTTGTGTTGACCTTTTCCTATGATTTCCTCGCAGTGCTGCTCACTTCTAACCCCTTCCCGCCTGTGCCCACTTCATTACTGATCATGGGTTTTTTCATGACTGAAACTTTGAAATCTTTTTCCTGAAATCTTTTCCTGAAATGAATTTGTGAAATGCTGTGATTGACTGTGATCCAGTGTTGCTCACGGCCCATTCCTGTATAAGCTTTATAAACCTGCGAACACTAGACCTGATATTCCCGTTGAAGAGTTGCGACCAAGCCAGGCAGTAAAGCGATTTGGTTCCTGACGTTCTGTCCAAGGAACCCTGCGTAAAGTACACGGCATGATGTCCATTCCTGTTGCTGCAGGCGCACTGGCTTGGTATACTCTCCTGCGTCAGCGTAGCGTTAGCGTACAAGACGGGCTTCTCTGCTCAGCTGCAAGGTACTTGATTGGCTCCTCCATTTAGCACTACTGCATCATGTTCATGACATTGTGTTTGTTACAGTATTGGCCACTCTTGCAAGACAAGTTTAAAAACTTGGCTTTGTGTTGTATTCTCATCATCCTTTGCTAGACGTGTGTGGAAAGAACATAGCTAGCAGCCTGCACCAGTTTAACGCGGGCATGTTTCACTGGACCATGTTGCTGGCTCGGCATGCTGGCTTGGCTGGAGCAGACATCTTCCCTATCTACAGCGAGTGGTTTCGGGTAAGCACAGTCAACTTCGCTAGTAACGACTGCGGATATAACGACAATTCGCGAATAACGACAGAATTCCCATGCCCAGAGCAAAGTCCATTCTACCTGTGTACATATAATGAGACTTCGGGTATAACGACACTTCACGGATAAGGACACTTTTCTGATGCCCGGCCGAGTGTCGTTATACCCAAAGTTGACTGTAGTACTGGTCGGTATGTGCTTCATCAGATGCACTCTGAGAATCTACCAACTTACACGTACTTCGAAGTATCATCTTAATGATCTTATATCCGCGACCTTTTGGAAACGTCGGCACTAGAATAGAAACGATGATGCCGAGTTCTCGAAGCAGTGATCGCTTCCAGCAAACAATTTGATTCTTTGAAAGGTATTGATTGCTTGAATATGTCTGCAGCCAACCTCCAATAGCAAGCTCTGCACTTAGCATGCAGTAGATTAGGGTGTTTTGTATGTGTCACGTCCACTGCTGCATACTCAAAAATGCTACCAATGGTAAATAAATGGTACCAAATGGTACCGTTTACACATACAATTGTTTTCATTTTTTTTGGTGTTGTGTTCTAATCATTCGCCATGCCACTGTCAATTGTATTCTGTTTGCCCGTAAAAGAGGTCTTATCTCAAAAATGCTACTACAGCAATTGCCAGCAGAGCCAAAGGCTTAGCATATTGCCGTTTCATGATCATCCTCACCAATTCTGACTGGATGAAGCATGTTGGACCTTCCAAGTTTGATCTCATGTGTCTTATGGAGAATAATAGTCGATAGTACATGATATATAATCAATCGAGGCTGAATCGACACGGCACTGGGTAACCGATAGTCGAAAGCTGTATTCGGCTATTCGTGTCATTCCTAGTCAATAAAGTTACAGCTATGCCGCCTTTAGTAAAGGCAGTACTTGTAGATAATTAAGACTGTGAAATGCGTTCCTGTGGAGGTTTTTTTTTTTTTTACAAAGACCACTTAATGCCAAACATGAGATGCATTATCAGCAGTCTTATGGGAGAACTTGTCTTGCTTGTCGAAATGGCTCTTTTGTGGCGTGCCTTGCGTTTTTGCCCAGCTACACCTTTCTGGCGCTGTCAATCCATTGCCCAGTACACAGCGTGGCATGCAGTTCTTCTTCCAAGCACTTTCCAGCATCGTACCACACGAGTCACTGGATGCGATCAAGGCAAGTTATGAGTCAGTTGATTTTTGCTTCGTGTGGATACAAAGCTATTCAGAGCTGTTTCTTTCATGGTAGTGGGAACATTCTTTGACAAAGACCTCTCTCGGCAGGGCTTGCACAGTCAACTGAGCGGTACGCTGGCGTGGAAAGAGCAAGCTAAACCAAATGCCCAGTATGCTACCGACACATGGAATTTCTCGTACTTGTCAGTGCCTGTGGCTATTCATGTTTACATGTTTACAAGTAGGCATGGGCTGCCCATTGGTTGAGAGCTTTCCATCTCATCCTCGCCGCTAGGCCCTGCATCTGCCACTCTGGTATAATCAGGCATGTTGGTGGTCTGGCACAAAAAGCAAAACTTCTCTAAGCTGGTCATGGTTCTCAACACGATTGGCCTGTAGGCCCCGGCGGATAATGCTCGAGAATTTGATTCATTCTGCTTTTCAATATGCTCGCATTCTGCTCCAAAATCGCACTGATAATGCTTGAATTCTGCTTCGGAAAAATGGAAATATTGGTATAGACTATGTAGAGTACTAATGTTGCAGATTGATAACAGCATACATGTACCGTAAAGTAGCGCGAGAGCGCCCCGTCTCGCGAGAGCGCCCCACCTTGATTTTACAGCCAAGGGAAGAATACCGTATTGCAGAGTGCTACTAAGTTTGTATGGTGTAAGCACCTCAGTGCACTAAGGTCACACTTGGCATTTTTTTATGTGGAGCTCGCATCCCCTCTAAGGTAAACTGGGTACGGATTGACTGCACAACGTGCCATGTGTGTACAAGGTCCGTGTCGTATGACCTACAGATAGGAAACCACCTCCACAAGACGACCACGAAAGGACGAGGTGGTGGGGCGCTCTGGCGGTACTTTACGTTACATGTATTTTGCAGCATAAGTCATGTTCTACGAAACAGGAAAAATACAAGAAGCACGGACTGTAGCTCTGCGGACAGTATGGTGATGACTTGCCTAGCAAGCTGCTGACTCGTCAGGCTCTTGGCCAAGACTTGAACACGAACCAGACGCTGGCAGGTGTCATAGTGTTTGGTAACAAATCTCGCCAGGATGACCAGCATTTCGCCCTGGTACATGTAGGCGCTCCCATCAAATATGACGCTCAGGTAGGGCCTTAACCTTGAGCTCCTCAATCAGTGTTGACTTCTCCCTCTCCAGAACATTTGGAATGTACGACGCCATGTGAGTGGAATACGTCAGTCGCTTCGAGTCCTGCTCCAGCAATGGGCGGAGGTAATCGAGTTTTGCCAGAGGAATACCGGCCTTAAGCACAGCTTCCACGGTCTGGATCCTCCGCCGGTTTTGGTCGAGTGGCATTGCAGTACTGAGGCCAGTCCCTGCGAGGTCATGTGACTGTCGTTTCTGACAGTCCTTCCAACTCTTTGCCAGCCGCTGCTGCTTCAGGTCCTGCTGCTTGCGATACTCTTTTCCCGCGTTGTGACGGTCAGATGACAAAATTAATGATCTTTGACGATGCTTTTCTGCATGGAAATAGTAGTATGACAGGCCTCACAGAAGAGCTTGCCAGATGAAACAGTAAGCATTTTACCTGGGAACTCCTCCAACCGCACATGTGGGCTTACACTACGTAAGTGGATTTCCCATGTGATAGTCTTGGCTTGTTCGCATTTGATGATGCCTCCATTCTCTCTGACGATGTTCGCTTCAACGACCGACCTCGGGATATTAGTGCTTCTTGTGCTATAGACAAATCCAGGCAAGGTTGCTGCTCGCTTGAGACGAACCTGCTTCTTCCTATTCCTCTTCGTCATCCAACACGTCAAGCTCATTCTCCGAGTCATAATCTAACCTTCTGTCACGGACAAAATACTCGTCCTTCCTCTCTACCCGACTACCTGAACACTTTGGAGATCATTTTGGTAGCATTGTTGCTGTTCAAGCGTTGAGTGTTGTGCATGCATGTTGTTTTCACTTCCCTTCCCCAGAGCTACATGTTGCAGCTTGAGGTAGCAATAGGCAGTATGATGTAGCAAATGTGCTATCCCGACTTGTACTTAGTAGATCTACTGGTCTTGTAGCACGGGCATGCACGCCATGCAGCAGCGTGTTCAGTTGACTGTTTGCCAACTAACGACTGTTACGTATACGTGTTACTACAGTCATGATTGTACTTCTTCTTTGCTACCGACCGATGTATGCATGCCTTTGTGCAGAGATCGAAAAATCTCGACGGCTTGGTGACAGCCTAGCTCGAGTCCAATAGACTAGAGCCGAGTTTTGAAATTCTTCGTCGTTTGATTGATCCACAATACAGCACATACGATATCAAAAACGAACTATTCTGCTCTCGCTCCTTGCGCTCTGCCATTTTCTGCTCTAGTTTGAAAACGGTTGGATTATGCCCGGGATTCTGCCGGCATGATCCGCCGGGGCCTATTTGGCCTGTGGTAATGCGGATATGAGAACTTTGCTTCTTCTTCTTTTTAGTTAAGTAATCTAAATGTCACTTCAGCTCGTCCTCCTTATTGCCATATCAAAATTGTTGTCTCCTCGTCGAATATTTAAATACATCTTCTTTTTTATGGTGAAAAGGAGAAGGACAAAATGTTACGAGTTTTGACTAACTGTCCACCAACTTTCTTCTTTTTTATTTTTTTAATACTATTGTTTATAGCTGCTCATGTCATCAATATGGTTGTGGTGTACTTCTTTCATGACTTTGCTATCGCTCAGGTTCACACTGCTGGGGTTCAAGTTGAAGGGAAGTTCCGACAGCTCTACTTTGACTTCATCCAACTGTGCAAAACTCGTCGCAATGATCTACTGGTGAGGACCAACAGCACTACCGGTAGTAGTTCTAAAACATGTGCTCAGTGTAGCTGCTGACTGGCCTCCACTCTCATTATCGGCCACATAGAATGCCTACTATCGAAGTTCTCCTCCTTGTGTGCGTGCGTGTGTGTGTGCACGCGCGTGTGTACATGCGCGTGTGATTTCTACAGGCAAAGGAAGCAGAAGAGTCCCATGTCTCTGGTACTCTTTCCAGCCATGTGAGTAGTCACTTCACACTAGCCTGACACTTGAAGACATTCAAACATGTACCGCTTGTTCCTTTTTCTGTACACAGACTCAGAGAGCATATCTGTATGTGATGTGCCCGCATATGTACTCTATCGCCTAGTGAGTCAAAGAGAACTACCGTAAAGCCGTGTATAAAAGCCGCGGCTTATATGACTTTTTGGGGGCAATTTTGCAGGCTTCTATACAAGATCGGTATTTCTATGTATGTCAACACTAAAACTAGGCTTATGTGCCTATACAGTGTATCTTGAAAATAGGCTTCTATTCAAAACAGGCTTATATATAAGACAGGCTTAAATACAAGACACTGCGGTACTCGAAGATCAAGCGCTGATCTGTGGCCCATTGTTTAAACTTGTCCTCGTGCGCTGGTTGTCTGATATTACTGTCTGCAGCAAGCTAGGTTAGCCGAAGACATTGAAGATGCGATTCACGTGTTTGCCACATCCGGACAAGTGTCCAAGAAAGTATTGAAATCAAGGTATGTTCAGAGCATCGCAGTAGCAAGTAGATCATCTGCCCCTGCCTCAACCTGTTCACTATTGGGTATTGCCTCTCAGTGAAGAGTAAAGAAAATATACCCATGTCTTGGATGAAGATGCTCTCCAAGTCTCTTTGGGCATGTTGAATGTTCAATTTTTTTAATTCATCAACAACAATTACGTGTGCAAAATTGAACTCGGATAATGAGCCAGTATGAAATGTAAATAGAAGTTCAAGAAGAAAACACGTTGCTTCATAACTCGTTTCCATGTGTTTTCTTCTCCTTCTATTAACAATTACGTGCTTAGCCTCTTTGCACACTAGCCCCCTGGACGATGTATTCAGCTGCCCTTTATCATGTCAAGAACCAGAGGCCCATCAGTGCAAGTGTGAAACTGCTATTGAATGGTCTTTTGCGTGCCAAGTACTGTACTTATTGTCGGGCACTGCTGTGGACTGGCGTGTGTGTGTTTATGCAGTGTATTTGAACGGCCGTATTACAAAGGGCAATTCTTACCAGCACTGTTGGCTCCTAAATCGGTACGTGTTTAAAGAGCAGTTGCCTTCCAAACAGGAAGTAAGTTACGATTGCTTTTTGCATTACCACCTAGGAGTGTGTGCTGGTTTAGTGACGTTAGTGCAATAGCAATCCTGTTGGACACTGCGAACACCAAACAGTTGAAAATAGGTTATCATGCTGGGCAAGTAATTTTGGGTCCTGGCTGGCTTGTCTGTTACTTCTAGTTGGAGGAGATGTCCACTGCCCGTGAAGCGTTCATCTCCAAGCTTGTTAGGTAAGAGTGCGTTGAAGTTGTGTTGTTATTGTTGTTGTTGTTGCTGCTGCTGTCGTCGTCGTTGTCATCGTCGTTGTTGTCAATAGTCCACAATGTCTTAGCTTAACATCTGCAGCTCGACTAGCAGTGTTCAGGAATCGTCTGCTGAATACACTGGACACCCCATTTGTTTATGTGCTGCAAGATGTCTCAGCTTGGCAGCAAGTACCGTAAAGTACTGCAGGAGGGACCCACCATCTCGTCCGTCCAGGGTCGTGCTGTGGAGGCGGTGTCCTGTCTGTAGGCAATGCGATAGATACCTTGTACACACATTGCACCTTATGCAGTCAATCCATACTCAATTTGCCTTCGAGCGATTGCGAGCTCCACACGAAAACATGCTAATCCATACTCAATTTGCCTTCGAGCGGATGCGAGCTCCACACGAAAACATGTTAAGTGTTGTAGTGTTCTCTCAACGTACTGTCTACGTGTGGAGAGCACGCCAAACAACTACAGTCAACTTCGCTAATAACGACTTCGGATATAACGACAATTCGCGAATAACGACAGAATTTCCATGCCCAGAGCAAAGTCCCATCCAACTGTAATACATATAATGGGACTTCGGGTATAACGACACTTCGCGAATAAGGACACTTTTCTGATGCCCCGCCGAGTGGCGTTATAAGCGAAGTTGACTGTAACTGATCACGGTCTCGTTGCCAGGCAAAGAACCCTTTTCAGTATCAATGCAAAAATACAAATACATGTAGTAGTGAAAGAAACCTGATACAGCAGGACAGTAGCGGGTGCTCCTTAGGGATCTACAATGTAGTAGTTATTTTATTTTTTACAAAGATCACGGCTCACAGGCAAAGACAAAAAATTGCATACTTATTGTGGGAGCATAGTGATGCACTTGAAAACACCGCCATTCCGACGACAGGCTCTCAGCTGCACCAAATAAATAACTTTGCCAATATTTCGCCCAATGCCGGAATGGCGGTGTTTTCAAGTGCAAGGAATACGCTGCAATGGAGTTTGGGAATTCTGAAGAAAAGCATAGTGATGGTGAGGCTTTTTGCCCTCAGCCGACCTGAGGTCTCGGCATCATGGGGACATTAAATGCACCAAAGAAAAGAGAAGGAAAATGAATGAAGTGACAGGGATATGATACGAAATGTTAGGAGGAGAGACAGTACATTAGTAGGAGGGGAAAATAAGGCAGACAGTGTAATAGGAGAAGGAGAGAAAAGAAAAACAGACGTTATTGGGAGGAGTATGTGGAGCGGAATTTGAAAGTCATGGGGTGAGGCAGATATGATCTTGTGCCCACGACCAGTCGTTGGTCTTCAAATGGCGGTTGGCTGCAACCTTGAAATGTTGCAAGTTCTTGGTGCAGAATGGATCAGAGAAGACTACGGCGGGCAGCTGGTTCCAGACGGGGACAACTGCATGGGGGTAGGCTCGACACAGGTTGTTTCGGAAACGGACTGGAAGTTCATTTGCCAGTTGGTGCACGTGGGCATTACATCTCTGAAACGTACTACAGGTGGAGTGGGCTGTTCGGTGTTGGGGCTGCTGGGGTGGCAACATCCTCTGTAGAAGGGGATGTGCATCTGGGCAATGCATTTTGTACAGGAGTCAAAGTGCTGCAACCATCCGACGAAGAGCAAGACTTGGCAGCCAACACAGTGGGGCGATGGCTCAGATGGCCCTGGCTTGCACACGGCTGAGTCTTGCAAGATGGGATGGCCACTCCCATTCAGACAATAGGGCAGTACTCCATCACTGGGCGCACAAAGGCATTGTAGGCTTGGATGCGACCGGGCACGTCTAAGAGGTGGAAAGCCTTCCACAAAGTGCCAAGTCGCTGTGTTGCCCGGAGGGCTACGGTACGAAGGTGGCGCCGGAAGGTAAGCTGACCATCGAAGCTGACGCCCAGGATTTTGAGCTCCTCTTGTTCCCTTACGCGAGATCCGTTGAAATCAATCGGTGGCATGTCCCATTGGGTGCGGTGGAAGCTGACAGTCAGTGCCTGGGATTTGGCTGGTTCAAATTTTATCTTCCATCCTTGACCCCAGAGGGAGATGTTGACTGCTAGCTGGAGGGCTTGGGTGGTATCTTGTTGAGTGGTGGGGGTGATGTTGGCATACAGCGTAGTGTCGTCTGCGAACGAGGCTAGGTCAGCACCGGCTGGTACGCGGTCCTCACAGTCGTTCACGTATATGAGGAAGAGAGTCGGACCCAGAATACTGCCCTGGGGACTCCAGCCTAAATTGGGAGCCTTGAGAATGTCTGGCCACAAATGACCACTTGAAGATAGCGTTCACTGAGATAGCTGCTGAGCCACTGGTGCAGTTCCCACGTAGGCCGTATACGTTGGACTTGTGTAGCACACCGGGGTGTGATACGCGATCAAACACACCGGCTATGTCAATGGCGAGTATGCGTGCTGCACCTTTCTCCCCGGCTGTATGCAGCCACTGGTGGTGGGGGCTGCTAAGTAGGTCGGCTGCACTATGGTCATGTCGAAATCCAAACTGTCTTGTGGAGAAGACAGTGTTCGACTCGAGGAAATTAGTGATTGTTCTGTTGATGATTGTCTCCACCACCATGGACGGAATACACAATAGCGAAACTGGACGGTAATTGGAGGTAGAGACTTTGATTTTGAGTACTTGAGGCCCTAGTTGAGGGTACACTCCAGTGGATGACACATCTAGATATGGGATGAGTCATTACAATGTAGAGGGATACCGTAATGGATAGTCTAGATCTATAAAGAGAAGAGCAAGAGTGTACACAGGAACAATGGAACAAGCATGCACAATGGGTACACACACACACACACACACACACACACACACACACACACACACACACACACACACACACACACACACACACACACACGACACACACGCACACACACGACACACACGCACGCACACACGCACACACACGCACACACACGCACACACACGCACACACACGCACACACACACACACACACACACACATATACAAGATAACACTACATCTCTCCTTCTTCAAAAAGGAGAAATAACATAGCAGAGAAAGTAGAAAAGAGAAAGACCAGATGAGAAGACCAAATAATGCATAACATTTATATATAATCCTATCCCTCCCTTCCGCAAAAGAAGAAGAACACACACATACACATGAGAAAAGCGTAGAGAAGTAGAGCAGCAGAGCAATAGATGAAAGAGGAACGAGGTAATTATGACGATAGTTCAGTGGTTGATCAGAGCAAGAGTTCAAGCAGAGACCTTAAAGTGCATTTCAAAACTATAGACGCGTAGGGTTTTTGAAATATTTCAAATTTGGCTGGAACTTTTTGAGAATAGTTTTCGGAATATTGCTCAGGATCGCTCCACAATTACTCTCGTATAGTTTCTAAAGGATTGGATAACAGATGCCCAATTTGGAAAAATTTATGCACAAAGTGATCACAGATTTTATGTGGTATAGATGCTGGCATAACGGTTTTGCCTAGGTACGCGTCTATAGTTTTGAAATGGACTGTAGTACACTAAGGTTCTCACACCGTACAAACTTAGTTACACTCTGCCATACGATTTTCCTTTCCCAGGCTGTAAAATCAAGGTGGGGCGCTCTCGCAATACTCTACGTTAATGCCTGGCTTTGCCGCCGCAACAGCACTGCTACCTGCCACCTGCTCTCAGTCTCAGTATCATCAGCACACATCATTACCCTTTTCAACAACATTCATGTTCTTTGTACGTGCTGTTTCAGTATTGGAAAGGCCCAGCCGAATTCTCTAGCCCTGTACCAGTCAGAGTGTCAGAACCTGGTGAAGAAAGGTGAGGACACTCCAACTGGACTGCATACCTAACACTAGACTCAGTCTCCGGGCAGAACTGTTTCGTCCTTTGTGGACGCATCGGCGCAGCACAGACAACACCACATGTACCACTAGTCCACTAGACTCACTCAGTTCCCGCTCAGTTCCCGTTTAGTTCCCACTCAGTTTCCACACCATGCCAGTAGTGCACATGTTCATGTTGTTAATTCTTACAGTTGTATTTTTTTGTCCAGTGGTGAATGATCATGAGCTAGAAGCTATTTCAAATGTGTGCCCGTAGGATCATGTGGACAATTCCCACTTTAAAAAAATGAAAGGCACATGCATTCTCGCCGCCTGTATAGTTTGTTCTTGAGAGAGAATTAGCTGGAAAGCAATCTCAGTGCTGGCAGAGACCCTTTTCTCTGATGGCCGTAACACTCAGCGGTGGAAGTCGTCTGCTACGTGTGCTCTATTCATACAACTTTTGCAGAAGTGACGTCTATTGACAAGCTGTCTGTTGAGGAGCTGCTGGCAAAGCTGTCCAATACTCTCTGCTCTGGTAAGTGCACTGCTCCTGTCTCATTTTCTTTTTCACCAGGGAGTAGTAAAATAGTAGTCAGAATGTGTCAAGTAAAATACTACTCCTTGCCTTTTCTCTCAAAACCTTACAAGCAGCGTTTCTTTTCTATTGCCTCTTGGACTTATTTTTTCAAGCACGCATCCAAATGCACATCACCAGCCGTATACATGATCATACCCGGCCTTGCTACAATACACTTACACGTATACAATCAGTCGTGTACGTGCAGTGGAATCCTTGGGTGTCTTGGTAACACTATGATCCGAAAGGCTATCATTGTCTGGGTATGTAGTTGGACAGAGGGTGGATTTCCCAATAGTGTTGGATAAATCGGATGACTTGGCAAGCCACGAAAAGACCATAATTATTGTGTGGAAATGTGTGTATTGTGTTTATTCATTGGTTTGAGGGAACAGTGTTGTTGGTACTTCGAAGAATCTTCATTTTGCTTCAGCTAGATGAACAGGCATTTCTCCCTTCTTGCCCAGGCTAAAATGCCTTCCAGCAACAAGACTTGGACACCGCCGGAGTGGGGACGGGCTGCCATCGAAATAGCACTGCACACATACCAGCTTGATAGCTTGTGTAGTTTGTCTAGCAACTGTCGAGACAGGCTAGAGGCGAAATAGTTCAAGCCATACTAGTTCAAGCCATACTGCTAACATACCAGGTCATATCTGAGGAGGTCTTCCTTCTCCCTATCATTTCAGTTCATAGCTTGCTAGAGTTTACGCTGGCCAGTTGTTCGGCATTGATACTGGATTCGTTATCGTATCCATCTTGTGGCCATTGACATGAGCATCCCTACAAAGCTGCAGTAAGCTGCTGCGGGAGCTTGTTGGCTCGCTTGGTTCCGCTTTTTCATGTGAAACTACGGTAAGTATTATTATATCGACTGCCGTATTTTCTGGAGTATAGTGCGCACTTTAGATGTGCTATTTTAGGCCCTAAATCGCAGGTGCGCAGTATGCTCCGAATATGAAATGCATGTACTTCAATGAAGATTGAAGTGCGCACCCCCCGTTATACAAAGGTGCGCACTATACTGTACTCCGAAAAATACGGTATGTCACAGTATGTCATGTGGTCGCGGGTCGCTGTCAAAGTCTGGGTATAACAACACATGTGTTCCATGTGTCGTTGTGCAGCCCGGCTAGCTCAGTCGGTAGAGCATGAGACTCTTAATCTCAGGGTCGTGGGTTCGAGCCCCACGTTGGGCGCTGTATTTTTTATCTTTTTCTTGATACTATCGGTGCGGAATGTGTTTTTGAAGAATTTTTTTCCCTTCGCCACCGATCGAGCGACTTTACTTTGCAGTTTGTAGGTGTGGCAGGTTGGGGATACTAGTAGTTTGCTGTTTCTGATCTGGGCACGACCAAGAATCAAAATGATTCACCTGTCCTTCTTATTCTTGCGACTAGACTACATGTAACTAGACTACATGTAGCCCAGCAGGAGGGTGATCGGCCATGGTGCCCTGAAGAGATCGGGGACAGGGATGAATTATTTCGAGCAGCAGACGCCGTACTGGAACACCTGGGCCGGATTATCGACTACGTACGTGTACATACAACATTCGAGTTTCACTAAATTATTCCCTAACTTTAGCATTGTTACTTGCGGTAAAGTTCGCGGAATATTTTAGTGAAACTCGAATGTTGCTGTACTTTCCTCTCGCGAGTACATATTATCTGTTACCAAGAGTACATAACGTACTCTTGCTGTTACTTATGGATTCCGTTGGCGAAGCTGCTGAAGTGAATGTCTTCTGGATAATAATGAATTTAAAAATTATCATGCTTGGTAGTGATGCCTACGACTCCACGAGCGTACCCCAGCCATGACTTTGATTTTTTTCCATCATAAAAGTTAAGGTGTGTTCCCAGCTGGCGCATGGACGCGGTACGCTTGCGGTTTATGCGTGCCCAAACGCGCGCTCAGCCTTTCACACAAAACAGCACCCATGTACCATGTACCATGTATACGCCCGTCGCAAGAGAAGCACGCAAATCTGCAAATGCACTGGGTGTGCACCCACAGATTTTCTCTTATAGCAACGATATAATAGCGAACAAGATCAAGACTTGCGCCAGATAACTGTCTAATCCACACAACTGGCGAAGCCATGTGAATCGACCACCAATGCACACCTGGTCTACACCACACGGAGTACATCGGCATACACACACACACACACACCCTGGCTGCAAACCAGTGTGTGTCCCTGGCTGCAAGGCCAGTGTGTGTCCCTGGCTGGGCAGATTTCAATGTGCACAGCTCTACATGCTGTTGCCAAACTCATGGCTACACATGCCAAAATATGTTCTGCACGTGTGCCTTCCTTCCTCCCGTGTCATCATCTGTTACAGCGGATATCGCTTCAAGCTACCAGCAGCTTTCAGATGTCATACAGTGCCTGTCTGTTAAGCTGACACCAGCCAAATTTGACCACATTCCCGCATTGTCTTTGAACACGTCCAAGCCAAACCTGTGCAGACCTTCCATAGAAGTAAGTTTTTGTGAAGCGTGTAGTATTATTATAGTGTACGCTCTACTGATGCAAAATCACGAGTGTGGGGTCCGTTAGGTCGATTGCACTGGAATTTCTTTCAGGGTTTTTTTTAAAGTGTTTCAGCTGCCCCAGCAGAGATCCATGTAGAGTTAGCAAGTGCACTACCCCAGTAGCAAGGGACAGGCGTATGGTCCGCATCATGCTGCCATATCTTTAGCTAGAGTTATCCACTGAACTGTCATAACTCGCACATGACTAAACTACTGATATGCTACTAACTTTATGTAGTCATCTGTAGTTTGAAGTTTTATTTTACATCGCGAACCAAACGGGCATTGATGCCCAATATTACGATGGCGATAGAATAAAAAGTGTGGCTCGATAAAGCTGCGCTTGAGAAAAATGAGAAAACAGTCAATAGGAAGTATATGTACCGGTAATTACAAGTCAAGTTCGAACGAATTAACAATCAGAGAGAAATAGGAAGATGAGGACCTATGCCAGAGGGAGGTACTATTCGGCCATATTAACCGTAGAAAAACACTTTCAGCAATCTTTTAAACGGGGTTGGACGACGAGTGGACGTGATTTCCTGTGGCAGGGTGTTCCAAAGCTTCACGGCGGAAACCAATGGTCGGCTATCGCCAGATGTTCGCCGAGTTTGCGGAACAACGTATTTGCAATTGTCATTGCCACGGGTGTTACTGGGAGGTTGGAGGGCTACTCTATCTTTCAGAAGAGGGCTGATGTAGTCATCTGTAGTTTGGAAAGTGCCAATCTCATGTTGTTGTGAAGGCATGAAACAGGCCTACAAAGGTACGAAGGCCTGTCGGGTGTGCAGGCTGGAAAGCCTTGTCATGGTTTTTCCTTGCCTTTAGACAATAGGCAACATTCTACATTTCGATTGAGCGGTTGTGTTTAGCTTTGTTGCTGTAATGGGGTTGCTTTTCTTTCATGCTCAGGTTATTGATCATTTTCTTTGGACTCTGGGTAGAGCCTTGGATGCAAGTGACCGGTTCCCACCTTCACAAACGTATGTACTTCAAAGTATTCTTTTAGCATGCATGTAGCGTATAGTCTGAGAAGGAGTGTGGTAAGAAGTAAGGACCCCGACACAACAAATTCGTACAAGAAAGATAAGTCTTTATAGTTTTTTCACTAGTTTGAGGGAAAGAGACAAACGGGAAAAGTCTGAAGAAAAATTGACTGTCACCACCAGGACTCGAACCAGGGAGTCGGACCCTCGCTTGTAGCTAGCGATGCTCTAACCACTGAGCTATGATGTAGTCATCATCCCAGCAGAGACCGTTCAACATTTTCTTCAGACTTCGTAACTCACACTTCCTGTGAATCCACACAGGCGGGTGCCGGGGTGGGACGCATCCCTCACTGTACCCACACACTTCACGTTCACACTAGCACGCGGGTTTTTTTTATATGAATTATTTGTATAAAGAAGACAACACCGCAGGCTACCATTACTGTGATTCGGTGGCCTTTGGGGCATTGTTCTCTCATGGTGATTGTGACCGACACGGTCACCCCCGCAGCCTTGAATCATTTCGTTGTTCTTCTCTTGCGTGCAGTGTTGTGCAGACTTCGGTGAGGCTCTTCAGCCTGCTGGCACGTTCGCGCTACTTCCAGTTCGTTATCTACATCCGTCTTTGGGACATTGTGGAATACCAGGTATGCGTGGCTATGCGTGCTTGCTGACAAGGTGTCTGCCACCGCCTGCAGAATTATGGATTTGTCCACTTTCACATTTGTAGGGATTTGTGACATTATCTATTTCTTTTCTTGTTTGGGCAGAGCGGTTCTATGAATGGTAATGCTTAACCATTGAGAGTACACGCTCTAGTACCCGTGGTGACACGCATTTAAGCGCATGTCTATATCCGGGCATAAGCACACCCTCACAAATAAGCGCATGGGCTTTTAAGTGAACCTAAATGCAATTCCATTCCGCGACACGGACACCACAAAGCACCGTGTTCACATAGTTTAATGTGCAGTGCGGTATCGCACTATTTGCACAATTATACAAGGCACCGGTACACTAGCAACTCAAGCGCATGCGCCTATGTGTGAGACAAGACGACCCGCAAAAAATAGCAAATAACACAAAAACTCACTCATTGGGGCATGGGCCTTTATGTGCGTCACTACGGTAGACTCAGGGAGAAATGGACAAGATGTGGGCCTACTGCCACTGCTACGGTACATGTCAGCAATGTATTATTGCTGTGCTCATGAACGATGACGTTGATTTGTGTGTGCATCTTGCCTGCTGCTGCTGCTGCTGGTGGTTCTACTTATATTGTTGGCCTGTGAATGTCACAGGTGGATGGTGCGGCCTTGCCCTTGCTGAGGTGCTTTGCCCTCTGCCTGCACTGCATGCAGCAACAAGGCAGTGCCTGGCTCCGTGTTGGTGCGTACCTGTGCGCTTCACACCGGCCACGCCAAGTGCAATTCTGTCAGCAGCGAGGTGGATGCTTCGACCAGGTACGGCCTCATCATAATCCTCTCTTCGATGTATTCTTGCGGTGATGGTCTAAAAGAGACTCAACCGTTGTACTAAGGGTACATAAGCTCCCAAGAGTGTGCAACTGTTGATACCCTTTCTATGGGATCCACCTACGGCGAAAACTCACATCACGTATTCCCGTTGCACCTTCCCAGCCCATTTTAGGACCAGCGGAGTTTGAAAAATAGCTCTCCTGACAGAAACCCACTCAGCCGTTTATGCAACTTGCCAGCGTGATCATGGCAGATATTCGAACTGCGCGCACGCTAGCCTTTGTTGTACGTAGTACAAATCGTACTTGGAACACACAATGTGAGTTTTGCCGGCTGAGACCCGTTATGCAGAGTGGCACACTCTAGGGAGCTTATTTACTCTTGGTTGTACGTGTATCTTGCTAAAGTGCAGCGTGCCATGTACCTGCACCATGCATAGGGTTTCTAATGGTCTATTGGTGTGCGGCATGCTATCAACAGCACGGCCATGTGAGTTTGAGTTGGTGCAGTCCAGCACTTGTACCAAACCCGGATTGCCATGTTTGACTATTACACACAGGCATATTCCTTCACATTCACTACAATTCAAACGAGTTCCTTTTTTTCCGTTTGCCAATGATTCCAATGATTTCTTTGTGTTTTATCTTTATTTTTCTGCGCAGCTGCCAAGTATGTCAGTGGAGTTGCTGGAGGTGCTGCTGCGCAAGTCCTCAGCTGACAATGCCCAGCCAAGTCTGAGCAAGAATATTCTGTGTGTTGTACAGCTGCTGCATCAACTCCAGCATGTACACGCTTCGTCTATGTCCAGTTCCCATCAGCAAGCTCTTCTGGTAGAGGGTAATTGAGATAGTGCTGTGAATAATACTCTCTCTAGCAGAACAAGGAGAGTAAGCATCAATATTATGATCGAATAAGTTTTTTATTGAAGCACTTGAACCGTACTCATGTTTGACTCTTGTGGTATTCTGCTGCAGAACCTTTAGCCTAACAACATAAATGCATACACGCTGGTGTATCTCTCTGTGAAAACAGACTTCTTGTTGTCACTCTACGTATGTTCCATGAATCAGTAGACCAGTGGTATGGTTACCTGCTATGCAAAGTGACCATATCACTTATCAGTTGCTCATGCAGTGCCAGTGATGTGGTTTACTCTTGTCCGAAGATCTTCATCCGTTTTGACCAGAACAACTATGCAGTGTAGATCTACCTGGCTGAGTGCGGATGGTTGTAGCCAGCACTGCCCACACAGCTGCTTTGCCTTGGTTCATATGGAACACACAGCCCGACACTGAATGGCCACCAGGCGTGCACATGTATATCTGTGTTCCAGCTTTGCAGTGGCATACCCTAACCGGGTGCATGCTAATGTAGTTCTTTGTCAAGGTCTACTGGGCTAGTACCGTGTATGAGCCATGGGTCGGGAGAACTGTGTTGTCATGTGTAGACTTCCAGTGCTTCTCTTGTTTTGGTTGTTATACCGTGACTACTACAAAGTAGATCTACTAGTGCGCGTAACGTCGTTGAGTACCTAGTAGATCTACCTGATGCGTACACTGTGCGCATTTGGACGAGTATACTCGTCCTTGGGAAATCACTAGGGACGAGTATACTCGTCCTTGGGCTCAGTTCAAAGCAGGTAGTAGTACAATATGGTACTGTACTACTCCCTGGTTCGAAGGGTTAAAATAGCCAATGTCAAGAACGTAACTCGTTGATGTACCGGCAAGCACTACAATCATGTATTACCAAGAGTATAATACTCTTGGTAATACTGTATGATGGGCCGGCTAGGCTAAGTTAGAGTTAGACCGTACCAGGCTGTCCCCGGGGAAAATTGCAATTCCGCGGCCGCGTTTTTTTCCGCGTTTTTTGCGATTTTTTAAAAGACCGCGTTTTCCGCGATTTTCCCGCGTTTTTGAACTTTTTGTTGCACTACACATACACACAGTGCACTGTTCGGTCAGCAACGTCTCATCGTGGCGGCTTTTTACTCAAATATGACGAGTGCTTACACCAGAGACTTGTAACTGATTGATTTCACTACATACTCACTGAAAAATGCCTCACATCAATATTATTCACCGCATATTTACCGCAAATTCACCGCAAATTATGCCATATTATGCCGCGTTTTTCCCCGCGTTTTTTTGCGATTTTTTTCCGCAATTTTCCCGGGGACAGACCAGGCCAGGGAGTCACCATGGTCACTCCCTGGCCCTGGCTCTGGCCAGTCTGGCCCTCTGCCTCTGGCCTCTGCCTCTGCAGTCTGGGGCCTGTAGGCTGTAGCCTAGTGACGTAGTGTAGCCTCCTGCACCATGTCCATGTGCACTGCTGCAGCCTGTACGGTACTGTAGCGCAGCATGCATGTACATGTAGGTAGCCTTTTCAGCGTGTGCTCAGACTACACTAGTTTAAGGTGGCAGTCTGGGTTCGCGGCCCGACCGCATGAACACAGCCGTAACTTCCATAATAATTGATGAATTTTGCTCAAATCTTGACCACATACCCAGTGTATTTCACTAAGTCCAATGAAGTATAAATCAAGCTCACACATGGGAATCCGCAGGCACAATAGTCAAATCTGCGATTATGCCGTACCACCAATACCTTAGACGCAATATGCAAACGCAGAAAGAAGCTGGGTAGAAACTGAGTGCTCCACAGGATTTCCTTCACATATACCTAGGTGCTAAGTGGAGCGGAATTTTGAAATCATATTCAGAACAAAGTACTCAAGCTGTCAAACAAAAATCATGCAATCGCGCAAAATTTAGGTCCTCGATCAGTAGCACTTTACTCAAAGCTACTACACAAATATAAAAATCCATGACACTTAGCACCTTGATAAATGCTCACAGTTTCCAAAAATGTATGGTTTATGGGGTCTGTGACTTACAGGTTCTTTGCTACGCTGTCTAAGAGGTACGGGACTCAGTGGAAAATGGAGAAAAAAAGTGCTCTGTGCAAGTACAGATGGAGGTATGTCTGTCCAACTAGAACTTACTAGAACTTAGTCGAAGCCACCAGCTTCATATGTCAAACCTTCTTCCTCTTGCTGCTCATCCTGGATGCCCTTCCTGATCCTCCTTCGCTTCTTTCGTGACCTCTTCCCTTCTTCTGACTTCTTTCTGGCAGCATGTGCCTGTCTCTCACGGTCTAGCAGCTTGATGAGACGTGTCGTATGGTATCCAGTAGGGAGGCCCATCTCGTCCAGAACGCGTTTCACTGCCACACCTCCATCATTGAACCAGGCCACGGCCAGGTAGACGCACATCTGGACAGTGGGAGCGGATGCAAAGCCTGTCTTTGGACACAACTGCCACACGAGTCCATTGAACGCTTCGTTGCGATTCTGCGTAGCACCCTTCTGGCAGCGCTCGAGCAAACTCCGGTCGGACAACCGAATGTAGACCGGCTTCAGTTCCTTCCATACTGCCTCTGGCAGGATATTGTGGTGGGCGTAGACATCACCACCTGCCTGTTGCTGCTGCCATCTACACCAGCTGTTAATTCCAGGCGGACAATACTGGTGCTGAGGTTTACTGTCGCTGGATGCACGATGCATGAGGGATGCCCATATGGCCCTGGCCATGGCTTGCAAGTCTCCGCTGTTGTTCCGCACAGCCATGCCATAGTAGGCTTGCAGCTTGTCGATCATGGCATCCGTGAGGCGACCACGTCCGCCTATAGTGCGCCCATCAGCAAGCTTCTTGCCCGCAAGGTTTTTCTTCAGCTTTCTTAGGCTGGTACCGATGCGTTTTTGAACGTGGCCGACACATTCCTCCTTGACTACAGGCACCTCGGGCCCATACGGACAAGCGTCACGCACAGCCTTAAAACTCTTGGTATCTCCATCACCAATGTAGGTGGTGTACCTCAGCTTGCGGCTCTCAAAGGACCTGGCCCACAGAGTCTTGGCGGCTGCACTCTCCATGGCAGGAGCTGATACAGTGGTGTTGACTGAGCAATCGTGTTCGGCAATCTGTCGATCATAGTCATCTTTGGTTAGCTCTCCCTTCTCTTTTCTAGACGCCAAGTGCGTGCACTTGTGGCAAAACTTTGAAAGCACTTCGCAGTCCACCACTTTGCCGACATCATATGCAATTATAGTGAAGGCTCCGAAGAGCGATGCGAATCCTCGGCGCATCCAGGTACCGTCATAGGAAGCAGCGATATCGCTACCCCCATCTGCTGCGGACACTGCTTTCTCAGCTGCCTCAGTCATGCTACGCTCAGCGACGCTCTTGGACGCGGAATGCAGGCCTTTAGCATGGCTGTAAAATGTCGACCGACTCATAGGTGATGGCATATTCAGTGCACCCGCCAGCTTTACCATTGATTGACGTCCACGGCCAATCAGTCGCATTCCGAATACTGCTCGTCTGTTCACCTCCCAGACCCGATTGAACTTCTTGGACATAAATTCGCTTGCTATGTCGCCGCAGTTAACACAGGAAAGCTCCAGGCATGATGCAAGGCCTCCCCGTTGCGATTCGCTGATCGTGACTGCGCCATTACAGCCACTGCAACAAACTGCAGCTGACAAAAGCTGCTGAAGGCACTCGAGATCAATCAGGCGAAATCCATGCGCCCCTTCCTCACACTCTTCATCCAAGTCACTGTCGGAGGAACTGCTGTCGACTTCACCGCCACTTCCATCACTATCGCTGCTTGAAGACGTGGCTTCAGCTGACACTTCAAGGTCGTCATCAGACAGTGGCAAGTCAGGAATTTGTTCTGCAGGCGAAATTTTACCAGAGGGAGCCTTCGGCGCCTGAGACACTCCATAGAACGTTCTTTTCCTTTTCTTAGATCGTCCGGGCTTTCCCTTGGCTCTAGACTTCCCCATAGTAGCCAACGAAGGGGTTAGCTCCAAGAAACAATTACTCCAAAACAATTACTCCAAAAGTTTCAAGAGCAGAGCGATCAGCTGAGATCATGAGAGTCGAAATTTGAATTTTTTTTGAATTTGCGCATGCGCAAAAGTTATCTTGGTTGCCATGGTGACAAACATCGTGCGCGGCTGTCAGTCTGCAGCGCAGAGGAGTACCAGGAGTCGCTCCAGAAAATTTTAATGAAATCGCTCAAAGATTGACGGTAAAAATCGGAATAGTGTGCAAACCTAAATTTTGTAGAAATTTGCTGATATTTCAGTATTTCAAAAACAATTGTGCAGACTTTGCGCGGCTATATCTCCGGAAGGAAGCACCCGATTACGCTCAAATTTTCAGGATAAACCCTTTGGACCATACACAAGACGGTGCCAGTGAAAAAATACAGAAAATCGAAACTTTGTTTTTTGACCCTCTGAACCCAGACTGCCACCTTAAAGGGGAAGTATACCCTAAAATCAAATTTTCACCAGTTGTAGTCTTCGGGGTGCTGAGTCGAATGGTCTTGGTCCGAGGAAGCTGAGACGCTCCCTTCCTACTTGAATCCCAATCGAACTCGCGCACTTCCACCGAAACTGGGTGACTGCGCCCTACTAGATGGGGATTTGTATGCAAAATGTCACTAAAAGCGCCATTTCGTTCTTATAAAAGCACGGATGACCGCGATTGGCCCATATGTTGTAGTCTTTTGGACGCTGAGTCGACTGGTTTTGGTCCGAAAAGGCTGCGATGCAGCGTTCCTCCTTTATTCCCAATCGAACATGGTTGAACAAGCGGTCACGTGCTCCTGCGTACACCAGTCACCTGGTCACCGTGCCTGCAGGGTACAACTTACTAGCCTGTTTGACCTTTTTTGGGTGCAGTCCTGTCACTCGAGTTGAACTCGAGTTGAACCTTGGTGTGAAAGTTGTCGCCTGCTGGCGCGGTGACCAGGTGATTTGGGCACCCAGGAGCACGTGACCGCTTGTTCAACCATGTTCGATTGGGAATAAAGGAGGAACGCTGCATCGCAGCCTTTTCGGACCAAAACCAGTCGACTCAGCGTCCAAAAGACTACAACATATGGGCCAATCGCGGTCATCCGTGCTTTTATAAGAACGAAATGGCGCTTTTAGTGACATTTTGCATACAAATCCCCATCTAGTAGGGCGCAGTCACCCAGTTTCGGTGGAAGTGCGCGAGTTCGATTGGGATTCAAGTAGGAAGGGAGCGTCGCAGCTTCCTCGGACCAAGACCATTCGACTCAGCACCCAGAAGACTACAACTGGTGAAAATTTGATTTTAGGGTATACTTCCCCTTTAAAGGGGAAGTATACCCTAAAATCAAATTTTCACCAGTTGTAGTCTTCTGGGTGCTGAGTCGAATGGTCTTGGTCCGAGGAAGCTGCGACGCTCCCTTCCTACTTGAATCCCAATCGAACTCGCGCACTTCCACCGAAACTGGGTGACTGCGCCCTACGAGATGGGGATTTGTATGCAAAATGTCACTAAAAGCGCCATTTCGTTCTTATAAAAGCACGGATGACCGCGATTGGCCCATATGTTGTAGTCTTTTGGACGCCGAGTCGACTGGTTTTGGTCCGAAAAGACTGCGATGCAGCGTTCCTCCTTTATTCCCAATCGAACATGGTTGAACAAGCGGTCACGTGCTCCTGGGTGCCCAAATCACCTGGTCACCGCGCCAGCAGGCGACAACTTTCACACCAAGGTTCAACTCGGGTTCAACTCGAGTGACAGGACTGTACCCAAAAAAGGTCAAACAGGCTAGTAAGTTGTACCCTGCAGGCACGGTGACCAGCTGACTGGTGTACGCAGGAGCACGTGACCGCTTGTTCAACCATGTTCGATTGGGAATAAAGGAGGAACGCTGCATCGCAGCCTTTTCGGACCAAAACCAGTCGACTCAGCGTCCAAAAGACTACAACATATGGGCCAATCGCGGTGATCCGTGCTTTTATAAGAACGAAATGGCGCTTTTAGTGACATTTTGCATACAAATCCCCATCTCGTAGGGCGCAGTCACCCAGTTTCGGTGGAAGTGCGCGAGTTCGATTGGGATTCAAGTAGGAAGGGAGCGTCGCAGCTTCCTCGGACCAAGACCATTCGACTCAGCACCCAGAAGACTACAACTGGTGAAAATTTGATTTTAGGGTATACTTCCCCTTTAAGTCAGACTCAGAGTCAGACCTCGCGTGTGCACGTGTCCGTTGTCGTTGGCGTTGGTAACCTGGTAACGAAGTGACGGTCTGCACATGATGCATGTACCTGGCTAGCTGGCATTTCACTGCCACCGCGATCACGTCAGGTTTGAAAGAAATAATTGCGTGGTCGCATTTGTGGAAGAAAGCAAATCCAGATGGCCAGAGAGTGAAGACTTAACTTCTCTATCTAATGATCATCGTGTTATATAGCGCAGGCTAGGCTAGACGCTTGCTAATGCAAGATCAGGTGAAATGGAGAGCGACGAGTCAGTCGTGGAAGAACGAATAGCCGCTTGCCGAGAAGCGGCGGAAACTAGGCACGTTGCACTACCATTGGACCTGAAGAGATGTGCGTTGGGCGATGTGCCAGCGCTCCTGCTGGACCTGGACCATGTTACAGTACGTAAGCCAGCTATAGTTGTTTCATCTTTACGAGCACACCGTACGAGTACAACTCAGTCTAGTCATCACAATTTACTCGCCGGATTAGCCCAGTCACGGCGTCGTCCTAATGCATGCACGCACGTAGACCGTCTGTGATAGAACTGAAAGCCTCACCTGAAACATAACTTACAATCGTCCATAAAGCTGACAAAACCAGCAATCAGCATTGCAATAGTATTATTAGTAATACATAGATATAATAATACAGGGTGGTTTGGCTTCAATTGACGTTCCATAACTTTTCTTGAAGGTCGCTGTCGTAGAAGCCACTGCACAAAAGTACCTGTCAAACCAGCACCAGGGTCATTTTGTCCCATGGTGTGACCATTAGCTTGCTAAGGAACTGCATGGCGAATCTTGTACTCACACGATACTGCGGCATGCAGGTGTGTAGCGCGTACGTCTGTGGTGTGGTGCTCATGTACCAGCGGCACAACCTCATAGCCGCCATTTTGCCTATTCTGCCTATGTAGTATGTACAGTGTAGATATAATTATGACAGCCATTTGCTTGTGTGGTGATCAGGTGATCGGGCACGAGGTATGCACCTGGACTGCACCTATCCTATAGACAGAGAGGCATATTATTACCAAGAGTACATAACCCCCCCCCCCCCCCCCCCCCAGAGTGTGCAACGCCTGATCCAGCTCTGCATAGGGTCTTGGTCGAGCGCGGTTGGATCTTCTGATGTAATGTGTACACTTCACACCAGCGCAAGCCCGGTCTCGAGGCAGGCCACCGTTGTTTTTGATCCGAGAGTACCCGCGACTCCCTGGGCTCCCCTCAGATGTGTACGGTATTATGACGCAAAGATCCGATTCCGCTCGACCAAGACCCTATGCAGAGCTGGATCAGGCGTTGCACACTCTGGGGGGGGGGGGGGGGGGGGTTATGTACTCTTGGTATTACTGGTATGCGATTCAGACCCCCCCCCCCCCGATAATAGCCAACCTGTGTCCCGAGGCTTTATCATTGCACAATGTACATGATTTTACAAGTGTGATTCAAATTGGCTTTGTATTCTCATCAAAATGTGTATACACTGGCTGGTAATGATCAAGTTGTATCTTAGCAAGACAAGAGCTCTACAATAGCTCAACAGCCTGATTTGCACACACGAAATGTCACAGTCGCTGTCCTCGTACAATTTCTCATCTGACATCATGGACTTTGCACTGCCGTGTGTCATGAAAGGCAAGTTGGTTAGAGCAGACCTAGTACCTGGTCTTTCCCCAGTGATACTGCAACCATCAATGTTTCTTTCTACCGGTCATTGTTACATTATTTGCACAACATGGCCAGCATGTACTAATCATGGAGTACCCTATAGAAGTACTGTCACGCCGGGAGGTTGGCGATAGGGCCCGCCAGATAGTTATACAACATGTATGTGTAACAGTTTGATGTGCTCGGCAACGTGATTGCTTGTTGCATGCAGTGCCTTTACCTGGAAGGTAACCAGCTCACCGCGCTGCCCGAAGACTTCTTTGTCCGACTGCCAGCACTTAGCTGGCTGGATGTGCGCAATAACTACCTGGAGACGTTACCATGTCTCCTCCAGGGCTATCAGCGCAGGTATGTGCATGTGAAGAATTAGAGCTAGCTGCCCAGAGATTGAGTTAGCGTGTACATGTATAATGACATAATTATGCATACTGTCATGCATGGGAGTGGATGCAACTTAGTCTTGTGTTGTCTCCTCTTTGTGACGTAGGTGTCTTGGGTTAAATTAGTGCGAACCCGGGCAATGCATGAGTGCCGAGTAGGAGTATTGTTGTTGTACGACCTGTGTGTTGTATTGACAACTGTTGTGTTGTGTTGTGTTGTGTTGTACACAGTGCACTGCGTCACTTGCTCTTGGAAGGCAATCAGCTATCACACCTGCCTAATGAGCTAGGTGAGTACCATGAACTTGGTTACCCCCTGTGTGTCCGGGCCACCGCTGACCGCAGGCTGCTGGTGCTTGGCTAACCCCCTCCCCCCCCCCTCCCCCCCCCCCCCCCCCAACACACAAACACACACACACACATTAGTTACATGTGCATGTGTGTTTGCATGCACATGCATACACACATATACACGCACGCTCTCTCTCTCACACACACCACACATGCACGCGCGCGCGCGCGCACACACACACACACACACACACACACACACACACACACACACACACACACACTTGATTACACAATTTCTAAGTTCACGAACGGCCAGGCAACATTTGTTGACACCCACAATGAGTAGACCAGTTCAAAGAATCGGTGAGCGAAGTGAGGAGCGATTACAAGACTCCGGGATGTTATTGATTACAAGACTCCGGGATGTTATTGACTCTATACAGCACTATTCGTTAACTTGTCTACTTGTATGATTTCTTCTCCAGGCGAAGCAAGCCGCCTGCAAGGACTAAGCCTTTCACGGAATCCTCTCGAATACCCTCCATCGACTGTTATTTCACGTGGCACAGCATTCATCATCCGATTCCTGTACAACGCACTACACAATATCAGTGATGAGCTGCCATCGTCAGAAGATCTGTCATCTCAGCGTACCAGAGGTAGAGGGCACGATTTTAGTTTCATAACCGGCATGCCGGGACAAGCACAGATTTTAGTTTCATAACCGGCATCCCGGGACAAGCACAGATTTTAGTTTCATAACCGGCATGCCGGGACAAGCACAGTTTGTTTTTACATACTAGTACATGTGTAGACGTGCAATCAAAGTAATGTGTGTGTGTGTGCTATTTCCAGGTAAGGGTTAACCTTTGGTTACATGATCAGTCCGACAGGAAGGGTACTAGTATGCGGTGTGAACAACAAGCAGTTTCTAGAGCCATCTTGTCTCAGTGAGCTTTGCATTGTTGTGAGGATGGTGCTCATCAGTCATCACTGTTCTCTCATTGTGTTCTACTGGGGTACTGGCGAAGAGAATGAGAAATGATGAAAATTTGAGGGAATGTGCATGGTTTGGATTGACGTGTGCTCGCCCCCTTCCAAACATACTCCTCATCCAAACACCCTGGAGACAGCCCCGCGCCCGAGGGGTGCGGATAATCGGCACTCTACTGTAATATAGCGCCGCATGTGTTTTGGTGTGGTATATGATCGTTTGTACAGGTAAAGACAATGGAGCGGCTGGTAAGCATTCACGCAACACTCGCCCCTCCATGCTACCCGTAATGCCGCGCAACCCCAGCCTGACTGGCCCACAGCTGAGCAACCGGCATGCAGGGGTAGGACCATCCGGCATGTCTGGATCGTCTGGACAGGTGGTGACTGCACAGCAACTGCAGAACCTCTATGAGCAGCAACAACAGAAGCACTTCCAGCGTGGTGTGCCACCGGATTCGCAGCGGGGCGTAGTGCTTCCGTCCGTTCCCGGACACGGTCTTCAGCAGAGAATCGAGGTGTGTACGACTCGTGCATGTGCTGTGCTGCTCAATGAAATCCGACCGAGTGAGTCGAGTTTGCGACCTGCATCATTTCGCAACCCAGTAGTATGTGCAGGTCTAGGGCTGCGCAACGCCCGGCGCGTACTTGAGTGGCTCGATCGTATTTCATTGAGCAGTATTGCACTTACTGTTACTGTACATGCTCCGGCAACTGTAGTATGGTGTAGTATGGTGTGCTGTGCACGGTTTAGTTTAGTCTGCAAGTATTATAGTATTGTGGTAATCACAGCACAAGCACCTCGTTGTTAGAGCCAATATGGTACTGATGTGCTGACTCTGTGCTGCCAAACATTCTCTCTGCCATGTTGAACCATCATTGCCTGTTTGCTAATCTGTGGTTGTGCTGGCTAACGTTAGGAACACAAGCAAGGTGTGATGAACTTGGCAGCAGCACAGACCCTGGCTAACATGAAGGGTGACCCTCACCCGTACCGCCGACCCAACCCAGCCATCGCCCGCCCGCCAAGGTCACTCCTACAGCAGACCGAGGATCTAAAGCGAAAGCAGAAGCAGCGCGAAGAGAAGCTGCAAAAGCACAAGTGAGTGTTGCGGCCTTACTGCACCGTCTGATGGAGTTGCAATGCCGATATACACTGAATCCTGTACCAGTCCTTATTGGCTACTAATCAATGACAATACTTAGTAGTATAACCAAACTTTAGTGTGCTTTGTTTGGTCCAAGATCATCATTGGGAACAAGCTGTGGCGCCGGGTTTGCCTGAAGACGTTGTTTTGTTTCTGATATGAAACTGCAGAAAGCATGCAGACAGATTTCGAATCATTATTGTCATGTTATCAGCAAGCCGGCAATCTGCATCATGTGTTTGTACAGAGACAAGGAACTACTGGCAGATTGGAGGTTCAAGAGAAAACAAGAACAAAGGCGGCTACAGCAGCAGAGACAATTCCGCTCCGGTCCGAAGCAGGCTGGTAAGATCTGAGAAATATTACTAAGGGAAAGAACAGTGTAGAGTAGAGGCGCTATTAACGGTGTGTGTATTAACGGTGTGTGTATTAACGGTGTGTGTATTAACGGTGTGTGTATTAACGGTGTGTGTATTAACGGTGTGTGTATTAACGGTGTGTGTATTAACGGTGTGTGTATTAACGGTGTGTGTATTAACGGTGTGTGTATTAACGGTGTGTGGATTTTGTATCGTGACAACTATGACTAGCTGGCATAGCCACTGGTAATCAGTGGACTTTGAACTTTGAAGTAAACCATAGACTCTTGGATATGTGTGTGCATGCGTATGCCGTACCGTGATCATTGTATTTGCAGTGGCTGCCGAGGTTCCTCTGAAGCCAGCACCGTATGGAACGGAGGCTGATGTTCCCAAGCCCACAGAGGCGGATAGAGAGGTTAGCTCCAGCACGGCAAACTGATGACTAGGTGTTTCTCATAAATATACTCACTCAGTTCACCTGTGCCACCTCAACCTGGAGATCATAGAGATAACTCAGAGAGCTACATTGCAATATTGATTTGCACATGTATGTGTGGTCTGGTGCTCTCCACGGCAGAGCTGCTTGCCAAGTATTAGTTGCTCATGCTCGCTTGTGTGTGCTAGCTCAATGACACCAGTAATGTGACTCCGGTCCCCGGGCCATGGGAGCAGTATAGCAAGGATCACGTTGTATGGTTGAACATGTGTCTGACTTATCGGTCCCTCAATCCCCTCCTTCCTTCCTCCCTCCCCTCCTTCCTCCCTCCCTCCTCCCTCCCCTCCTTCCTCCCTCCCCTCCTTCCTCCTTCCCCTCCTTTCTCCCCTCCCCTCCTTTCTCCCGTCTCTCTCCTTTCTCCCCTCCTCCCTCCCTCCCCTCTTTCCTCTCCTCGACTCCCCTCCTTCCTCTCCTCGACTCCCCTCCTTCCTCTCCTCGACTCCCCTCCTTCCTCCCTCCCCTCCTTTCTCTCCTCTCCTCCCTCCCCTCCTTCCTCCCTTCCTTCCTTCCTCCCTCCTCTCCTTCCCAGGCTCCCTCCTCTCCTTCCTCCCTCCCCCTCCCCATGGTGCACACATGTTCTTGTATTTGATGCATGTATGTGCAACTACTTACACGTCTAAATGACTGCAGTGTTAACTGAATTCGATATTGGCCGCAATCTTTTCCTGCAGCTAATGTCCTCCGTCAAGGGTCTATCACTTGAGGAGAAGACATTACACCAGTAAGTGCATGTACATGTAGGACAAACAGTTCATGAGGACATCATGCATGACATCATGCATGACATCATGCATGACAGTATGCATCACAGCATGCATGCCTAGAATGGATAACTGGGAAGCTCACTGGATGCTAGTCAAGTTTGCTCGATTGTTGAAGTTCAAACGGCAATGCTCTTTGACCGCAAACATTTCTCATTTGACTTCTGATTCGACAAAACACACAGTGGGTGAGTGATACTAGTAGTCAGTTTTGACTGAATGCCGCACGTTGAATATGCACTGAGGAGACTGCACTACAGTAACATGGCAGATGCTTCACCTGAGAAGTTGTGAAGCAGTTGCACAGTTTAGTCTGATACTGCTGGTTGCATTGCCGGTGTTGATAGGCTATTCAAACCTATTATCCGTTTCCGAAACTGCACACCATACACTGATAATGGCATGCAAAGGCAAGTGTCTCCCACCTAACATCCACAGAAATGGTTTGGACCCAAGCTGGACTGGATGGCTGGGCAGTTTGTGCTAGCCAAACATTTGCTAGATCATGTATATTTTCAATCCTGCTGGTCCTGTTGAGACGTGTTAATCTCAAGGAAATATGTCTTTAAAATACTGATGTTTGTGCTGTGTCAGAGAGGAGAGGGAAAAACAACTGCACGAACGTATCCAGCGGCATGTGGATAAGATGAAGCAGCGCCAGGAGCAGCACCTGAGTCCCAGGGCAAAGCTGGAGGCAGCTCGTAAAGATCTAGAAGAGGTCGGTCTCTCTCTCTCTCTCTCTCTCCGTCTCTCTCTCTCTCTCTCTCTCTCTCTCTCTCTCTCTCTCTCTCTCTCTTCGTCTCTCGTCTCTCTCTCTCTCTCTCTCTCTCTCTCTCGTCTCTCGTCTCTCGTCTCTCTCTCGCTCCTCATGGCATGTTTTGGTTTGGTCTCCAAAAATCTACAATGTCTGGCTGGTGATATGGGTTGAGTTGGAATGTTGAACCTATTATGATGCATGCACGGCCGTGGAGCAATGGGACAGAGTGTTAGCCTGCCTTGATTGGAATACTTGTATGAGAATGCAACTTTTGATTCAGATGCATATGGTCAAGCGAATGCCTTTAGTTCTACAATAGACAATAGACAATAGAGAGGTTTAGCGAGTTGCGAAACGAGTACATGTATGTTACGAGTGTGCTGATTCATACTACACTTAAGTTAACCCGGCCGGTCTGGCAAGTAAAAGACTAAAGTTTCTCTTAGGAGCATGGTCTCAAACTGAAAAGCCTTGTCGTTTGGGACTGACTGGGTCCTTTCAAACCAAAGACGATTGGTCTATTGGTGTCTGTATGGACCTCTCCAGGTGCGGGTTTGCGCACTCATTGATTTAGAATTGCTCTTTCGCTGGTGAGGTTTGCACCTGCCACTGGGTCAAGGCATGGTGGCAATTAGATGAAGGGTAGGCCACTGTGTGAAGGGGAGGCTAAGTATTTTTAGTTGAGTACTTCTCAGTACTTCAATGGTCACAGTACCGGTGTGAATCCATTGAAAGATAATTATGTTGTTACTTTTACATTGACTTGAAATTGTACCGTCTACTTCAAAGTACCGTACTATCGTATATACTGGTACAGTCTATGACTTACGCTCCTCGTCTCCTGTTTATTCCCACGGCACAATGCAGGCAATGGAAAATCGGCAGCAGTTACTCGGCAGTGAAGAGCCGGAGTATCGTCTTTCGGCGTTCATTGCAACGGTGGGAACAAAGGACAACCCAGCACGAGACTGAATACAAGTCCACACTGATGTACAATGAGGCCAGGGAGTAGTACATATTTTACTACTCCCTGGTTTTGGCTAATAGCACACTGCCCCATCCACACTGTGTATTTTTGTAACTTTCCTGTTGAGTTGATAAGAAAGTAATGCTCTAATGCTCCAGTACTGGTATGGTTCTTACATTAGGGAGGTTTCGCTCTACGGAAATACGTATGAAAATAATGTATGAACTGCACGGAATTTTCATACGTGAAAATCAGAGCTGTTGGGTTTCGCTCTACGTGATTTCTCCACGACTGCTCAACATGCGTTGTTGCTTTGGAGACGCGTTGGCTGCATGCGCCCACCGTATGCACCATGAACCGAAACCGCGTTTTCCATGATATTTTGCACGTGGTGTACGGTGTGTGTACCTTGTGTTTCGCGCGGCTTGAATGTTGCCATGGACAAATGCGAAAATATATTTCAAAAAGTCCTACGGAGGACCCAACGTAGGAAAGAGCTTTCCTACGGAAATCCGTAGAGAGATTTACGTATGAAAGTTGCCCTCGCTCCCCGGCGCGTACGACATACGGATTTTCATACGTAATTACGTAGAGCGAAACCTCCCTATTGTGCGTGTACCACGCATGTTACACAATTCTAAGCAGTTATATTATTACTGTTCATGTTGTACCAGTGACTACAGTATCATTACAAGGTGCAATACTATTCATGATACCAATATCATCAGTGTACCAGGCACTACTTCTCACGCACTGTATCCAGGTATCTGTTCTTGACATGCTGACCTTGGATTGATCATGTTCAAAACATGCACACCGTGTGTGTGTGTGTGTGTGTTTGTGTGTGTGTGTGTGTGTGTGTTTGTGTGTGTGTGTGTGTGTGTGTGTGTGTGTGTGTGTGTGTGTGTGTGTGTGTGTGTGTGTGTGTGTGTGTGTGTGGTGGTGGTGGTGGTGATGAAAAAAGGGGTTGAAAAAAGGGGTTCATCAGCTGGCCAGAAAAGCTGTTTCAATCACCTGTTTGGTGCAATACCAAACTATAGATAGTGGTGGCCATTTCCTCAGAACAGCAAAAAGCTGTTGACTGGTGCAATCCAAGCATTATCATAACTAAAATTGCTTGCAATCAATAGAGAGGTTCTGCAAAACGAAAATGTGTACGAACTTTCGCTCTACGTCACGAAGTGAGAAACTTCGCACGAACTTTCGCAACTTTGGACGCGAAACTTGCAGGGAACGCGAAATGAACTTTCGTAGGAAGTTTCGTGAGATTGGGTCATGTCGTACGTGCACTTGGCGCGTGCAAACTACGAAAATGTGCAGAACACAAAGTTCGTGCGAAAATTCGTACACATTTTCGCAAGGCCTGTCGCGAAACTTCATTCGAATTTTCGTTGTGCAGAACCTCTCTATTGCTCCGGCAATGTGTGTGTGTGTGTGTGTGTGTGTGTATGTGTGTGTGTGTGCATGTTTGTAGGAGAGAGAGAGAGAGAGAGAGAGAGAGACGAAGAGGGAGGGAGATAGAGAGAAAGAGATGAAGAGGAAGGGAGGGAGAGAGGGAGGGAGACAGAGAGATGGGAGGGAGAGACGTAACTAGAGCAACGTCTGTGTGCAAGATAAAGACTGCGCGTCCGCTCTACTATATCAAGGTTCTTTATGAAAATACACAAAAGGCATAATATGTTCATTGACGGATTGTTCAAATAAGCAGCAAGAAGAGACAAGGTATGTATGTAGCTGCGGCATCGATTCGCGTTGTATGATAAGATGAAATTTATGGTAAAAGTGAAATAGGTGAAAGATGAGCGAATTCCGTACGTTGAGTTAGTTAAAGTACACTACCATTCAGGCAATCAAACACGCGATACAACGTGAGCATATACAGCGTGTGTCCTGAAGTCACAACGTGTTTGCATACTGTAAAAGCCACTGTGGGTGCCAGGGAGCACCAGACAATTCAGCCACTATGGGTGCCAGGGAGCACCAGACAATTCAGTCGGCTTGCTCAAACACATCACAATCATACAAACTACTTGCTAGGATTGCTTCTCGACTAGAAACGGGGGGTTCGGATGTGCCGGGGGGAAGTACTTATTACAATCATACCTCACACAGACACAGACAGACAGACAGACAGACACACACACACACACATACGTGTAGTGATAGATCAATCAAAGCTGTGCACGGTGGTACAGCAATGTCACACAAAAGACAAGCAGCAGCAGCAACAGCAGCCAGGCTAGAACATGGACACACCAACTAGAGAGTAAATTTAAATAGACACCAGACAACAACAACAAAAACAATAACGAAAAAAGTGATCACAAGACAACCGGACGTTGACAAGCACACATCCACTTCCAGCAGCGGACGTGCACGAGGACGAGCACAGGGTGATGAAACTCCGCAGAGAACACCACCAACAAGTAGGCTAGTCGTGGTGGCTAGCTAGCCTTTACGAACATGGCGTGTAACACGACAAACATCAACAACAACAACAACAGCAGCAGCAGCAACTGAGAATGAAGGATTCAAACAAGAACAGCAGCGTGTATGACAATAACCTGTCTGAACGACAATGGTTGACACAATCAGCACTGACACGCAGACGAGTACATGCAGCGCAATCTCCAGACATCGGAAATGCGCATGCGCAGAGCAAGACATTATCCGCAGGCGGTAGAGTCCTTGGCAAATTTAGTGGTGTGCGTGGCCATTCGAAGAATGAGTATTTGATGGATGGCGATCACTGTAGTTTGATGGTGCGGTGTTGAAGGTGGATGAGTCTCCAACGCGTGTTAAGAATTGCTGCAGCGAGGCCTGATTAGGCGACGGGGAACGTGGATTGCGATCTGCAGGTGGCACAAGATTCAGCGCATTGGCAGGGCGCCCACGCTCAACAGCAACTGGCTCAGTATGTGACTGTTGCTGCTGCTGCTGCTGTGGTTGTTTTAGACCAGATTCAGCATTGGCCGCGGATTCCACTCGGCCGGATGGCCGTTTTTTTTTCTTTTGCTGTCGCTCCAGAGATTGAAGACTCTGAGCGATAAGCTCGGCTTGCTGCTTGACACTCTGGTAGAGCTGACTGTCACTTTGGGCCGTCACAGCTGCACTAAGAATAATCCCTGTTAGCATGCACACATACAGACAGAAGGTAGAGTTAGAGGAGAGGGTGGTGTGGAGGGGGGAGGGGGGGGGGGGGTGGGGGCAGCCTAGTAGTTACGCAGCATAGCAATGAAACACACCTCAGACCTGCTCATCACGGAAAAAGTTCAAGCACTTTCAACTAAGTTTCAAGGCCCTGTACAAACCATGATTCTCTTCAGTTGGGCTCACTGAACCAACGCTGATGGCATTCACTAGCACACACACAATAGGAGCTGAGGATTGAGACAGATGGCATTCACCAGCACCCCCCCCCCCCCCCCCCCCACACCCACACCTTAGTAACCCATGCCTGCTTCAGGGAGGTGTTTGGGTATGGCAGGTACCTGCTTCAGGACAACAGGAGGTGTCTGGGTATGGCAGGTGCCTCCTTTCAGTGAGGTGTACGGGTAGGCGAGGTGTACTGGTAGGACAGGTGGCCAGATAAGAGAGGTCGCGTATTGTACTATGAAGATAGCCAACCCTGGGCCTTCCTTTTTCACAGTATTCGCAGTACCCACCCCAGAGGGACTACACAGCCATGTGGACTGTAAGTAAGTGCTGTGAGCTACGGCCCGGGTATGCATGCACTTACGGCTCGCGTTGCGCAAACATTCCACAGCTTCATCCAGCTCCCCCTTTGACGCTAGCTGCGCAGATCGGAACATCAGCTCTTCAGCCTGTTCGGAATAAGAGTCCACGATGCGTACAAGCGAACGAGGAGACTCTACAAGCAAGAAGAACAAACACCGAGAGAGAGAGAGCACACCGCTCAGATAGGGCACTGCAGATATTCTGGGAGACACGGGCAGGTTGGGTGTTGTTTTTGGTCAGACACAGTGCGAATCAGGTATACAGTCAGACCTCGCTTATCCCGTCCTCTCTTATCCGCATCCGTCGCCAACTGGAAGAAAATTGCTGATTACAGATGTACAGCTTATGTGATGCATCCAACATA